ATATAGGAAAGGACTATAGGGGGATTCTTTTTAAACAATTTATATAGCATTGATTATAGGGGGTATTTGTTATCTCTTAGATACCACAGGCTCACCATCCCATAGTTACTATGTAGTCAGTCATCTTTCCTAGTTGTATAGTAACTCTATAACAATTTACATATTGTACACCATCGTCTACCATCGTAGACATCAACACTAAATAAAAATAGGAGTTGATTCACCACTCACCACCATCTCCCTAAATGCGAAGAAAATCAAAACAGAGGCTTTATCCAATGGGAAATCCCTACTTTCATTTCGAAGAAGAGAATGAATGATATCATAATGTGCCCCCCACAGGGCGAGGGATGTTTCTGTGGCAGAAAGGCCCTTATTACTCGTAAATAGCAAACTCAGATGGAAATCAAGGATGACTCACCTCGATGCTGTTAATCGAAAGAATGGTCAATAGTACCTCATTGATGTTCTCAATTCTTTCTGCATCTCGCAGCTGAGCCCTGACAAACTCCAGTATATGCCCATACTGAGCAATAGATGCTACAGCGGGAGCTCTGCCGTTTCTAGCTCGCGTCACAAGGAAATCACATAGGATTGAAAACATGACCTTGAAGACAGAATCTTCCCCGGCTTGGCGGTAAATGACAGGAATTGTTCCATACAAGTCCGCCATGGGAATTTCCTGCTGTCCGGAAATCAACATCCATTGCAAAACTGTCCTGACATTCTCTGGAGTGCTATCGAGATTGGACTTCGGCCCATTCATGTTGATGAACTTGTGAGTTTCATCTCGAAATATCACGGACGCCTGGTTTCGGTATCCTTGACACTGGCGCTTTGCTTTACTGCACCTGGAACAAGTGGGCTTGCCTTCGTCACACTTTTTTTAAGTTAGCAATGCCCGCTAGCTCTATTACCTGAACCCGAATCAACGAACCTTGACACGCCGCTTGAGGCAAGTCAGACAGCCTTTGCTAACTCCATAGAAAACCATGACTTAATTCGATCCTTTGATTCCAGTGAGGTTGCTAGGAAAAGGGAAAATAGCACGTTCGGTGGCTATATCGGACTTGGATGTTAGCTTAGTGTCCAATTCATCACCATGGAAGAAGAGGCTGCAGGTGATCTGTGTCGATAAGTCTGCCTCGCTGAAAGGCCAGGTACGGATGGAAATCAGCCCAGGTTAGTCGTGCCAGAGCATAGGCCTTGGAGAATAAGCGATGGAGAGAGATAGCAATATGTTGTTTTGCACTACCTGGACTGACTGGCTCTGAAGGAAAAAAGAAAGAAACGAGAGGTTTGCAGGGTTTGCATTCTCTCGGCGTCTCAGGCAAGTGCCCAGGTGCCCAGGTGCCCAGGTGAGGCTTGGCACTTGGCTAAACCGATACGTACAACCACGCACGGGCACGCACAGAGACCGTCGGCGCTAAACCGGAAGGGCCAAAAGAAGTACCCAAGGAGTCTCCACTATAGCGGTCCGATATGGTGTAAGTCGGGGTGACAGCAAAAGCACCACGGTAGGGCGTAGCCTATAGAGAATAAGTTATGGCCATTCCCGGATCTCTCTATCGGGTTTGGTATATACGAAGATTACTAGCTCTTATACTCATCCATAGATCTTAACCTTCCGTCGAAATTCTGAATACAATTTATCGGTCTCCACCTGGAGTAGTTATCACTATTTTTCATCATTATTTTATTTTCGTTATCTCGAAGGCCAGCTGACCGCTCTCTACACATCATACCTTCTACACATCATACCTTCTACACATCATACCTTCTACACATCATACCTTCTACACATCATACCTACGTTCCTCACTACAGGTACCATACCTTGTCCTTTAGGAGCCTCTTGCATCTCTCCCGTCAGATTCAGATGCAGGGTTGCGAGTCTAACTATCCCATTATTGATCACATAACGACTGTTTCCTCGTCAGTCTTACCGCATATATTACTCCTTGGTGACTCGAATGATCTTCAGAGATACTGGCCTGCCACAACAGCAATGGTAAAACCAACGAGCGCCCCCTGTCATCTTCTAACTTACCTATATAGATCAATCGACATATGAAATTCCAAGAAGTGTGCCTCTTCTCGAGCGAGTTCCACAAATTGGACGGATGGATGGTATGGTGCCTCCTGAAGCATTCCCTTCCGCTGAATAACAGGGAGATACCGTTCGCATCATCAGTTTTGGGCATGGATTCTAATAGCTTGTCTTCTAAAGTGTAGAAGTTCACGGAACTAGGCAGATATTTAGATCTTAATCTGTTCCAAAAAATATATATATCAAGCGGTTCTTTTCCCTCATCCCGATACATCGGCTCATCCAGACCGCCTAGAGAGCGCTTTCTTCTTCCCTAGTTAAGATATTGTTTCAAGCCCTGTTTTGTCTAATCGGAACTCGGAAAGTGTTGAGTCCGCTGAGCGGGAGGATATTTTTGCGCATCTCAGGGTAGACTGAAAACCTCGGGCTTGGCAACCTTCTGGTTAACTCGTCACGGGTACCGCGTTTCTTGGCGATTCCAGTTCAAGGGTATCTAGCCCTAATTGACTTACCGTTTAAGACTGGGTCTTAATTCCCCTGGATCTAGGCCTTGGCATTTCCCGCCAAGAAATTACACTAAGAAGTATTGGTGGGATTACAATATGAAACAATTCATGAAATTTGTGTCTGTATCAAGGCTGAACAGTGTTTTTCGCCAATCAGGCACTAATAAACCATTAGAACTTTAGTTTTAGTTGTCTACCATACCAACCTATAACTAAGAACTCGCACTCTTCCATGGTATAAATGGAACGCGTTCAAACAGATAACCTTAGGTATCAAGATCCACATTGCTTAATTCCTAGGTTCTACCGCAACATCATCGTATAACATAATTGACAAGTCTATCATAACATTGGAACTTTGTCTGAGTATCAATTAGCAAGGTACTTTGACCTGGGACCCGAGGTCTCACCTAAACTCAATAGAAAAAACAGATTTTTTGGTCATTGTGAGGAATAGGTAAATGGGCGATAACTTCCATGGTTTTCAAGATCAACGACATGAGTATTTTTTGGGTTTAACATGCTAACATGAAAATCATAGGCCGATAAGATCTATTTAGTCAGTCCACGGATGATAACGCGTATTGCACCGTAGACTGACACGTGATATGAAAGGGTGTACTAGATACAGGATTTCAGATTATTGGGTCATTCTCCTGAAATTATGTTACCTTCTAGATATTTCCATATAGTACAATGTAACCTAGTTTCTAATGGCGTGTGTAGACGTATGTTGGGGTTACTCGGATAGATGTCTGTGCACCAGGAAATTCACGAGAAAAATAACTATCAATTGATACCAAATGAACAGATAGAGGCGTGAAATTTGGATATCGGGATATTATTTATCGAACAGTTTGTGAAATAATATAGAAACAACATTAAAAAAGTGGACTTGCCATCTTGGAGTCCATTAGAAAGACAAAAATGTCATAGCAGGTTCATAAGCTGCCGTTTCAGGAAACGAAATCTTGTAAGGGTAGCCAACTAGCAGTGGGCAGCTGTAGGCAGGCACCATTCTATAGCAAGGAAAGTTTCAACACACCATTGCTGCCAACTCGGATTATTCAAGCGGGTCCGGACTCCTCCGTCTTCTTTTGTTGATGACCAGGAAGCTGTTTCTGGGGAATGAGAAGTGCCAAGAGAACGGCCGCTGCCGCACCAGCCAAACCAAAGGCGAAAACGTCCTTGATCCCGACCATATAAGCATTATTCACAGCTTTAAGCTGTTCGCCTGTAAAAAGATGCTGGATCTCGGCTGCGCCTGTGCCCAGGGCCAATGAGGTGTTGATATTAGAGTTGGAGCTCTCCAACGTCTGTAGCATCCGGTTGGCGAAGAGGGACTGCGCCACGAGGACGAAATAGGTTCCGCTGATGGACTGACACACTTTCCTGGGAGTTAGTAAAAGCTTTTTACTTGCGAAGAGAGATAGGAGGAATTCATACTGAGCATGATACCAGTGGAGCTTGCCACGTCTTCTGGCTTTGAAAAACCCTGCACTGCAGTCATGGGGATCTGGTTACCCAAGCCGAGCCCAAAGCCATAAAGAACCTGAGGCCCAAGGTAGCGGGCCTGAGATGTGTCGACTCCCATCGTGTAAAACAAAGCCATGCCGGCCACCATGATGAGTGCACTGGCTAATTGAAAGGGCATGAGGTAGTGTGTTTTCCCGACGAGACCACCGCTCATCACAGCTCCCAAGGAGAAGAAAGCCAGAAATGGGAGTGTATCAACACCACTCATAATAGCGGTCTTCCCATGGATAGACTGGAAGTATATAGGGAGATAAAACATAACCTGGTAGAATGAAGAGTTGGAGCTAAGTAAGCACGCAATGTTAGCTTCGGGACGAGAGACTAGGAAGGTAGTGGTTAAATACTCACATATAGCACCACAACGCATTAGCCCATGTCATGCGAGGCCTCAGCAGCCTCAATGGAACCATAGCTCGAGAGCCTTGGAATCCCTCAACTATGAAGAACATGATCGTGAAGGCAATCCAAAGAACTAAGGTAGCGATGACGACACCGGCGCTCCAGGCTTTGGTCTGGCCACCCCATTGCAGAGCCAAGGCAAAGCACACAAGAGAGCCGAGTAACAAAGAAAACCCAGGAAGGTCCAGCTGTAGAATGATCTCTTTCCAAGTGGTTGGGACAGGCTTAATATGATCGGGTACCCGTAAGAACAGTAAACACATAATGACAATTGGACCTCCAAGAGGCAGATTGCTCCAGAAACACCATCGCCAAGAGACCTCACTCGTAAAGACACCGCCGAGAACAGGCCCGAGGATGGTCGATACCATAAAGACTCCCATCCAACTACCGATCAACGCTGGACGCCTTCTTGGCTCGGCCACGAGACTGATAAGAAGAACGGATCCACCCAGAGTGCCTGCAGCCCCCAATCCTTGGATTGCTCGACCAATGATTACAGAAAGACTGTTCTGAGAGGAGGCGGCGACAATGCTGCCAACCAAGTAAAACACCACGGAGCTCAGGTAAACCCATTTGATGCGCAGATATTGATACAGCTTGCCCCACATCGGAGAGGATGACCCAACGAGGAGAAAAGTAGCACTTCCGTACCATCCGACATCGTTCAATTGGTGGAAGTCATCGGTGATGCCAGGAATAGCGGTCGCAATGATCCCAATTTCGAGGGCGGCCAGGAGAGTGCTCATGAAGATGGTGAGCATGATGAGAAACAATCGCAGCCCCGTTATGTAAGAAGGCTCTGCGGCCAAGCCCTTCTCATCTTCATGCTTCTCTTGGTCACTTTCTGCTAGGGTATGCTGGATATCGCTAGATGAGGTCGTCGGATTAACCACACTCGAATTGGCTTTCGACTCCTCCCCCATGTCGGGGTTTTCAGAAGACATGACTCCAAGCCTTTTCGCGACTCTATGATTTGGCAGGTCGGTAAAATGATGTAGGGGTTGAAGTTACCGGAATATCTTGAGGGAAAGGCCGGAGGTTTCGATGCAGCTTTTGCGGAAGCATAAATATAGAAAATATATCTATTTGATGAAGTGACAACAGGTTGCCAAGATTATCAATCATTAGTAAAGATATTAACAACGATAATCTCTTCGTCCGCCAAAGAACCTCAGGGGCTTCCACCTGTACAGGTGATTTATCATGCTCCTCCGGATGGCAAACATCGAAAGAAGCTTAATTGGGATTAGCGTTAGCTCGTCCGCCGGACCCATAATCCCTAGGCCTATTACAGACTAGCATCATTTTCGTCCGCCGGCCCCATTTCTAAAAGGCCCCCAACCCGCTTCGACCGCCGTCAGACAAAAGGATCCCCCTGCCCACCGGCCATCCGCCGCATGTCTTCTAGTCACATCTCTGCAACACGTCAGGTCTCGGTGAATCTGAACATACAATGTCTCCGCCCCATGCAAAGCGCCAAAAGCTCCGCAAGGGGACCCACAGCTGCTGGGAATGCAAGCGGCGGAAGATGAAATGTGTATTCGATCCGCTCAGTAATACAATCTGCAAGCCATGTGAAATCCGAGGATCTAAATGCGTTAGCCAAGAGTTTCCCGATGATTTCTGGATCCCTGATACACGGACTGGTGGAGGAAATATCGATACCGACCAAGGACAAACACCTTTGACATCCGGTGAAGATGGCAAAAGGTCAAGCTATGGCATACCGACCCTAGCATCCGCGATTATACCAACCTCAGCTTCTCTGGACTTGTCTCAATTATCACAGGTGTGTTTTAAAGATCCCACTGCCATTCGATTGTTAGTCATTCCTTGTCTTAGCAACCATCGCCCGAAGATCGTGTCTTTTCTTATAACTTTGGAAAGCGAGAAATTGAAATACCAGTCTCACATAAAAAATATGAGAGGCTTTCATGGCTCTTACATGAATCACTGCCCTCAAAAAAAGATATCAAGAGGATATGTCAAGCCGGGGGTGATCCCTTCATTCTCGCCCATGAAATCCTAACTATGCCATACAACGCCCTTTCCAAAACAGCATTGAAAACGAGTGAAACTCTGTTAAATGTCCCCAACGCAAATACACACCCTATTCTGATAGCAAGATATATGCTCCAGCTTGCCACCGTGTTGCAGCATCTACACCCCGATCTCCACGAAGGAATAAAGAGTCTTCCAGAGACGCCAAGGACCACAATGGAACGATTAGCAAATCTTGCTATCGATCTAGTGATAACAAGAGATAAGTTTCATGGGAGCATTGAAGGTTTGGAATGTATCATGATTGAGAGCATGTATCAGGCGAATATCGGGAGTCTGCGACGAAGCTGGGTATCAAACCGAAGAGCTATGGGAATTGCTCAGCTGATGTGTCTTCACCGATCTGATCATCGGACTCAGTTCGAAGTGCTCGACCCGAACACGAGATGCCACCCACAGCTCATGTGGTTTCGAATCGTTTTTTTGGACCGCCAGCTGTCTTTACTATTAGGTCTGTCTCAAGGATCGCTGGACCGTAGCATGGCCTCCGACGTGCTGCTTCAAACAGACACCCCCATGGGGCGTCTTGAACGAATCCACTGTGTAATTTCATCGAAGATTCTGGAGCGCAATGCTTTAAGCTCTCATTCAACGCCCCATGACTACTCTATGATGAAACCCCTCGACCTGGAGCTTCAGAAAGCGGCAATGGGACTCCCTAGCAAATGGTGGCTGGTACCAACCCTGAACGCCGGCTTAACCGACTCGCAGGCGCTTTTCTGGGACACACGGCGATTATTTGCTCAGGTACTTCATTACAACCTTGTCAACCATCTCCATCTACCTTATATGCTTCGTTCATCTTCAGCCGGGCGGAAATACGAATTCTCACGAATCACATGTGTCAATGCCTCACGGGAAGTTCTCTCGCGCTTCATCACGCTTCGCCGCTTTAATAAAATTGCCTACAGCTGCCGCACAATCGATTTTCTTGCCTTAATGGCTGCCATGACCCTGCTGTTGGCTCACCTCGATAGCCACTCAGAGGCAGAGAATCTACTTGCCCATCAATACTTGAGCGACCGTGCCATGATTGAACAGGCACAGGAGAATATGCAAGAAGTCAACAGCTTGAATTCAGATGCAATGAGTGCACAGAGCGCCGAATTGCTACGCCGGTTATTGGCCATTGGATCCGGGCCGTTGGATGGTTCCGGCAGAATCAGCGTGCAGGGATTAACCACTGAAACAGTGCCGACGGACCAAAGTGACGATGATGTCGTTACCGTGAACATTCCCTATTTTGGCATTGTTAAGATTGCCGGCGGGGACGCGCGCAAGGAGGCTCCAAGAAATCAATATCCTCAACAACGGACAGACTTAACATATAACCGCCTACCTCAATTTCAATCCCTGAACATGCCTTGTAAAACAAGGCCTGAGAACTCCCATACTGCAGATCCTTTGCGTCATGGCGGAGTCGTTGAGCCTCACGAAATGCCAAATGCTGAAGTCATCAAACCACCTGTGGATGCTCGTTGTGATCGCCTCGAGATGTCTTCCATGTCACCAAATCCTTTGACCGCCACTGGAACATATGGGTCTGTTTCGAATAGCGTACCTCAAATCAATACTCTCTTTTCAGATTCTTTCTTCCAGAATCCTGGGTTGACCGCTGGAGGACAGGACTGGGCATTCCAGGGCGTTGACATGGCTTTCTTTGACAACCTCATAAACAACGGTGGGACCGGGGATGCTTGATGATCTATGTATGCCCGGGGTGTAAAAGTACAATCTCAATTGTGTAATTTCTACCCAGTACTGGATTCGGTTATCAGTCGTGGTCTTGGTCGCAGTTTGGCCATGGAGCTTATCGCCTCAGGTTGTCGGCATCTTGCCTTCATTCCGCGATCTGGCGACACCAAACCCGGGGCCAAAGCTATTGTTGAAGAGCTATCAGAGACCGTGGCGCAGATTAAGGTGTTCCGTGGCGATATTTCCGAAGAGGCCTCCTTCCTGAATGCTATACAGCGGTGCTCACAGCAGCTCCCACCAATCCAAGGAGTAGTACAGATGGCCATGGTGCTTCGTTATGCTATCTTCGAGAAGATGACGCATGACGAATGGACGGCTTCTCTGCGACCAAAAGTCCAGAGAACATAGAAACTGCACAAGTATTTCGGTCACGAGAGACCTCTGGACTTTATGATTTTCTGTTCATCCATCTCCGGTGTGTGTGGGAACCCTGGGCAAGCCCAATATGCCGCCGGTAATGCGTTCCAAGACGAGCTCGCCCACCATCGTCGTGCCCTGGGTCTCAAGGCCGTTTCAGTAAATCTGGGTGTTATGCTTGATGTCGGTGTCATTGCGGAGACGGGCGCGCACAACTTCAAGATTTTGGAGCAAGTCCTCGGTATCCGTGAACCTGCTTTCCACGCTCTTATGCGCAGCTTAATTAACGGCCGGCAGAAAAAGGGCCCCCGGCAAGGGCCGGCCCTTCGCTTGCCTCCAAACTTTCCCAGGCTGGCAAAAACAAGGCTTTAGCGGCTGCTGTGAAGATCATTACAAGCGCCTTAGTCCAGAAGATGGCTGACACCTTACGCATTCCGCCTTCCGAGGTCAATCCTAAAAGAGCCATGTATAATTATCGTGTGAACTCGCTCGTGGGCTGGAGGTAAGGAACTGGATTACGCGGGAAATGAAGGCCAGTGATGCGTTGCTGGATATTTTGGCTGCGGTTCCAATGGAAGTGTTCGCAATCCAGTCGCTGAGAAAAGCAAGCTGGTCGCAGGAGTGGCCTCTTGAATACTGGTCGGCTAGATTCCTTGCTAGTTGTGGGTTATAGACACAGCGGTGGTTTTAAATCGACTGCATCAGGCGTACAGTTAAGTGATCTGTTTCTGATTCACACCGCTGGATCATGAGTATTAAATTTTCCGAAAATGTGCACTATGTAAATTCCTTCAAGCACCATTCTAGTACATACGACCATAGGGTGTGGAGAATAGGGCTTCCCGTCTGTTCTACGCCGTCAATAGTCAAAGCGCCCTAACACCTAAGCGGCACTCTCGGGTGAGTGGGTGATATGGGTGAGAAGTCTGAAGACTGGGGTGATAATCCTCACGCTCGGAGTGATAGGACAGGGGCCCACTCACTCTAGAGCTCCGCAAAGCCCATTAAACCCATAGCCAAGCCCAGCCCAACCCGTAAATGAGCTGGGCTTTAGGCCCTACCTTCGGGACTACCGATGGGCTTTGGGCCCAGGGGAAAGCCCACTGGGCTTTAATGGGGGCCTAATGGGCCCTAAACAGTATAAATATGCTGAGAATTCAGAAGTTAAACCACCGTTTAGGGATTTTAAAATTACCCTTCGTTTTACCCCCGGTTTTTAAGCCTTATTCTAAAGGTAATATCTTATTAGTTTAAATCATTGAGAATCAATTACTAACTAGTTATTTCTCTATATCACGTTTAAAAACGCGAGAAAGCGCGTTACTTACATAATTTATAAATTATAGAAGTTTACTTAAAAAAGTAGTAGTACTCCTGTCCAGATCCTATATATATATCGAGTGTTAAATATCAATATCATACTTTTTTGTAGTATCTCGACCTCTCCTGATTTGATTTTGTTTAAATTTGAAATTTCATATACCAAGTAGAAGGGTTAGAATATAATATTGTATAGCGATTATGAGATGCTGGGTAAACCCCCCTTAATAGGCTTTAATAGGAGAATAAGGGCTTTATGGGCCCCTACGAATGGGCTGTAGGTTGGATTAGGCCCAGAACCCACTGCTGGTTGGGCTTTTGGGACCGGGGTTGGGGCCCATTTATGGGCTTTGCGGAACGCTACTCTGAACACATGCTACCCCCAGGGGAAAAAGCATAAATATGAGCACGGACGCCATTCTATTTCTCAGTCATAATTTAAATCCTGGTATCATTTTTCGCGAACATCCGGCTTGCCGAAGATCCGATTCCTAAGTTATGCCTCACTAAACTAGGCCCAGTCAGCTTCTGTACTAAAGTACAATTCAGTACTTTTAAACATACACAAGAGTGGAGGGGCGAGATTAACTCGCTGGGGACGTCAACAGCCCTCTTATTCTTATGATCAGATGATGGGATCTTGACGGTGATCTTATTGGTAGTCTGTTTGAGCTCTTCTCGCGGTTGCAAAACTTAGGAGAAAACGCAACTCTTAAATATTTTCGCTCCAGAAGGAGGGAATAGTATTCTTTTTATATATTAACTCTTATAATTAGCAGTTATAGCTTTTCGGACGGGTACTAGCGCTCAATCGCCTGGGATCTATTTTTATTTCACTTTTAACATTACAATAGTATGCAAGGTCTACGAGCTCCTAGGAAAACCTATCAGGCATTGTTTACTTAGTAGAAGTGCTAGTTAGTTAGAACATCCTAGCAGCCGCTTTAGACCAAGCTAGATGACACGCGCCATGCATATAGCCCGGATAATTGAGTCCTGAGAACGGATCGCACTAGTGGAAAGAAGCGTCTCTTGCAAATCCGGGTTCCTCTTTTGATCGGACCTGCACCCCCTTGAAAGAATGGAGTAGCCCAGTACCCTTTAGCTTGCTTTGCTTTTGGGTGCTAATTTAAGTGTGATCCAGAGCCATGAATTCAGTCCTAACTGAGCGGTATCCATTCCACCGTGATATTCCTTTTGAAGATAGAATTCTCGTGAAGCGGGAATCTTGTGTTCACATACTTTACCCCTTCATAATTCAAGTATAATAAATGTAAGGGCTGGTTAATGTGTTTTTATCTATTTTCCCGCCGATCTGGCATTGCCGGAAAAACATGTTGCACAGATCTCCACCGCCCAACAACGTCCAGCTTGTCCTGTAAACGCCACTCAAGTTGATAGGTGGCTTGGTAGCTCTACGGCTTTATTCTACGGCTATCAATACCTTCAAGAGAAACGGATTTGCTGATCTCTCCACCTGTACATATTTAATTGAAGCTAATTTATATTGCAATTTCTAGTGAATGAGACATGGTTGTCGATTCCCGTTGAAGTTTCCTAGTTCAACTTCATAACCAAAAGCTAAATCAGAGCAACAATCAAATTAGCCATCTCTTTATAAGAACTTTAATATAAGTAGGCTTTTCCACGCAAGAAATAGCGCCTGAAAATGGCTAGAAAGGATCAATGAATCTCGTACACTGTGGATGGATGAAATGAGGTAAAATAGTGAATCTTCTAACACTTCCTGATGGTAGTGCAAAATTCCCCCTGCCCTGAGAAAAGCAAGGGAAAAGTTTAATTCCTTCATACTTGCAATGATGATAATTGAATGTCGAGATGGAAGCTATATAAAACACAATTCCGGGAGACACCACATGCTCCCAATCGAGCCTCAACTAGGAATGAAACTGTGTGTATCTGCACTGTTCGGCACATTATACCTATATTCTGTGAACATTCAAAAGTCATGAAGCGAGCCGCAAGTCTTCTTACTTTTAGCCTCGTCGCACTATCTGTGCAGGCCGAACAAACGCAAACATGCGAAAGGACTAAGGTTGCTGTACTGTAAGATCATACCCTTTAGGCCCTGCACGGGGAACTTTGGAACAAACCAGGACTGACAATCTCCAGGGGTGCGGGTATGGCTGGAGTCACAGCTGCAGTATGTTTATCCTCATACCAAAGATGCCCCCCCTATCTACATATTCAATGCTGATAGATACACAAAACAGAAATCTCTTTCAGATAATGGGATTGACGACTTTCTCCTGGTTGAGTACCAAGACCGCATTGGAGGGCGTATGCATGATGTCAGCTTCGGCAGCGGATTAGAAGGCCATCCGTACATAGTTGAAGCAGGAGCGAACTGGGTAAGATTTGGGTGTGCCCGTTCGAAGAGCGTTGCAGGCGACTTACCCGTATCAGGTTCAAGGAACAGTCACGAGCGAGGGCCCTGAGAACCCAATTTACACTCTGGTAAATCAATCGACGCGGACATTGTTATTCCATGCAGCTGACGGTGTTCTGATAGGCCAAGAAGAACAACATCATAACCCTGTATGTATGGAGCTTTGGTAATTATGATATGATGGATGATTGCTAATTATAATCAAAGGGAAACTGACCAGGATAGCACGACATATTTTGATGAACACGGCCCGGCAGACTATGGTTATGCGATTCGCGAATTCCAAGAGGCCGTGCACAAAGTGACTATTGATGCAGGATCCCTCCTGAAGGACAACATCCAGGATCGGTCTTTTCGTGCCGGATTACGCCTGCATGACTGGGACCCAGCCAAAAACGATTCTTACCGACAGACTGCTGAATGGTGGTTATTTGATGGCGAGTTTGTTTACACACCTAGTGAGAGTTCTGAAGTCTTTACCTCGGTGGCTGAGAACGCGACCTTCAACTATTTCTCCGAGGAAAATCTTTTTGTATACGACCAGCGTGGCTTTGCAACTATTATTCGGGAGGAAGCTGCACAATTTCTGGCGTAAAACGACAGCCGTCTACGTCTGAACACGAAGGTAACGGGGGTCAACTACAACAGGGACTCTGTGACTGTGTGGACGGATCAAGGTTGCATCGATGCTGATTACGCTATTATGACCTTCTCGCTGGGGGTTCTCCAGAAGAATGTTGTAGACTTTGCTCCACAACTCCCTTCTTGGAAGAAAGATGCCATCCACGGCTTCGAGCTAGGAACATACACCAAGATTTTCATGCAATTCCCGGAGCCGTTTTGGGATAACACGCAGTACCTCATCTATGCGGATCCTGAAACTCGAGGCTACTATCCCGAATTCCAGCCCCTTGACCTCCCGGGTGTGTTGGAAGGATCGGGTCTTATGATCGCGACGGTCGTGAACGACCAATCTTACCGAGTAGAGGCGCAATCCTTCGAAGAAACACAGGTTGAAGTCATGGAAGTTTTGCGCAATATGTACGGCTCGAAAATCCCAGACCCGACTCATCTTTGGTACAAGCGGTGGACACAAACACCTTGGTAAGTTTTTGCACCACATCACTCAGGTACCCAGAACGCCACTAACGGCACTAGGGCGTATGGATCCTACTCCAACTGGCCTCCATCCACCAGTCTACAAGCGCATCAAAACCTGCGTGCGAATGTCGGCAACCTCTTTTTCGCAGGCGAGGCCACAAGCCAGGAATTCTTTGGCTATTTACAGGGCGCCTACTTCGAAGGCAAACATGTGGGTGAATTTATTGCAAGTTGCTTGCAGGAAACAGGCAATTGCACAATCACGGACGAGCAGCAAAAATATCCCGTTTTGACTGGAGTGACACCATACAACCTGTATAATGATGAGCATGGATGGTTTGTGGATACAGTCTCCTGATACATCCGTACTATCCCACAGGAGGGTCCAATCTAGGTAGACTGGACATAGGGGTGGTTATCGGCGTAATGAAGCTGGCATACCGGAGGGTTTATTAATTCTACATGTTCTATGTCAGCTGGAAATACTGCATTTACTTCTTAGCTATAGGATCCACTCTTATACGCTTTATGAGCACACAGCGAGTTATCTAGCTGTAACTGACTCATTTTTACTACTTGCTGGGATATGGCAACGAAATCACTGTCCAATAAGAAGTTCAGTATTTACTGCACTCACTCAGGAGTATGATTGCTATTTAAGATGGATAATCACTCTTTTACTTCCTTACAATCTCTCGCCAAATCTTAGAATGTTTGTGTAGATAATGATGATTAGGTTCTACTCTATCCGGCGAGTCATGAGATAAAGTCGTGTCGGGAATTTGTTTCATCGTACATCTATTCCACCCAAGCTTCGGCCCGCGATACTTGCCGCCACCCACCGGGTGAAATTCTTCATCCAGATCTGACATCAAATATGCCAGTGACCAAACAGAAACGTCGTTTGATGATGCGTCACATTCAAGCGCCCCAGTAATACCCAAGTACTCAAGCCTGTTCAGTATCACCCCGACAGGCACGGGTAACACAGATCAAATGCTTCCTTGCCGTGAAGCTGTTGTTAGAACAAAACTTTCTCGAACTGTGAATTATGAATTGAAGATTCTCATGGTATACCGTACGGTATACTATTGAACATCCAGCTCACAGGCTCCATGTCGAAGTTGAAATTCCCATCAGACATCTGAAAGGTATTAAATCAGCACGATACACAAAAAAGAAAATACCGAAATCGAGGCTTACCATGGAATCCCAGTCATTAATCATATCAGGGAGTGAAGTCGTGGATTCAGCCTCGGAGGGTTCTCCAATATTCTCATTCTGGCCCTTGGCCGCCATAGGCTCGAGAATTGACAGACACTTATCTTCAGCCTCTTCGGCAGCCTTGATTAACAGCTTCGGAATTTCATCTTTCGAAACTCCTTGCATCAAAGCATCCAGCTGGGTGGAAACAAGTGACATGAACAAATAACCCTTGATATTGGTTTCCCCGATCTTGATATATTTTAAGCTCAAAGCTTTGGCGTCATGTATCACGGAAAGAAGATCAGGTCTTATGGAGACAGGTCCCAAGCCCTCTTCCTCCAGAAATTGGCTTTTTAATTCAATCGCTATTATGAAGCTCGAATGCAAGAATGGCGTGTGAAAGAACCCCGACCCGCTCATTGTCAGTCGCCCGAAATCGATTTGATTGGGTGTCGTGCTTTGGGTCAATAATGAGCTTGCTGTTGAAGGTAATGCTATACGAGAACAGTTGAACAATTTGAGCGCAGTATCGATAACAACACTTCTGGAGAAGGCATAGGTCGTTCCCAGGAATGACGGCCCAAAAAATGGGATGTGAATTGAAAGGAGGTAGCGACGGATGACAAAGTCTAGCATGAGGACCTCGAATTGAGAAGGCTGTATGAAATATCCCTGGATAGTCCGACGCATTTCTTTATACGAAGCTCTCAGTGTTGCATCCAGACGGATAGCTTCTTCATACGAGCCTTGACCGCCGAAGTCATTCAAGAATTTGGCGATGGCAAGTCGAATCGGAAATGTCTTTCGGAAAGCAATAGCTATAGATGATGACGTAAACTGATTCTCTGGATGGGGTATAGGTTCTTCGGCTTCAATATCATGATCATCGAAATTTCTCGGGGGCTCTGTGTCAAATTCTTCGACCGAGATGAGTGCAGGTCCTCCGGACTCCATACTAGATTGCAGGCAAACCTCCAAAATCGTATTCCACAACCTTCGGCGCATCTCCGATGCAAATTCCGATAGGTTTGGTATCTGAATTGGATCTCTGTGTAGTCCCATATATATAGCTGTTCGAATCAAGGTGCCTGCTGCAATCCAATTCATTCCTCCGTCCACGCCCAGCAATTCCCTGGCCAGGAGGAACAGGATGTGTGCTTGCAAGAATTGAATCCCAAGACGTGCCTTATATTCAGGCTCAGCAAGCCATGTTTGAGCTTCGTAAATGAATCGGACTGCCAAGGAACGTAGCGATAATTCATCATCATAAGTCGTGCACCCAATGGCGAGGACCAATTTCAACTGCACCAAAAACATGGGATCATATCGGGTTCCAGAATCCCAGAACGTGACATAATCTCTTTTGAATGATGGGATGTGCAATACCCTGTAGACTCTTTCAGATGTTCGAAGATAACAATCAACGAGCGCATCGCAGATATCCTTTGAGGGCAAATCGGTGGTGATCGGTGCCGGCCATTGAGGTGTTCGTTGTGCCTTGATCCTTTTCCCGAGACGTTTGCATTTTTGGAGACCCAGGACAACGTTTGACCCTTCAGTCATGAGATATGGCTCAATCATTTCGACAATATCACGGAACTGATGGTTTCTTAGTATTTGAATTTTGATCGCAATGTATGTGATAAGACCACTTACCAGTATCATGCTACTTATCCAATGGCTTTGGCCGAAAAGACGTCTCTTATGAATGAAGCTGCGTCTAACCATTTGGCCTTCGTTTGAAGGAAGGCTTGTGTTGTGGATATGGAATGTCCCAGCCAAGTGAGAATGTGTTGTCTCAATGTCAGAAACCGGAGTCGGGGCGCTAGTCTCAGTATGGCTTTTTGTTGATTTAGCCAGTTCGTTCTCTAATTGCCGTACCTTACTCTTCAGCATCTCAATTTCGTGCATGGACGAGTGACTGGTTGGAGTTGAAGGACACGTGGAACTGGTGGCTAGCGTTTGTGTCGGCCCACTTAAGATCGCTGGTCTGTAATTGATAGGCGAAGAAACCAGAGAATTACCCAAGCTTCGGTTGACCTGTTTAGGTGCATGGGTCAATCCAAGATCATGTGTTTGCCTTCCTTCGTATCCATTGACATGGTCCCGAGGCGGCTGTGAGGCCCGATAAACGCAATTCCCATTCTTGATTCGAATACAGTTACTGCAAGGGGTCTCCCTATTGCATCTAATTTTGCGCTTACGGCAAAGAGAGCAAGACCTATGTTCTCATTTAGAGCGCGTGCATCAGACCAGAGTTTGTTACTTACAGGGGGGGCCTTCTGCGCCGAATGTTCGTCTTCGTCCCGGATACCGATAAGTCGCCCGACGAAGTATTTGTCACTGTGATATCCATGGCTTCCGCTAATCAAAAGTACGTTTTCCTGGTTTGAAGGGAATGAATAATCTTCATTCGGGGCGGGAAATTGGAAGACGATCTTGACATCGTGAGCTAACTCCGTCGGACCTGCGTCTTTGGTCCGCCTCGTCTGCAATTCTCCGTCTCCGTCTCCGATTCCGCTCCGATCATATACCTCGCTAGAAAATAGCTTCCTTTGAAAAGCTATAAGAACAGTAGAATTCTAGGTAAGTTTGGTTTTGATACACTATATCTTCCCTTGAATTATACTCCACTCGACTGGTTAACCACCTCCTGAAAATTTGAATATTCCCATCTATTATATATTTTTAATATGGACGATCAACACCTCACACCATTGGCATCAAAAAAGCTGTCAGATGATACCCTCAACACCAGTGAAAATGACGAGAAAAGCATCTGTGATTCCGACAGAGCACCAGATGGAGGTCTTCGAGCATGGCTCACTACAGCCGGAGCTGCTTGCACTTTCTTTGCAGCCCTGGGTTTTGCAAACTCATTCGGTATTTTCGAAGAATACTATCTTTCACACCAACTGAAAGATCAATCAGCAGATAAGGTTGCATGGATTGGATCACTATCAGCTTTCATTCAGCTCGCAACAGGCGCCGTTGGGGGGCCATTGTTTGATCGGTATGGGGCCTGGGTATGTTCGCAAATAATCTATCTTACCTCAAACACTTGAGCTAACACGGACCTAGGTTATCCGACCTGCGGCAATACTTTATGTATTTTCCTTGATGATGACAAGCTTATGCGAGAAATATTGGCAGTTCATGCTTGCACAAGGCGTTCTACTCGGCGTCTCCATGGGCCTCTTGCAATTCCCATCAATGGCAGCAGTGATGCAGTATTTTGACAAAAATATTGCAGCAGCTTTGGGTGCAGCGGTCGCTGGCTCATCCATTGGTGGTGTGGTTATTCCCATCGCTCTATCGAAGATGCTGAATAGTACATCGCTGGGATTTGGCTGGTCCGTCCGAATCATTGCATTCGTTGTGACCCCACTGCTAGCATTTTCATGCCTAACAGTCAAGGCCCGGTTACCACCCCGAAGAACGACATTTTACATTCCTTCTGCTTTTACCAAAGTTGACTTTTGCCTCCTTGTGTCAGCAATGTTCTTTATGTTCTTTGGCTTTTTCACTCCTTTGTTCTATATTCCGACATATGCAGTCTCTCGGGGTATGGATGCTACTCTGGCCTCATATCTACTTGCGATTCTCAACGCTGCTTCGACTTTTGGTCGTGTGATTCCAGGTGTTTTGGCAGACAGATTCGGTCGATTAAATGTTTTGTCGTTGGGTGGGACCATCACTGGCATCATTATATTCTGCATGAACAAAGCAGAGTCCAACCCAGCTTTGATAGTGTACTCGATTGCCTTCGGATTCTGGTCTGGGACAATTATTTCTGGTGCGTCCGCTGTACTTTCGATCTTGGTCCCAAATCCCAGAGTATCTGGCACGTATCTGGGAATGGCATTGGGGGTTTCTTCAATGGCTGTTCTGATTGGACCCCCAGTTAATGGTGCACTTGTCAACAAGTACCATGGATATTTTGAGGTTTCAATGTTGAGCGGCACAGTATGTGTGCTTGGAGGGCTTCTTGCCCTTGTTATAAAGACACAAACTCCTCAAGGCCTCATGGGACGGGTGTGAAGTTTGAAAGAAGTTAGGCACGTTGACGGCCTTTTTTGTACGCGTGTGAAAGTCCTGTTGTTCATATATTCTAGACCTATAAATTTAGCGGAAATGTACAACAGCGTATATTGAATAAATACATAAAGTGCTCGATCATTTACCAATTATCATTTTGTTTAGGTAGTTTGGGCCAGCTAGATGGAAGCAGCATGATTTCATTAATTTATGCATAAATAACGCCCAAGAAAAGAATAAAAGCAACTTGAGTGGGCTGCGTCAAAACAAAAATCGGACTCATCCATAGAGCCCCACATTTACCCGAACTGCACAAAATCGCCCTTTGTGTCCTTTGCCAGTTCTGTAGCTCTCTCCTTCCATGCTTTCAAAAATAGACCCGGGTATTGAATTGCATTCTTTGGCAACCCCTTCTGTGTAGGTAGAATATTAGATGCAGCAAGAAGATATGCGCGCTCGAATATATCCCACAAGTTGTGTTCGAGAGTTCCCGTGGCTGCTGGGTTGGGGAAATAGGGATCATTCGCTGTCACAGCAGTTACCATCCTATCGCAGCAAGACTTCCAGCTCTCCTTTAGATTAAGCCGGTCAGCCTTATCGAAATCGAGCATCCATAGATGCACCTGCCGTCTCTTAAAATCGCCAGCAGGGACATCAAAGGGCTTCACTGCCCTAAAGTTCTCCACAACGGTCGGAAGCTCCCCATTTGTCGCCGCACTACCGAGTACGAATTCCATGTCCATACCGTCCAAGCAGGCCTTCCAGTGAACGATGGCCAGTCCAATAGCCATCTCCTCAGAAAATTGGATAGCTTCTAGTTGGAGTTCCTCTATCTGATCGAGATAAAGAGGAAAGTTCTGAAGGCTGAGTGCTGGTCGAGAAAATTCCCACTCCCCTCTTCGCTGTCCAAGGTATGGTCGTACAAGACATGGCTTGTTATCCGGGTCTTCGCATGCAAAACGGTGCATTCTCTTCGGAAAATAGAGCCGAATGAGAGCTTGACGGGAGGACTCAGGAAGCGGCAAGATTCGTTGGACTTGAAAAAGATATCCGACTTGAGTATCCTCGGGGAAGCGTGACAAATTTTCTCCCCACCAGTTATCCAAGTCATTTTCACTGATCCATGCAGTCACTATAGGCACACGCGGGATCGAGACATTTGGAAATATTTCCTGAAGGCAAGTCTTGGTCTCTATCACTGCACGGCAGGCAGTGTTGGTGAGATTTGCGTCATTCCACAGTGAGTCCTTGTCGCTGCCTTTTTTGTACGCAGACTCCGTTCCAGGAATTTGAAAAATCGTGCCACATGTTCCTCGCCCGATCACAACAAATGCAGTATTTTGAAGAAATTTCGTTCGATGCATACGCTCTGCGACGCTCGAAGAGGTTGATGAAATGGAACGCACGCTCAGGGTCCGCCGCAGTATGTCTTCATATTTTGGTAAAGCCTCTGTAACTGCCAACATTTCTTCTGTAGCTCTGTCCAAACGAGCATCTGTGGACAATTCGGTATCGTGGGAAGCCGCAGAATCTTCAGAAATTTCACGTAGACGGGAGGACATTGTTGTTGTTAAGAAGTAAGAAGCAGACAACGATTGGTTAGGATATAGCAAATAGCTTTCTATGACGTAGAGCTCTACCGCAAAGGTTGTCGGCCGCACCCGAGCGTTTTTAGGGACCGACCACTTTTGCGGACTATACAGCCCACTTGTTTTTCCTTTTTAGGTTGTTTATTTTTCCTCAATTTTTTACTGCTATGTATTGTTTCAATATAACAGTATTGACTTAAAATCATCAATGACCCCCCAAGCATCTATAAAATGGCTAAAGCGTTGACAATTAGACACTAGCAGCCTGATACATTGCCCGAGTGATTGCATCTGGGGTTCGAAGCAACATAAAATCTATTGGGAATATAGGTTAAATCTGAGGGATAATGAATTGGTAGAACAGGCTGGAAGTCGTATCAATAAGAGGTGAGGAGGATAATAAGTAGCGTAGGCCTCATGGTCACATATTTCAGTCAAATTCTACAGCCCTAGATCGTGCTTATCTCAGGCTCAACAGCCCGACAAAGAACCGAGTATACCGCATGTTGACCAGGATCCGGTCAAGGCCTAGACATATCAACAAGAACACACTATCCCATTTCAAATCCGCCATTCCAAAGCATGCGCGCGATCGAACCCGTCGATTCGCTTACTTTCAAAGTCATAAGATCAGGCCCTTGAACTCCACACATTTGGGAGGTGATATAAACCGACCTTTGTATCCCTATCAATTCTTGGTGTTTGAAGGCTTCAGTTATTGATCACGATGCCAGTAGTCTGCTTACCCTCCACGGCCAAGGAGCTCTCAGGTAGCAACGGCTGGGACTCGATATCATCAGTGTACAAAACCTGGAGACTATCACCCGAGACAGAAGGTCTTTCCTGTTCCGCCGCAGTGACGTCGATATCCGGGTTTTGAGTCATAGTGGCATCCGCGGATTGGTCACAGGCTGGGCAAAGGGTGTAATTAATACGGCGGGCTTTGAGTATGGGCTTTATCCATTGATGGAAGGAACCTTGAGCAAAGGTGCGCAAATATAACAAACTAGGAAGATTAGTATACTTGAAAGACCAGATGATATTCAATTGCTGAGCCGACTTACCTTAGGAGGAGGCATGAAAGGTTGGAGTAGACCTGTGGAATACCACGGGCAAGCTTGTAGTTTTGGCGATCTCCCCATGCGCCGATCTCCTGAGAACTAAGAATGATGATGCCGGAAATGTATACGCCGAGCAAGAGTAGGGCGACCAAGCTATCAGTAGCGATTTCGAGGAGCGAATGAGATTGGCTTCCTGATTTGCGATACCTGGAGAGCATAAATACAGGTGTGGTGCCGGAAATCGTGATCTTCGAATTGTTAGATGGTAGTCTATCATAGGAGGAGAGTGAGACTCACTGCAATGAGCTCGATCCATGCTTGAGGGCTATGACACGTCGCAAAGACGGCGGCAAGCGCGCACGGCCACGAAATCACCGAGAGTAAGACTTGTGTCTTGCGAGCTTTAGAGAGCGGGTGTTTGGATGAACACATTCTTTGACACATTTTCACTTTTCACTTTGATGTTTCTTTTCTTGGCTTTACAGTGTAAGAACTAAGTCTGAGGTTTGTGGAGATCCAGAAGCCAAGGTTCTTATTTATTAAGCAACTTGACGGGCCGGACCCTGCCAAGCCAAAAATGGGGCGAAACAACACTGTTGCCTTATTTAATTAGTCTGCCTAGAGAGATCTACGCTGTCATGTACAAACAAGTAAAAATAGACGTGGATCATTAATGGGCTGTCTCAATTAGCACTATTTGTTTAGGCTAGCTCTAGGTTACCCCGGGAGACTATCAACAACCAACATCCTCCATTTGCAATTATTTTCAAGGATTAGTGAACCCCATTCAGTCAATGGACCCCATTTTCTTTTTTCGCACAAATTCTAGAAGAATTCACCAAGTTCTCAATAAAAGTTCCCAAGAGAACCAACCTCATCATGTTTCTTCACAAACTCCTTAACATCGTCTTCAACACCGAATAGACCTGCAGTGAGAAATTCCAGCCCGCAAAAAGATGACTTGGGTATTCGAATTCTCCCACGATCCGATCTTCCTCTCAAGCGACGGAAACCAGTACAATCAATCGAGCTTTTTGGCTTCATACTAGTGGATATCGAAGAGGATTTTATCACAAGATCCAAATTCCGCTTTGGGTGACTGTAGCCAACGCGTCAGGTTCGAAACGCGGGTTGAATTCCAATGAGGCCTCATTGATCATTCGAATTTCCAAGTCTTTCTGCACTTGCATAAGTCGTGGATGTTGGATTTGGCTCAAGAAACGTGTGATCAATTCCCGATGAACCGAATGCCACTGATACTTCCGCGGCTTTGAATCCAGCAACTGGAACAAGAATTTGACCTCCGATTTCCTTCAATCAGTGTGAAGCAGGCATGCAAAAAAGCGGAATGCTATCACAAAGCGACTGTCATATTTGCACAGTTTAATGCATGATTCCAGTACCGTGGGGTTCTTCACCAAATATCGCGCGGCGAAGAATTCCTGAAAGGTCTGGCGGAGAAAGCGGAACACAGGCCCGCCATTAATCTCCTCGCGATGCAGGAATCATTACTTTAGTAACAATATTTGTCCTCCTTCGGGATCTGCATGAGGCGCAGACCTTGGGCTCATCGAACTGACTCTCTGCTCGCGCAAAGGGTGGCTGTTTTGTATGTTGGCACAATTTACCGAAACAAACCAGCAAAGTATGAGCGGTCAATATGAGCAAATGTTGGAACGAGAGTATTGGAAGCACCGAGGCATGCAGAGTTACTGCGCGGCCCTCTAGGAGAGTTGGGATGGGATTCGTGGTAATCGCAAAATGGCGTTGAAAGGAATTTAGCGTGTCATGAAGTTTCTTTTTGGAGGGCAGTGCCACATATATCCTGTTCAGATTCAGTAAACTTGATATGAAATCGAGTTGAAGCTAGGAGGGGCTTGGGGTACATTTCGTCTGGCCATGAAGTCCTTGTATATCCCTAACCAGATTTCCCGTAGACGGCAGTCATCTCGTTGACCAGTTACAGGATCGACTTCACAAGGAGGTTGCGTTCTTTTGATGACATCATGAGTAGCCGCAATCCATGGCTACCTGGGGGTCAGCGTATGCGAAACGAAAAGCATTGGAGGTTACCAAAAGTTAGTATGACATACCTTAGGAACTGGCCAGTCGGAGAAATGTAAATATTTAGCGTCTTGGAGGATTTTCTCAGCATCCCACAATTCGTCTACATTGCCCAGATAGGCTTCATGATTATTGGAGCGGAACTCTCCAGTCAAAAGAGTATAAGGACGGTGAGGTACGACGAGTGCACTGTCGCCATATAACTTGTTCATAATCTCCATGTCGTCTACGTCAGACGTTGCGCTAGAAACTTCATCCATTACACGACTGAACTCGGCTGTGGACGGTTGGATGAGCATTAGTCCAGATGTAAAGACTTGATCCTTCGGATCTAACCAGTAGGCCCGTGGCATGGCGACAGAGCTAGGTGGGAGCAGGAACAGCTCGTCCATAGACTTTGTGCACGTTAGTATACAATGAAAAGGAAAGCCAAGATTGATCTTCGCACCTGCAGAAGGGTTGCATCTGAATCCAAGTTAAGAACCCGCTCATATTCTGTATGATTAAAAGCCAGCAACTTTGTGTAGCTCGATGACCACGGTGCTATGCAAACTCTTAGTTGGGAGCTTTGTAATGAATTGGGATGACTTACCACCTCCCCCCCCCTTCCTCATTACTGCGACTGGCTTGAGTTTGACTGCATATTTGTCCCTTGCAAAGCGAAGTAAACGAGCTTCAGGTGAACTATCGTCCTCAGACAAGAGGAAATCGTGTGGGTACATCAACAAGCGATCGGCTTTGCTTCCAAGGCGTTGAAGAGCCTCGAAAATCATGAGCGAGTTGCACAGATAAGACCTGTCGGTAGCATATTGGGTGTATGCAAATCGAGACCAGTTTAACTTGCTTCATGGATAGACCGTAAAAGTAAGAATTAGAATCGCCCAGAGGAGTTGGGTTGCTTGGAAGTCGCAATAATGTCGCAACCCCGAATAGAGTGAACAAAACTATGAACATAGAGCGATATAATCTCCGAGATATTTTGGCCATACTTAACATGGTCGCTTGCGAAAATTAATAGCTTCCCATCTGCAGGGAATATTCCTAAATTCCACGTAACTGTCGAAGAAACTTGTGTACTATGTCTTTTCGTAGCTGTTAGTCCATATCAAAATGCATGGAAGAGGGCAATGAAAAGTGTAGTTGACGAAATGAGGGCTCTTCATAACAGAGGATGATTCCCTCAGCTGGCTGCCATTACCCCAGGGGCAACACCAGCAGATTCTAAGGTTGCAATAGGCGGTCATAAATGGGTGGTTAAGCGCTGTCTGTGCATGAGCTGAGACACGCTAAAATATATGGCAGCTCCTGATTAGCCATGGAGCGCCTTAACTGTGGAGTGTTTTGGTCCGTGCTCAAATCTATCACACCTGAGCGCTAATATATAAATCGGATATGGAGATCAATTATTAGACACATCTATACTTAGATATCCGGCACATGGGCTATCAATTTCATCTAAAGGTCAGCGTGTTGATTTTGAACAACCCCCCCCCAGTTAACCATTAACTATCGTTTGTTGAGGCCGTAGACATTTTGACAATCTTTCCATTATGCGTGTATAGCTTTGAATCATTCGTTAGTACTGGAGAAATTCGTATGTTTATATTAGATGGGGACTATGTATCTGACCTGATTGGCCCTTGAACAGCCCATCTGCTGTTTGCTATGTCTGTTAGTGCGTTCCTGCGCAATTTCCATGATTAGGACTCATATGGCTAAAAAACACCAACTAATTTACTAGGGGCGCTTAGCCGCTGGGATGTTGGCCTTTCCTAGGTCATGGTTCCTTGGTGGCTACCTATCCATATTTTATGTACTGCCAGTTCGGTGTTCGGATATTCATCGTCCCAAGTTCATCTTTTTGAAAAATTCTCCGAGTCAAAACTCCATTTATGATCTTAAGATATTATGAGTTGACAGTAAAAAGTGAATAAAACCCGATATTTACTTTGCTTGATACTTGGATCTTAGCCTTGCGGCCTTCATTGCTCACTGAATTGCGTCCGGTTCTCATCGGTCTTCAAACTTCGATAAGTTCGTCCCTTCAGTTGCGAATTCCAGTTAGTCCCTTCACGTGGAACACCGTTATAATATATTTTGTTAAGAAAGAATTGCTAACGATATTTTTCCTTAGGGATGAGAGGTCTACAACAATGTGTTCTCACCCTTTGGATCCTTTACCTCGATAATGTTCTCTGTTTTGGTCCCCGAGAGATGACCTGGTCTGATGAAAAATTTGGCCCTGATGGACCTTGGCAAGCGGTTACTGTGTCTATAGGAAGTAACTACTCCGAACTTGTTGTCCCTTCATCGGTAGTAGCGTTATACCCGGGAGGTAGTTGGGAAAGTAAAATCTTACTTTCTTCCATATGTGACAACAAATCTCTCTCATCTGTATGCTATGGGAACACAGCAGGCCTTTTGATAGCGACATATCAGTCACTTTGGATAATGACTCGATTTCATTGCCCCCATATGGAACATGGGGTTACCTGGACTGGGGGTATGCGGACGCAGTTCCTCTTTATGCCAAAGCAAGACGAGGAACGGACTGGATAACCATTGACGGTGTTAATGTTCCCGATGTCGACTTGATCACCATATCTGCTGGATGGCAAACTTACCCTGGTGGACAAGCGTATCCTTTGCAGGTTGGGGCCCTTTCTCTTGGAGGTCCAGATATCAATCAAACATTTGGAGATTCGATAAAAATCAACACGACCTTCATCACCAGCTACCTCTACGACCAGGAGGGGTCCACAAACATACCATCATATTCCTATGGAATGCATATTGGTTCCGCATCTTTGGGAATCCCTGGTTCACTTCTTCTGGGAGGATATGATCAGAATAGAGTGATGGGAGACGTTTCTGCCCAGTCATTTGCAAGTGGAAGCTTTCCGATTGAAATGTACGATATGAGTATTGGAGTGGCAGAAGGTGGATCGCCTTGGAATTACTCCAACAAAACAGGTCTCTTGGCGCAGGGAAATTCCTCCTTGGATTCCGGTCTCAAGATTATTGTGGACCCAGTCAGTCCATACATATATCTGCCTAAAAGCTCATGTGATGCGATAGCCGCTGAGTTGCCCGTCACATACCACCCTGGTTATGGCCTCTATTTTTGGAACACATCCGACTCGCAGTACGACAAAATTGCGACCTCCCCAAGTCATTTGGCGTTCACGTTTAGCAAGAACAGCCTCAATAACGAGGATATCACGATCAAGGTCCCCTTCGCTCTCCTGAATCTTACACTAGAGGCCCCGCTTGTGAAGATGCCAACGCAATACTTCCCATGCATGGCCACCAATAGCACCCCTGCTCTGGGTCGCGCTTTTCTTCAAGCAGCATTTGTCGGCGTTAATTGGCTTGGTGGGAAGTGGTTTTTGGCTCAAGCACATGGACCAGATGGCTCTTTCATTGTCAATACCGTGACAATAGGCGACAACAAATCCACCATTTCGGGGTCTTCCAACAGTTGGAAAGATACCTGGAAGAACACCTTGAAATTGATACCCACAGATTCCAACTCGAACACGACCAAGACGGATACCGGAACTACTAACAGCAAGGGTCTCTCCACGATTGTCAAGATCGGCATCATCGTTAGTAGTACTGTAGGCAGCGTTTTGATAATTGCCCTTTCTTGTGGGCTCTGCATTCGCCACCGTCGCCGGCAAGAGAAATCACTCAATCGAGATCAGAACAGTGCAACCAAGGGGCCATTTGACACATCGTCTTCAGCGCATCAATTCAACTACGTGGAAGCTCCAGATAATAAATGGAACCCACTATATGAATTGCACCACAGCAACCAAATATACGAGATGCGCTCGGAGAGAGGTCCTTTTTATGAGTTGAACTCAGACAAAGGTCCTATTGTTGAAATCGACTATAAAAAGGTAGTTCAGCATGGCCTCTTCGAGCTGCCAGAGCGGACGTCTGTCTTGGTGTCTAACTTTATCGGAAAGCTGCCATCATAATACTTCATGAATACCTTTTATGTCCTAAGCAGTTTATTCATTATGCCTGTGCGCATTTTATCGCTATTGTATGCTCATCTGCCATGTATAATAGAACTAATATGAACAAGCTTCTTGTTGAGATCTCCTGATCCTCTTTGTCAGGACTGGCAGCTACAAATAGCTTCCTCTCCTTCTTCTTTTCCCCTCAGGCGCAGTTTTAGCAGCTTCAATGCAGTCTTGCCTGCTCTCTCTTCTCCTGCTCTTTCATCACTTCTGCCTGAGATTCTCGAATATGGAAGTTCCCGCAAACGTGATGGAATCTTAATTTGTGATTTCATTGAAATAGCCGTGCTAGGCGTAGGCACCATGGGAGTGCCGATCTTTCGTAGTTGATTCCGATGTTTATCAACATTCGCGGCATTCAGGAAATTATAGCTGCTCGGCTGCTCTCAGAATAAGAACAAAGGGACTTAGTGTAAAGCCTGAGTGATAAACTTACTTTTTGTGTCGCAAATAAATAATTCTGCAAGCCTTCCCCCAGGAACTATCGGGAATGACACCAATCAGCTAATAAGTAGCCCATCTTGTGGCGGCGATGGTGAAAGTGGAAATTGATGGCCATTGGGTTGGTGAGGGGTGAGATGCTCTTAGAAGATGTTAGGGGCTCATTTTAAGCTGCGAGAGTAAAAGCCATCTAATTTTCATTCCGTGAACTATGCGATGGCCACTACTCATCCCGAGCCTTTGCATGTTTTTATAGTCGGCATGAGCTCTGATTCTGCAGGGCATAGGTGCCTTGCTGTTAGTGAGGTTCTCGCAACAAAGTGTTCAATCCGATCTAACTCCTGCTTACACGCAGCCATCACCCTCTTAATGACGACTCAAGCATGTGGCCTGCTGGCCCTCAGTTTTAGACATAGCATTGAAACTCGACTGTGAAAAGTTCGATTGTCAGATCTGCCGCTGCGGACTATCGAATAAGACTCGGCTGAACCGAAGACGAGAAAGTCGTCACCGACGCCCTGGTATGGCTCATGGCAGCCGTTGTGATATGATACCGCGACGCAAAATGCCAATGGACATCGCCTCGCTCACCATTCGGTGAAATCGTGTTCGGAAACAACTTGATTATCGCGCGTACTGACGGGTATTTGATAAGAGAGGTATTATTGTGCTTGTTTCACCTGACCTCAACGTATATCAGATAATTGATTGAAGCAAGTTGGGCGACTGGGTCTGATCTCTTTGTCCTCGAACCCCTTCGTTCTGTTTAAACTAGTACATCATATGTAGAAAGTTTCGCGACACTAGGGATTAAAATAGTAATACAGTCGTAGCGACCGGACTCGAATTATAAGGAACTCTCAGATTGTTTACCTTCGCCAATATTGTGCCTGTCCTAATGTGCCCCCATGCGTGGTTTAAAGAGTCCTCCCTGTCACCCTACAACATATGTATTTGACATTTCTTACCCTCCGGCCATGATCTCATGATGAATTTTACTATTAATCTGGATCGCCAAGCTGCTAAGCTCCTCTATTTATTTATTATATGTGGACTACAAAGGAATTTGAAAAAATGATAGAGCAGAAAGCTAGGTTTGATTTGAACAAATTGTAGAGTTCGTAGGACAATGTTATCGCTCCGCACGAATCGAACTAGACAAAAGTTAAGTTCGACTCGGTTTGAATAAAAACCGAAGTAAGGATCGGCATCAATTCGAATTCAAGATAGATTCTAATTGGCTTTCGAACTTTCACGGGTAAAGGGACACGGAGTGGAGCGGCTGAAACCAGCGTAACCTTGGAAATTGCTTGAGAAGTTTGATTACTCGCGCCAAGAATGACGTGGGTGTACCGCCGAGACATTGGAAAGTCTAGCGAGCCCTCATGTCATCCCGAGGTCACTAACCTTGGAACATATGTTATGGTTGTAACCTTGGTTTGCTTCTGAAAGCGTAGTTTTCGACATTGCTTGTCCTTAGTTTGGTTGTTTTCATCTACCAATGTTTTCTTGTGGTAAACAAATTAATCGAATGGCACTGGGCAGCTTATAGATCCTCAGATGGGATTCGGCTGTCTATGGAAATCTGATTCTAGACAGGTCATATACTCACGCGATAATACTAATCCTATAACTACAATGTACTATGCGTGATTAAAATGGGGGCGGGATTGAGATTTTACACTTGGCGTGGGGAGAAGACAAAAGCCAAGACCTGGGATTTTAAGCACTACCAAGAAGTCATCTTGGTATGTATATATGTAGCTCGGATGTATGTACCGGTTAGGAAAGGACTGACCCCAGGATGACCCCCCAGAGACCTATGAACCATGACTGAATGACCGCTCCCCGGAAAGAATTGGGTTAATATATATTCATAGAAATAATGATACTAATGCATGCATATGACAGGACACGGCGATACCGAGTCAGTCCCGATGACACGTGCTACTTAATCCCACACCGCCGTTGTCGGAAAGCCGGGCTTGAGACAAAAAGGGATTTGAGCCAGATTGTGCCGGTCCGTGTGCCTTGTGCCGCGCCGCGAAGGATTTGATTGTCGGGGCCCCGTGGGTATCTTTGGCCCCGAGCTTGGTACACAGGGCAACCTTTGTCCAGGGCCCATTTGAGAAACTTGGCGAAAAATTTCGACGTCATGTGGGGGCAAGAATAACTTGGCGAAAAGTTTTCGACGTCACGTTCGTGCGGAGAGGCCTTGGCGACTTGAGCTAGCTATACCCTAGCAGTATAATGTGAGTATGCTGAATATGCATACTATGAGAAAGATAGGAGAGTAAAATCAACCGCATAGTGGGAAGCATGATAGGATTCAATAATAGCGGAAATCCTACCCTATGCTAGATCTGTGCTGGACATTGGAAATCGGCCGGGCGGCCTCTAAATTAGTCATCCGTACCTAGATACGTGGATCCGCCAAGCGCCCCGCCAATTACCCCCGCCAATTACCCCTCGCCAAGCGCCCCCGCCAAGCGCCAAGGTAAAAGATTCCCGCGCTTCTCTCCGCTTCGGGAACTGCCTCGCCTTCGCTGGACTTTCCGGTTCGGGGTCTGACCGAGGTTGCAGTATAAGTCCGATATTGAAGTTACGTTATTGCGGTACATCTGCCATGGAGGTCTTTTGCTATAAGACCACCAATTCAGTCCACTTTCCCTACTAGTTTTTCCCCAAGTTTCTCTTACCCCACCTCCCCAAACTGACGGCTTTTGCTTTGTTCATACCGTCAACATGTGGACGACCACCAGCGGCTTGAGTGGTCGGTCACTCCGGCTGAGCATCACCATCGCCGCTGTCATGGGTTTCTCGCTCTTCGGCTACAACCAGGGCATGATGGCCGGCCTCCTTAACGGTGACGAGTTTGTAAACTCCTTCCCAATCATCAGACTGCCCGAGGACGCAACTCCCGCGCAAGAACACTACATCAATGTCATCCGTGGTGCTATCACATCTTGCTATGAGCTTGGCTGTTTCTTTGGCGCCTTGTTCTCCATGTTCTTCGGTGACAAACTCGGCCGTACTACCCTGATCTTCATCGGCGCTAATGTCCTGATTGTTGGTGCCTTGATCACAACGGTCTGCTTCACTGGTAAATGGGAAGTCGGTCAGTTTGTTATCGGCCGTGTTGTATCAGGTATTGGAAATGGCATGAACACGGCCACAATCCCGGTCTGGCAATCAGAATGCTCCGGCGCGCACAACCGTGGCTTCCTGGTCTGTTTTGAAGGTGCTATGATTGCTGGTGGCACGTTTATTGCCTACTGGGTAGTTTTTGGTCTCTCACACGCCGCGGATACCGTCCAGTGGCGATTCCCTATTGCGCTCCAGATCTTCTTTGCTTTGACTGTGGGTCTCGGTGCCTTGCTGCTCCCGGATTCTCCCTCGTGGTTTGTAAATAGAGGACATGACAAGGAGGCCTGCGAAGTTCTCGCTAAGCTCAATGGTACCACTCCTGACTCTGATAAAACACTTCACGACTTCAACGTCTTGAAGACGGACGTGGAATCCTCAAAGAACTCACAGTCAAGCTGGAAGGCAGTATTCACCTTCGGAAAGACCCAGGAATTCCAGCGCCTTCTCATTGGTTGTTCCGGCCAATTCTTCCAGCAGTTCACCGGCTGTAACGCCGCTATTTACTACTCAACGCTACTGTTCCAGGAAAACCTGCATATGGAAAAGAACCTATCTCTTATCATGGGCGGAGTGTTCGCTACCGTCTACGCCATTGCAACCATCCCATCTTTCTTCATGATTGAAAGAGTTGGCCGTCGCAACCTATACTTGATTGGTTTCCTGGGCCAGGGACTCAGCTTTGTCATCACCTTCGCTTGTTTGATCAAGGAAAACGAGCAGAACGCTAAGGGTGCTGCCGTTGGAATCTTCCTCTTCATCACCTTCTTTGCATTCACTCTATTGCCGCTGCCCTGGATCTACCCGCCCGAGATCAACCCCCTCCGTACCCGTACTGTCGGTGCGGCGGCGTCGACCTGCACCAACTGGATCTGCAACTTTGCCGTTGTCATGTTCACCCCGCTGTTCGCTAGCCAGAGTCCATGGGGCGTGTACCTCTTCTTTGCCCTGTTCAACTTCCTCGGTTTGATCTTTGGCTTCTTCTTCTATGTTGAGACAGCCGGTCGCGATCTTGAGGAGATTGACATCATCTACGCCAAAGCCCACGTCGAGGGCAAGATGGCGTGGAGGGTCGCCCAAGACATGCCCAAGCTCAATTTCGAGGAGATGGTCCAGCAGTCTCGTGACCTGGGCTTGGATACCAACGATCATGTCGCACATGAGAAGAGCGAGCTCGGCCTCGGCAGCGACAGTGGCCAGGAGATCGAGGAGGTTCGGGAGAAATAGTAGCACACTTTTTGGACGTGCTATAGCTGTGCTATAGCTGTGGTTGAAGGTGACGATGATATTTGAAACTTGATGTTGTATAATGTCTTTTTTAACGTTTTGTTCATTGTTTATTTCTGTTCTTGTGGATATCTCAATATCCTGGCGATAGAACTGATGGCAGTGCTTCCGGCGCATATATATATCCAACGCAAGGAAGGGATGTTCTTTTATATTTCAATCTGTTTTTCTGATTTGCTGGCACTTTAACCCTGCTCAATAGATGAATAATAACATTCATGACTAGTCCTGAAAATTAATTGGTAATTAGCAGCGACTTCATACTTGATCGCCATTGTTCTCTATCGTGAGCCATCTCACTTAACGTTCAAGCTGAATGCTTTGCTAGCCCTGATCAAGGACAGCTCAACACGCACACTACACTCCAACCCTAGCTGAACACTCTACAGCCCGAATAATTAACGCGGACAGCAAAACATGTGCTTTATGAACATATCGACTATAGATAACATGGTCTCCATATACTCACGAGAGACAATGGCATCATTGAAGAAAATCAATAATACCGTGGAGGTGGGTCAAGAAATAGAGCAAACTACGATATTTGGACAAATCCCTGATTATACATAGAAAGGTCCTTTGCACAAAGTATGCTTTGTTTTGCTATCATTACATGCGTCTCAATATACCAGCCAAACAGACGTCACAAGACCGCAAACGCGTTTGACTGTTTTTGTATGTTCAATACTCTGCAAGTGTGTTATATATCTCGGGCTGGAGTATACAATTCCACATGTCCACCTCCAACCAAGCTCCCCAGATTTTACACAAACACCACGGTGTACGCCTGGATCTTCCATTCTCCGTCCGTTTCCACAAAAGAGATCTCAGCTCCCCACTTTCCCTCGTGGAAACGGCCGTCTTGGAATTGATACTCGGTTGAGCCTTTCACCATTACGTCGTGAGTCCCTTTTCCGAGCACATAGACTTTCCGAGGCTTGTGGTTTCGCCATTGGACATTATCCCATGATCTTTGGATCATTTCTTGAATTTCTGGTCTTATGTTAAAAGCTTTCATGGGATGGATTAAGAACCAATAACTTACCATCCCGTCCATTAGAAATTTTGCCATTCCTCAATATTTTGGCGGTGGTCGTGAAGCACTCAACCCATTGTTGAGTACACTCCCGCTTGTCAGAAGTGTCCATGAGATGCTCGAGGACTTCGCGAAGGTGTTTGGGGAAGAGCTCTTCATCGTACAAAAGGTCGAGGACAGCCATTTTAGAGGTCAAGGCGTGTGTGATTTTTGCGTGGGGTATAGAAGAAGGAACCCGAGTGATGATGCGTTTGTATTGTCAGGTTGGTATGTGTTCCTTTTATCTGTTTAACGATCTTGATGTAAAAATCACCGGGTCTTCATTATTACTGTGGAGAAGAAAACAGTACTCCATTGATGCCGTGGAGAATAAAGAGAGTGCTCAGACCTTCATTTATCATGTGGAGAACATTGTTGAACTAGGAGAGGGGAATATAGATAACGATGGATTTGCATTGAGGAAATTGTGGCTATCTCGATATGCCCACCTTGGTCTAACCAAGAAAGTGAAGGTCCCTAATGATACGGATACAGCTGGGAGTTCGAGCTTGGCATCCTGGTAATTTCCATCCAGTATGGGCTTTACCGCGGCGTTTAATCTACGTGAAACTACTTGTTACGACAACGGATATAGATAATGACTTGCTATAATTTAGATTCAATACTAACTTGCTACTGATTGTCGTACAACTTTGTTATTTGGCCGCGTGAGGTTGCGGCGCAGTGGCCATCGGTTCAGCAGTTGGTGACATTTAAAGCGTGTTTCAATTTAACCATACACCGATGAATGCCTTCGTCAAGACCTTGGGGGTCGACATTATTCAAATATTACATAAAATTGCTGTAGCACTATTAGAGTTTCAATATGATACATAGTATGCTCTTTCCGTATATTGAAGTGCCTTTAGACAATTGTGACATAGAAGGCTGACGTACCAGTTTGTGTACGAATAATTGAAGAGGGAAATTTACAAGATGATGGAATGACAAAGGAAAATGAATACTGATATCCCGATGAACTAAGCGATAGATGAAAAGGAATGTAGAGGTTGGTTTCTTATACAGCCTAGATACTTGAAAGTTAGACAAACTCGAGAGGCAAAAAGCATGCAAGTCTACTGAGGTGCTCAGACGAGATACACGGGCATTCACGATATAAATTTCACAGCTAGCTCCGAGCCCAGATGGCAATCCGCTCAAAGAGGGCGTCTCCGTCATGAGGCCTTTTAACGCTTTCAAATATTTCACCAAGCTCCTCCTTGCTGAGGCCCGAGGTGAAAGCGCCTGTGTCTGCGTCCAGGATTTCCTTGGCCATATCGCCTATCATCTCGGGATGCCCTTGGAAGGTAAGGACATTATGCGCGTCAGACAGAAGAATTTCGTTTTCCGTTGCTAGTGGAATATATCCAGGAGGAGCAATAGTCACTACCCTCTTATGGAACTTGTGGATTGCCTGTGTCGCTATTGTAAGCCTAAAGCCCAATGCATCAAACAACCACACTTTGACTCACGATATTTTCCTTATCTAGTCCAAAAAAGGATTTTCCCTCTTGTGTCGTGGCAATATTTTGGACACCAACCTATGAAATTTGCCATCAGCGTTGCTTGGTTTTAGTGAACCGGCTAAATATACTCACAACTCGCTCTGTCTTAACGGTTCCAATCTTTCCACCAAGTGCACGCGCGACTACTTGATGGCCCCAGCAAATTCCCAAAATCTTTGTTTTCGGGTGGTCTCTGGTCGTTGTGTTGATAAATTGGAAAGTATCTTCAACCCATGGATCCACTTGCTCCTGGGTTAGATTGAAAGTTCCCCCTGTCAAAATGATCAAATTATAGTCTTGGGCGTTTGGAAATGGTGTTCCCTCAATAGGATGGAAAAGGTCAATTGCTGCACCAGGGAAAAGTCCCTCGATGGTGCGATACCATGAGTCAACTATGTCTTGGACCCATTTCTCGCCGGAGACATAATTTCTGCATAGAGCAACTTTGAATTGAGTCATTCTCGTCGTGGTGGTTTGCGACCAAAGGAAATCGAGATGTGGATTTTAAGTGCCGTATTGAGATATTAAAAAAGAGAAATAGAGTTTCTTTATATGGAAAAAATGATAATCAGAGGGATTAGTACCAAATTGGACAAGGTATGGAGTAGATAAATTGGTGGAGTAGTAATTCCCGTTGGAGAACTAATGCCCAAACGACAATTATTGCAGTTGATTGGACATTGGAGAGGCAGTGATAGGAGTGAGTTATCAGTTCAAATCACCCAATCTTTGGAAATATTACACCTTACCTTGACAACCTTGGAGGCCTGGTCGGAAACTCCTGCCCATAAATGGAGATAGAGCCCATCCCCTATCTAAACTAATTCCTCCAATTTTCCGAACTCGGTTAGCAATCCTTATACATTCGCTTTGTTTCTAGGCTTCCTGTATTACGCAACGAGTCAAATCGGATATATTGTGCGTGTTAGGTCCACAAATTCTATGCCGAGTGACTTTTATCGTGGAGATTCGTGCATCCACCTGTAGACGTGGGCAGTAGGCCAGACAAGGTGTACTAGCATCACTTTAGTATCACTAGACGAAGTTTATAATACCACGTATATAATATTCCGCATGGAAATATAAATATATAATAAGGTCGAGACTGGACTCAAATATATCAGACAATAAATACTACTATCAGTTTTATTTCCGCAAGCATTCCATGAGTTTTGACTACAAGTGGCTCGTTGGCTAGCCGGACAATGACTCCCGATATTGAGTATTCTTTGTCGCGTCCTAGCGTAGGCTCCGCATAGTGAATAGAACATAATAAAGTCTAATTTTGAAGTAAGGAAAAAAAAAAGAAATGATTGTAAGAGATCCAAGATGTGATAAGAGACACGTGATTGGTTCGGATATTCAAGGGTTCCCCGCCTCCTGATCAACCTTGAGTTATCTACGGAGTAGAAATGTAGATACATACACATATGTATCCAGAGAGTGGACATATACATATCTAGCCACAGGAATTGCTTCAATCTGTTCAAATCAAAACCCATTGCCTCGTCCAAAATTCATGATGCCTCGTGGAAGACCCAAGGTTCTTGTGTCACCGTGCAGGTTCTGCAAAATGCAGTTCAAGCGAGTGGAACATCTGCAGCGACATGAACGCATTCGTGGGTTTTACTTTTATCTCATAGTCTCTCTTGCTTGGCTTACAAGCTCCAGATACTCAGGAGAAGCCATTTGCTTGTGACTGTGGAAAGAATTTTTATAGACGGTAATTCAAAAATTTCTTGAGAGGATTGTATGCTTTTATCTCACTATAAATGCCTAGGGATCTTCTCATGCGCCATCGTCGACTTGACCATCATGAATCAATTGTCGAACCATGCACGGTAAATCTCAACCAAAAGGACGCGACAGTGACAGAAGCCAGGTAGGTCATCTATCACTTGCGTGGAACTTGCGCTTACTTACCAAATCAATCACTAGTACAGCGGCCGAAAACCTCGATCCAAACTCATCACCCGTGGAGACAAGAACGATGAATTTCAACCAAAACGACACGCCCGAGACAGAAGAAAGGTAAACTATATATCGCCTACTTGAGATGCGTACTAACTCGTCCATCCTCAGACTGGCCCCATCCCTTGACACGTCACAATCTTCTCCAACGCTACTTCTACCGGTCACTGAACCAGCGGAGGATTGCTCGGTCATTCCAAGTGCTTCTGTTCCTGAGCTACCCTTCGAACACTCACATTACACTGGGCTCATGTCTCATGATCCAATATCCAACTTTGATTTCAACTCTACCTATGAGTTTGAGATGATGTGGAACAATAGCAACGACATTGCTGATTTTTTACCTGCAACATTTTTTGACACCGATTTTTCATTGTCTGATATCTGGCAGACAGATAACATTAGACTGAATAACTCGATGGCACCGGTTTCTCACACTGAGACAAGCATACAACACTCGATTCCCAGCAACTCAGATGGATCCCTGTCTTTTATTTCGCTTCCATCTCGGCTCCCTCCTTTAGAGCCAGACTCACTCTCATCGCGCAACGAGAGACTACCTCACAACGAGTTAAACTCACCGACAGGTGTTGACCATGCTACAGACACGGAAACTCCATTGCCATGGGTCATTTCTGCACTTGCATATGACCGAATTGCTGCTGGTATCCGAAAATACGAAAACATTTTGCCCGCCGGGTTTCTCATTCCGTCGAGACATACCATTTCCCGATACATTTCGGGATATTTCCGAGGCTTTCATGAGCATTTTCCTTTCATCCATCCCCCAACTCTCAAAATGGACAAGATATCACCGGAGCTTCTCCTTGCGATGGTTGCGATGGGTGCATTTTGTCGGGTCGAGAAGAGGAAGGGGTATAAGCTATACTTGGCCTCTAAAGCGATCATCTTGCATCAACTTGAAAAGCGTACTCGGCTATCTCTTGCTGGTCTTGCAAGGGGCTTATCCAATACTCCGAGCAATAGGAGTTCTGGATCAAATCCCGCCAATATTGATGGCCGTGAAAGGTATGATCCCCGCTATTCTCCTAGCAAAACGACCACTTCTCCATTGGGGCTACAAACACTACAATCCCTCGTCATTTTAATAGCAATGGCGATGTGGGCTGATATGCCAGCGGTGCAAGATGCTTTGTCAATGGGAAGCCAGCTTGCGATGCTTACCCGAGAAGCCGGGTTAGGACAGGGAGACGAGATAATTGGAAGATGCGCTTGGTCAGATTGGATCAATCGAGAAGAGCGTCGACGCACTCTTTTCGTTTCTTATATCCTTCTAAACCTCTGCAGTATCTCCTTTGATGTGCCCCCTTTGATCCTGAACCAAGAAATTCGCCTTTCGCTCCCCCACTGTAACACAGAGTGGGTGAACACATCTGCGGCCGAATGGCAGTACACAAGGGAAACATACGGTCACACCGAGCGACAGTTCCAGTCAACGCTCGCGGACATGATGACAGGAACAGACGTCCACCATGAAGAGCCACTTTCTGCTCTTGGAAATTATGCCTTGATAAATGCCTTGATCCAAAGCATATACTTTGAGCGACAAAGCACGACTAGCCACACGATCCGTCTGGATATTGTGAAGAAATTCGAATCTGCTCTCCAGGCATGGCAAAGATCTTGGGAAGCAACCCTGGAAACTTCACTTGACCCTGAATCCCCTCGGGGACCTCTCGGATTCAACTCGGCTGCCTTGTTGAGACTCGCATATCTCCGCCTCAATGCGAACCTCGGCCCATGTCGAAACCTATTATCGCAGGACCCACAATCCATCGCCCTTATTTTCACAAACAACTCACCTCCATTATTTACACGCTCTTTACATGTGGACCGGGCTGTCCTTCAATGCATCCACGCGCTCAGTATTCCAGTGCGGGTAGGCGTCGCCTTTGCTGCGTGTACACAGTCGGTGAATGGGAGTATCCAACATCCCCTCTGTACGTTAGAATGTGCCATTCTACTCAGTCGGTGGCTGGGTATTATTTCCGATGCGATAGAGAAGTCAGGGCTGGAGTCCCTACGAGAAGATGAACGAAAGCTGCTGGGAATGATTGCCAGCCTCATAAGAGAAACGGATTGGGCAGATACACTGGAGAGTAACGAGGCGGATAGTTACTGTATCCGTCGAATGGCAGCGACTGTTGTGAGACTGTGGGCCGAAACATTCCAAGGTGTGCATATATTTGAAATCGTTCGGGTCATTGGGGAAACACTGTCGATCGTGGCAGAAATTCTTGAGAGAAGGCTAGAGCCACAAGAGAAACCTACTTTTATAGGTTGAATCGACAAGGTGGAATGATAGAATATGTACAATGGCTTGATTCCAACAAAGAGGCGTAATAATTGCACCCAGTCCAAAAAAAACAGTAAATCTTCATATCCTATTACAGGACCTGTCGCTTTCCAGTGATAGTCGACCAAAGCTGGTGCATAAACGAGATATCTCAACATTGCTTCATGCGTACTTGTGGAAGACCTTTGCGATAACCTGCCATTGACCATCGATCTTAATGAGAGTGAGGAAGTCGGTGTAGTCGGCACCCGAGGCGTCACTTTCCATGTCAATGCGGACGACGGCGGTGGTTTGAGTGATTGCAAGTACATCATTGCGAGTCTTGATGTTGGGGGCGCTTCCATTGTCACGAACAAAGGTGTAGAGGTTGCCAATGGGTCCAGCTAGCATATCGGGCTTAGGAGGGTTGATAAAACCGTACATAACGGCGTCTTTGTGGAATGCCTGGGCGACGGCATCAGAACTACCTGAGCGCAGACCCTCAGTGTATTTGTTAGCTGTCTGGATGACGGCATCGAACTCGGCGGTAGGAACGGTCTTGATGTTGGCGGCCATTTTCTAGATTTGGAGGTTAGAGAGAGGTCTCGGATCACGGGTCACGGAAGAGCGACGTACGAATGATATAGAGAAGTAGATTCGATTGCACAAAAAGGATTCAAGTGTTGCTGTTAGGATGAATTCTGGTTCTTGAACGAGGTCAACTTCGGATTTTATATTGCTAGAATGGCTAATTATCTCTCCAACTGGCGACAGCTGGCCGTTTGGAGGATGCACTAGATCCGCATGAACATTTTTAGGGACCTGTTTATTCCACTCCACGTAGATAGAGGTGGGGAGATATTTACACCTATGAGGACATGATAATAACTAATTTACGCTCTATGCACCTACCTACCTAGTGGAAACTATTGAACGGTGAGTACCCGGGCCGACCTCGGGATTATAGACCTAATTACGTCATTAATACCCCTAGGCGCATCTATCGTGAACTCAAATGTTCGGACTATTAGTATTTCCACACACCGAGATCCACATTATTCCCTCCAACATTCAGGGGCTACCCCCACAACCACAACCTCCAACTATGTACGGAGTACATCTTGCCTATCGCAAGTTTTTTTTCCATTGGCCACACAAGCCGAGATCCTAAGCCTAGTTTATCAAAGCGTCAACCGAGTACTGACCGCTTTATGCGTGGATGTGAACGGAAAGGGAGACACTGAAGGCACTGGTACCTTTCCACCGAGTCATTGAACTGTAGTGTTTTGATTCTAGTATTTTATTAGCAAACAATTTAGCTATGTCCTCTCCTAGTTTGAGAATATGTAGCACTGGGATATGAGCCGTGCTAATTATATGGGAGGTCTCATTTGTCTAGGTACCCAGCCTCCTAAACGGGACGGCTTATGATGGCTTATAATGAAAAAAGAATATTCTTGCATGAGAGGCACTACGGGCACACTGTTTTATTTGGGGCACACTCTGTTGCTAACCCGATTGAGCTATTTTCTCTTCTAGGATTTACAAAACCGCTGATTGGGGGTTCATTCAGCCGACACCCAATTTATTCCATCAAGCAATCCGCTCGCTAAATTTTGATGACCAGCCTTCCAGTAAATGAATATGTAGCAGCCCTCTCAGGAATATCCTCTCCCTCCTCTAGAGTAAGGATGGTCAGATGGCTGACAACTCCATTGTCAACCACCGCTTTGATCATTTTCTTAGCTTCATCAACAGGGCAATGCAAGGATCCCTTCACGACAATTTCTCGGAATACGAGATTGAATGCATCGAATTTGAAACCAGATTCTGGGAGACCAAGAACGACACAGACGCCCCTAGGCTGAAGGCGATGTAAAGCCCAGTCACTGGCCGAAACATCATCAGTGCAGACCACAGCACCATTCAACCCAATACCATCCGTAAACTCAGAGATCTGTTGGATGGCCTCATGGCTATTGAAATTTATTGTAATATCGGGTCTGAGATTGGCGGGGACCTCGGATGCAAGCTTCAAACCAACATCACGGTTGTCTATAGCGACAACCCGCAACCCTCGAGCTTTGGCAAACTGTATAGCGAGAACCCCAAGCCCGCCGATCCCAACAATGGCCACCGAACTTCCCTTCTCCAACCCGGTTTCCTTGATCGCATTCCATACGGTGGCCTGCATGATTCTCGTCAGTGAACATGTTCCCATACGCATATACTAAAGGGAGGGACGTACACCAGCACACATTAGTGGCGCCGCCTGTTCAAAAGACAGCTCATTTGGCAAGCGGACAAGTGCATAGTGCGAGGCGACCATATACTCCGCAAATCCGCCGTCGGCTTTCAGAATACCGCTCATGGTTTTGTTCTCGCAATAGCGGGCATCAAGAGAGCTGTACGTCTTCATCCGCCATCTGCATCCATTGCAGGTATTGCATGGCTCCCTAAAATTGACTACACCAACGCGGTCATCTACCTTCCAATCGCCCGGTACATCAGAGCCGAGTTTTACAACCGTACCCGCAGGCTCGTGTGAACCGGTGAAAGGCAGCTGCGTTCCGTATACACCTTGATAGACCTGGTAATCTGTGTGGCAAAATCCCGCCGCAGCCACGCGGATGAGGAGCTCTCCTGGACCAGGAGTGGGGACTGGAACATCGGTGCGAAGTTGGTAGTTCTCATTGTACTGGTTGATTGTCAGCTTGGTTTCTGATTGAAGATTATTATGTGCCTGGAGATGGAGAATCAGGCATACATTGATCAGCCTCAGCGCCTTCATGGTCGCAGGGATACGTTTCTGGGCCATAGTTGTAAATAAGTCCCAAATGTTGAATGTACAAATTAATGAAAGGCAGTGAAAAGCCCCGAAGATGAAACCAAGAACACCTCGGGATGACCTTGAAATGATTATTTAGTTGCCAACCTACTCCAGGGAGAGCTGTATGAGGCTCCACATTAGCCCCACCCTGGAGTCGAAATTCTCCAAAGCTGCGTGGATTTTTACCTCCACACAAATTGCAACGACAAGATTTACAGTATTTGGGAGTTTAAGTGGGAAATTTTACCCAAGGCTTGATATTAACTTGAACCTATTTTGGATAGAGATACGTGACAAAAAAATACATTGAGGCTATATTTTCCCTTTCAACTCAACATCCTTTTTGTATTCATTCGGGGAAAAGTAGTACAGTGAAAACACATGATGCTGTTGGGGTTTCAAGAATAGCCGATCAAGAAATAAGAAGCTACATAAGAGCAAAACTGCGACTAATACTAGGGCTCGATGCTTAAAACTCCAGCCGCCCATAGGAGAGAGATCCCATCCTTTAAGTTCTTCATTTGCATACATATGTGCCATAGTTGTTAATACGTTGAGATTTAGGCAAGAATTCTATTTTAGTATATATGTAGTAGTAGGTTGCGGCGAAGGGATCATTTTTCAGTCAAGTTTGGTGTCCGATATGCGTTTCTGACCCCCAATCCATATACCCGTCGAATTCAGCCAACCTCCATAGGTCAGAGTTCACTCCAATTCAAACAGTGAGCTTCGCCATTTTTTCCTGTCATTTGAAGCATATATATCTGGTAGGTAGTAGGAGGTTGGTCGACAAACTTTGCCCCAACAGCACGGTCTTCCTATCGAGGGGACTAGTCCCCTCCCCTTCCGAGAGAGCCAAGATATCAAGGGGCATGGTTTTTACGTAAAAATAGGAAGCCTAGTGTAATTAGCTACGGCAAGATAGTAGTACTGGTATATTATTGAAGTCTGGATTAATCAGAGGTCAAGGGTCTGAGGAATGGATCAACTAGCCGAAGCGAGAAGTTTCCGCGGGGTAATCTCGGCATGAAGTACTGATATACACCCATGAAGTAAAAGGATGGTAGTAATAGATGTTGTATCTTTATCAGTGGCAAATAATAGGTCAACTCGCTGAATGCTTCGGAAAGATAGGCCTGCCAAGAGAGAGTTGCTGCCAGGTGATGTTTGGCTAGACTGAAGGGCTACGCGGATAGATGGGCTCCATTCGATATCACTATGCTGTATTGAGAGGGGTTCAAGGAATAAATGGAAAAAAAGAAAACCTATCTAAGCTAGTTTATGGGGAACTACCCCACCTGGCTAGTTTGCCGTAAGTACTACTTACTCTGGGTCTTTTTCGGGGGGTAATCAACAGCCGACGAGCGATAGATACAGAATAAAGAGTCGATTGGCTTTATCAAGCTAATTTATCGATTACTCAAAGCTATTGAATGGACCTAAGTCCTAAGTGAACGAGCTAGTCGGATTGCATATGATTGGCTGGGGACGCTTGTGGCTTGAACAGCTCGAGACCTTCTAAGGTTCTGTGAATTGAGAAGAACAATCGCGATAAGGATTATCTCTTAACACCTCCAATATCGCAAAGCCCAGAACTCTGACTTCTTTTCGTCTCCAAATCTGATTGTTAAAAGTGTAAGATAGGGCCACCTATAACCACTCTTTGAATTTGACATTGTCTCCATCTTCTCTGTGGAAAACACATCCTCTAGTACCTATTCATCTGACCTCCGAGTTTTGCATTAAATTATCCAGTCCTACAATTTCTCTGGGAAATAAACTCCTCCTCTCGGACTCGGAAACATGGGGACAAAGGATTCCTCAACGACTGTGAAGCTTGACACGCTTCCGAGACAATCCCAAGATGTTGAGATCGGCATTGTTCGCCCCATCTTGGCCAGTGATGTTGATCTTAAGCGGGAAGCCAACTCCGCAGATCAGCCCAATGAGGCCGAGATTTTCCTGGCAGAGCACAATGCTGAATGGGGTCAGTATACGGCAGGCGAAGCTAAAAGCGTTCTTCGACGCATTGACTGGCGTATTCCCCCACTCATCGCCATCACAATGACTCTAGCTGGAGTAGACGTGAGAAAAACCCTTCCTAGGTAGCCATATCACTACTAACAGCAGTAGAAAATCCTCATCTCAAATGCAACCCTTTATGGAATGACCGAAGACACCGGTCTTCACGGACAACAATACAATTAGGGCAAGTCTTCAAGCCGGAAACCATGGTGTAAGATAATCAACTAATGGCGATGTATAGTTGCGTCAATTTTCTACTTTGGATACATGGCTGCCACATTCCCTGCCAATGCAATGCTTCAAAGAGTTCCTGTGGGAAAGGCTCTAGGATGTGCAACAATAGGATGGGGGATCATCGCCATGTTGATGGGGGCTACTAAAAACTTTGCAGGTCTTTTGGTGCTTCGTTTAATCATGGGGTGTTTTGAAGCGCCCATATTTCCTTGCATCACTACTCTGGTTGGTATGTGGTACACGAAAAAGGAGCAGCCAACCCGTACAGCAATCTGTTTTGCTGTATTCTCGACGGTATGCGGTCTGCATTGATTGTAATATCCAAGGTACAATTGCTAATATGATGTAGCTGATTACTGGTACCGTTTCATACGGTATTGGACATGCAAAAACAAGTGTGGCTCCTTGGCGACTGCTGTTTCTTGTTTTCGGACCTGTTACAATCCTTTGGGGTGGAGTATTGTTTATCTTCCTCCCGGACTCACCGCTAAAAGATGGGTTTATGAAAGGCAAGGAAAGATTCATTGCGATTTCCAGAGTTAAGGGAAACATGACCGGCATTGAGAACAAGGTCCGAAATTATCACTCCAAACCTTTCTTTCTTTTCCTGACGACCTACTTATAGGAACTAAAATGGGATCAAGTGCAAGAAGCTTTCCTGGACTACAAAACTTATGCACTCTTTTTATTCTACTTGTCGAGTAATGTTCCCCTTGGTGGTCTCTCAACATTCGCCGCACAGATCGTATCGGGTCTGGGTTATTCCTCCCTTGAGACGACTTTACTTGGAATGCCTACGGGGATGTTCCAGACCTTCGCCGGTCTTATGGTTGCCGTTCCACAGCGTTGGCTCAAGAACAAACGCTGTCTCTCTTCGGGACTGTGCTGTTTGGTACCATTGGTTTTGCTCTATCATTATACGACGTGGGTGCAATACCACAAACTTGGCATTTCTATTACTCAACTAACTGCTCTACTATATAGGGTTGCCGGACGAGAACATGACCGGGAAACTTGTCTCCTACTACTTTTTCTTTTTCTTTTGGGGCCCTTATGCAACAGGTGGGTTTGACTATTGGCAAAAGATGACTGAAAGCTAAATGAACATATCTAGTCCTATCGCTACCCATGGCCAATGTGTCGGGACATACAAAAAGGCTCACGGTAAACGGTTGCATCTTTGTGGCGTACTGCATGGCCATGGTAATTGGACCACAGCTCTTCATTGAGAAAGAGGCACCTCAATATGCAACTGGTTACAACTGTATCTTGGGATTTGAAATATGTGCCATTCTTAGCTTGGCTGTGTATGCGTTCGGATGCATGATTGAGAACAAACGTCGCGACCAGCGGGAAGGCAAAGATATCCAGGTATCAACTGCCCATCAGTTGAGCGACCTGACAGATTGGCAGAAGAAGGGGTTCAGATATATATATTAGGCGTTGATACGAGAGGGATTGAATGACAGCTCTTTTGCGGGCTGAATACGAGATTAGCGTCTGGATTGGTTTTTTCATAGCAAATTGAAGTTCTTCTTATTGATAATTGGACCCTACATTATGAGGTTGGACAGAAAGAAAAGAAGGGGAAAAAAAGCAGCTCCAACGATTGCAAAGAGAGCATGATTGAAAATGTCTGCTCTTCCTGATACGTATTTACTACGATGCAGTTACTTTGGTGAGTTTGAAATCAAAGTGCAAAAGCTTGAGAAGGCAAATTTCTAGGGCTACGAAGGATTATAGGACTCAGGGTTCAAAACTCCGTTTGTAGGTGGAAATTGATGCCTGAATGCCTTATCTAGCACCGGCTTTTACATTGCTCTAGTTATACAGTGTATGGTAAATTCATTAATACTACAACTATCAAAAATGAAGCTTTTGGCCCTATAAAAATGAAGCTATCTTTATAAAAGAATAGTCGGCCGCCTTTGCGGCCTTATGATGTCATTTCAGATGGTCTTTTCAGATGGTCTTTTCAGATGGTCTTTCAGATGGTCTTTCAGATGGTCTTTCAGATGGTCTTTTTAGGATATCAAAAGCTTCATTTTTGGACTTAAGCGCGACCACAATCAGTGTACTTTGATTATGAAGATATGTGTAATAGTAATTCAGGAATCTTAATTTTTCTGCCGTTCTAAAGTCAGGCGTTCAGGCACTAAACCAACTATAAAAGGGGTTTTGAACCCTGAGTCCTATAAGTCTTCGTATAGGGCGTAGGGACTTGAACATCGCATCTGATTTCTATCATATTCGCTCTTTGAAGTCATCCGTCGGGTTTCTCCGCGATATTATCCCCTCTCCTTCTTTTTATTACATTATTGCGTTTCAAACAAATGATCTGTCGTAAACGAACCTAACATTCATTCATAGTCTGTCGAGAATCCCAGTCCATCATCTAGGATCAACGCGCTCATACACCGAACCATAGTCTGGCAGCCCGCAAACCCCGTGCGTACTGGTGCACATCCAAGTAAAACCTCCATGGGCTCAATGCAACATGCACCGCATGGCAGTCAGTATCAATCGCAATAAGGGCATCCGGATGCCTCTGATTCCAATACTGGCCAAGGGTAATGGGATACATGAGGCCTGTCGCCGCCATAGCGCATCCTGCCACGAGGGCAAGACAAAGCACTGGTGAGAACCTGTGGTAATACTCTATGAATGAATTTTTCGAGTCATGGCACTTGTTCACAAAGGCAATGAACGGTGGCAAAAACACGCAACCTGAGCAGAGAACCAAATATCCAAAAGGGAACCCTTGAGCGATATCCCCTGGTAAGAGAAAGGGTTTGGTACTGAAGAGGGAGGATTTTGAGCAGAGCTCTTCAGCTGAGCAGGTTGATGTTCCTGGTGCACTTGCAACCTGGGTTGCCAGGCATGTATAGCTATCATAGACGGCTCGGTTGCCTTGAGCCTGCAATGCGTATACTGTAGCACCCCATTGCAAAGCTGCTATCAGCGCAAAGACCCAAGGTAGAACGCGCTTTATTCCGGGCGATCGGCCAAGGGCGCACGAGTACGGATGAAGTCGGACCTGGCTGGAATATCGCCAGGCGGTCGTCCAAGCGATGAGAGAAATTGTGACCTTGGGGACTGGGTTGGTGATTAATTTGGCGAATGAGACCCACCAGCCGACGATAGGCCCGCATACCTCCCAAATAAAGACCAGCCAATCAATCACACTAAGCTCTCGGAGGCCACGACAAGGCTTTGGGTTGCGATGGCGCTTAAACCACGGAGATGACTTCCATATAACTTTCACAGCACCAATCGAAGCCATAATAATGTTTAACCAGCTGTATAAGGCAGTGAGACCCATGGCGGAGTCGTTTGGCGACGACGGAATAACTTTGTAGTCGTTGAAGCAGCTGGCTATTTGACACCAGTCATATGAAGGGTTGCCATTGCCTCCGTAATTCGTCTCCGATATATAGTGATTGCCTTCCCCGTTCCAAAAGGTCGTTATCGCGGTACAATTGTTTGCATCTGGTACTACGGCTGCGCATTCCTTGAATCGGGTGTTCTTGTAGAATTGAAAGTCTGGGCCGGGGGAAGCTTTGTATTTGACCAGGAGTGTGGTGAAAATGCTGGAAATAGCGATAAAATTGAGCGTCCCAATTGCCATGATGACATACACCGCGACGATGATAAAGCGCCTAATGATTGTGGAACCCTGAGTATCCCTAGTATAAGGCCAGTAGGCTCGATGGCATCTACCTTCTTCATCTTCGTCGAGCGGATGTTAGCGGGTTCTGCTGTCTTCACTCCTCCTTAACTTTCAGAGGTTACATGATGGAAGAACAGAGCTACTCACATTGCTGCGACGTCTCGAGCTCTAGTGCATTATACGTATAGTGTTGGCTTGATCGTACCATTGCTGTGTGAGTGCCTGATTCAGCTTCAACAAATACGACTAGTAAAATATGCCTGGAAGGAATGTTAGACAATTTTTCAAGATTGTATAAATCGACGTTGCGGGTAGGGAGCGATGCATCAATATATAGATGGCGAGAGAGGACTTCAACACGTATAATTGCCTAAAACTCACCTTTAGAGTGACAGCGAGTATTGAACTTGCGTTTGACCAAGTTTCTTCAGATTAACCCCCGAATATTATATATTTGCTTTTTCTGCCCCTCATAGTCTTTACTTTTGGTGCCATCTATCAGCCTCCAAATCCTGCTGGCTTGGCACAACAACGACATTGGTGAATTTTCACACTAGAAAACTAGCTTGCACACTACATGCAAATATGCTTTTTCCCGTTCGAGTGGAATCTGCCTTGCTTGATCCTACAGCATGCGAGGTGGTTCACTCATGACCGTGCATATTTCCGAGAAGGGCCATATGGTACAGATGACAGGTGTACTCCGTACATCAGCCACTCATTCGCGCTGGGCCTAGATATATCCATGCTCCATGGCTTAGTTGTGAGCAATGCCTTGAATTTTGCTAAGCCAACATCTTCACGCATGTGAGACCTAAAATTAGTATCATCAGTTACAGCCGCAAGCGTCAGTCGTAAAATGGAGATTGAAAAACTGGTACTATCGTGTAATCCACGTCATAAAGTAGTCGGCGTTCATTTCGGGGTTCTCTTCGAACCTTCAACTACCCCGTACATGACTCGTGTGATTGTTCTTTTTTCATGCTGTCCCACTTCTTATGGTTACCCTAAATACAGCGCGGATGAGTCTGACCTAACAAGATCATGGTCTAGGTGCCGCCATATTTCTTGGCAAACCTATTAGAGCGGGCGATAATCCAACTCCATGCACTAGGTTGAGTGACACTTCTTAGCGCGAAGGAAGTGAATTCGGCGACCGGGGACCACTCGCCTAGTGTCGGGAAACATAATGGCTACCAAAGAGCCCGACTAATAAATGATAGGGCGACGAAGTCCTAAATTGATACGGGCGTCAAAATGGCCAGGTCTTTATCTTTGAAATGGATCCCGTAGAAAATATCGCCAATGGGGCTACCAAGAGTGTGTGAGAGGACCGGAACGCCAATACTATTCAATCTTCGAATCGCGTATATAAATTCGTAGAAAGTACCGTCTTCTAAAAATATTGGACTTCAAAGCGTTGAGTAAAACCGTCGAATGCTTTTGAAGGGGTCGATCTTGCCCAGCCCCCCAATTACCACGTTAAGGTGTTAAGTGGGAATTTCAAAATTTCAGGCAGTAATATTCTTAATTCAACACTTGTCCCATGTTAGTAGGATATTCATCCCACAGACCCTTATGATATCGCGTGCCTGGGTGCAGAGCTAGCAGCATAGGGCAGAGCACCCGTTCAAACTAACCGGGTTGTGCTTGATTAATTTAGAACCAAAAGGCCCAAGTGGTTTCGTATCGGTGTTGAGACATAAAAATGAAGCAGATGACCTCCTTAACAGGTCTAATCTTCAAAGACTTTGCTCCCTGTTTTGCCTAGGATACTTGCGCCAGCCTAAGGTCTGATACTCTGTGCGCCGTGAAACAATTTGCAAGTGCCCGAACCTCTCCTTCTGGGGTGTCGTATTGTCACTAGTAAGGCCCTGTCCTTCAAACTTCCGGTTCGCATTATGGACGGAGGGGGGGGCAGAAATCGAAGTCAAGTCTCTGCATAATGCACGTATGTCCTCCCTGAGTAAGAAAGTGCGACCGAGAATCATAAAACAATAGCTTAGCCCGGACACTTCATGAGTTGACCTGTATGCATCGATACCCAGCGACTCTGGTGGTGGCCGAAGGAAGGGACGCCACGTGTGTCGCAGTTCAGCCGCAAGGAGGGGGAACGAGGCAAACGTTGGCGACAAACCATCGGCTTTCCAACGCAACTCAACCATCTTCCATCTAACAAAATGGCGTCTCACAGCTCTTTGCGTCTTTCTGATGCGTTTCAGAACGCTAAACAAGACTTTTTGGACTCGCTCAAAGACCCCTCACTATTCAACAGCATCTCTACCGTTACCTCGATACATGACGTCTATGCATTTACTAGTCAGCTGCAGGAGGATCAAAGTAAGCGCCATGGATTACGAAATCTTCGCAAGATTAGTTCATACTTGGATCGACTGAAACAGTTTGCCGGTGTTATCGAGGTGTTTGTCTCGGCTAAGCCCGAGATTTTGGCACTGATTTGGGGGCCAATCAAGCTCCTGCTACAGATGTCGGACAATTTGACGAAATCCTTTGATGCGATCGTGGAAGCTATGGCAATCATTGGGAACAAGTTACCACTATTCGAGTCCTATGTCATGCTTTTTAAGGAGAATGATCGAGTCGCCGATGTGTTAGTGTTGTTCTACAAGGATATCTTGGACTTCTACGAAGTCACATTGAATTTATTTACGGCAAAGCGTACAGTTCCATCAGTCGATTAATATGTCAGGATGCTTACTATCTACCATAGGCTGGGTTTTTGTGTTCGATTCTGTGTGGCCAAGACACAAAGCCAAAATCAGTGTTGTCGTCGGCAATATTGAGCAGCACTGTCTATTGATGACCGATCAAGTCACTTTGGAGAATATCAGTGGAGCGCATAAAGCCCGAATCGAAGATATGAATCGATGGCAGCGAAACTTTGAATTTCAGGAACGGCAAGACTTCAAAAGTGTCGAAGACTACATCTCCCCGAGGTTATATGATGACGAGCTCGACAGATTGCAACGGACGGTCTATGAGCGAACTGGACGGTGGCTCCAAAGGGAGCAGACCTTGAAAAAATGGATAGACACAAGTGATAAATCAACGAAAGTTGTCTGGCTACAAGGGATACCTGGAGCAGGTGCGTTGGAATTTCCGGAATGATTCAGTGAGAATTGCTAAAAAGGGTAGTTTTATGAATAGGCAAAACTCATATTTCATCCATCATCGTGGACAAGTTGAGAGGTCTATCACACACAACACTGTTTGCATTTCTGAGCTACAAGCAAGGTCAAACGTCGACGGTTTCGATCATACACTCGCTGATATTCCAACTTGTTATTGGCATGGAGAGCTTTGATGAAATTCTCAAACAAGATTTAAGAGCAAAGCTCTTTCACACATTCCAGTCAAGCCAAAGGAACCTGAAAAGCAGCACCAAATTTGCTCGGCAAACCTTGATAGAATTACTTAAATGTGTTGGTCCGACCTACATAATCATTGACGGTCTTGATGAACTTCCCAAGAGCGACCATAGGGTGGAAATCCTGAAGGAACTCCTAGAGATGTTGAATGTGTCGGCGGAAACACGACTACTAATCAGCAGTAGAGCACAGGATGAAATTGCTGCAGTGTTAAAGGCAACAACGAAGATCATTCGCGTTGATGAAAATAACAGTGGCTGTATCCAGGCATACGTCTCTGTCAAAAGTGAAAGTTGGCTCGCCGAATCTGGGTTTGATGAACATGCTTGTTCAGAGATCAAGGGTTTGTTGAACCTATTAGCGAAAAAAGCCAAAGGTTATTTCACATATCTGAATTCCAAAAGCCAACTTGCTAAAAATTTCCCTTCTTGGCTACAGGCATGTTTCTCTACGCAAGAGTGGTGATGGACAATATTCAAATGTGTCACACCTCTGACCAAGTTCAAAATGAATTGGCCGTTCTACCAGAGAGCTTGGATGAAGCGTAAGATATTCCTAATCAAAATGGCACAACGTTTTTTTATTAACTCCCATTCAAGATATGCCCGTGTGTTTCAGCGACTTGATGATTTCCCATTTTCGTCGAAGGTAATGTCTCGACGAGCCTTGGGGTGGATTGGATGCTCTCCAATTCCAATCAAAATCCAGGAACTAAGCTTTGCGTTGGGTCTTGACCCCGACGGGAAGAGTGGACTACCTCGTATCGAGAGCGTGCTGAATATTGTTCGGCTTTGTGGACCTATTGTTGAAACATTTGATGATCACGTTTACTTCGTCCACTTTACAGTTAAGGAGTGAGTTTCTATTTCATAGTGGATGGAGAAGAATATAGCTAACTAAGCAAGGTACCTTTTTGACAGGCAAGATAATCAGTTTGTTCGACAACTAGAAGCCAACCTCGAAATTGCTAGAACGTGCCTACATTACCTGTCTTTGAACATATTTGATGTCGGCCTTGAACCTGATACTGTCAGACAAATCATACTTTCAGGTTCATACCGCTTGCACTGGTTTGCTGCCACTCAATGGATGGTGTTAATTCAAAATTGTGCGAAACTATTGGGAATCCGCCCACCACCAGAAGACCTGCTAAAGGCCCTAAATCGCTTTGCCAACGAATGCGAGAACGGAAATTACGAAAGCACAGTAGACTTCGACTCTCAAGAAAGTGACAGGTTTCAAATATTCAGAGACAGTGTACCAAACATACACAAGCTTCTGCACGAAGAGTCTCATTTTCGCCATTTAGATGTGGGTGATTGGACGCTGGAAGAAGAAGACCATGGTATTTCAATCCAAGCCTTTTCATCTGTTCTCCAGGGAATGATTGATTCCGCCTTGCTAACTAAGTACACTTCCTACTTTAGATGATTCGTGGACAAATCTAGATCCATTCTATCTATCCTACACTTCACTTGGGATCTATGAGCAATTCGAATTGCTTCTATGGCCGAAAGAAAATCATATGGCTAACTGTAACTGTTCTAAATTAAAGAACCTTTACGGGGAGCGTCTGTTCAGATGCAAGTACCATATGTGCCAGTCCCAACAGATCTCATTCGAGACAAAATCGGCTCGCGAAGCGCATTGTAGAGCTCATGCTCGCCCATACAAGTGCATGCGCTCGTCGTGCGACTTTTCAACGTTAGGGTTTTCTTCTCTAGATCAACTGAAGAGACACAAATCAAATTGCCATCCTGATATACCTCTGAAGCCCATTCAGATGATTGAAAATCATGATGATGATGAACTTGTACCACTGGTGTTGGATATGATTGCAATGGGTATGACAGCAGAAGTGGAGGCACTGTCTCCAAGATTGAAGCACTTGGAGTTCAATCTTCTGAGAACCCTTGCCGAAGAAGCTGCATTCTCAGGGACGTTGCGGGTTTACAAATGTCTTTCGAATCTGGGGAAGTTAAATGCACATTATGAGCATCATATTTCCATGGATGACGCCCAAGTATCAATCGAAGGTGAAAACGCTGAAGTTCTGGAATGGTTGCTTAGCGAATATGTGGCCAACGACTTTTTAAGTCATCTATATACACGGCGACTTCTATTCACGAAGTTGGGTGCAAATACAGATTCAGCTGCAGTGTTTAAGATATGGAACATATACTTTAAATTCTACTATGTGGCAACAAGACACATGATCGAATACGCACTCCCAAGTGTGACGGATCCAGCGAAACAAGAAAGACTTGCGAGGGCCTTGAGCGAACACGCATCAATTGGTCATCTAACAACGGACGACCTTGGGTATGCATTGAAGGCAGTAGCATCCTCAACTTGCTCGGTCTCAATAGCGAAAGTGTTACTTGCCTGCGGCGCAGCTGTGAACTTCAGGAGCTCAAAGTCCCACACAGCTACATCAGGGCAGACTCCATTGATATTAGCGGCAGCAAAAAAGACTAGGGAAGGAGCTGAAATGATGAAACTACTGCTTCGTGCAGGCGCAAATCCGAATGCCTTTTATCTACAAAAAAAGAACGGCGAACCGACGACTCCTGGGATGGGAAAAGGAGCCAAACAGATCTCAAAATGGCTAGGAATGACATGGGATGAGCTCGTGAAATGGGCTGCAGAACAGCGATCCAGCTCTATAATGTGACATGATCCTTCGATCCGGCCCGCGATAATTCAATCGCTCTTGATATTTTGAAGCCAAAATCTTGAATGGATTATAAGTGTTATAATGCATTTTTGAGATTACAGGTTTTATTTGGTCTCTATGGAGTTCGACATGGTACAACAAACTTCTTATTCAAGTAGCTCCAGCAATTTCTTGTTACTAATCAGTGGCACCGTCGGACACAAAGGAGTTTCACCACATCACTCACCTGGAATCGCTTCTCACTCAAAACCGATTGATCCGGAGTCTCATCGCTGAACGATTGCCGAACTAGCTTCAACTTAGTTTGCTGGACCGCTTGAACATACTATTCCGTGATGAGCCAATGTCAGCCACTGGAGTAATTGAGGGAAAGCAAAAAGAGCACATAGTAACATAACGAAATACCCTAAATGTGTGAAGATGAACATACCAGTTCTATGGAGTCTTTCACAATGTAGCGAGTTATTGTCACATCACGATCTTGACCGATACGGTGGACTCGATCGAGAGCCTGTGCCTCAACCATGGGATTCCACTGTGGTTCAATCATGTGCACACAACTGGCTGCTGTAAGATCGACTCTAAGATGATATACCAAATCAGCTTTGTGCAAAAGACTACCAGATGAAATATTGGCACATAACTCACCCTTCTGCAACACTTCCAACACTGGCAAGCATTACTGTGCACCTCGAGTCCTCACTAAACATCTTCAAAGCCAGTGACCTCTTTTCGTGCGGTGTTTTGCCATCGATACGCTGGAAGACAAAATTGTTTGCTTGCAGTGCAACTTCAAGAAGGTCGAGCATTTTCGTCCAGAAACTAAATATGATGCTGCACCACCAGGAAAAAGGTCAGCAAATATGATTGAGTATTATGACACAAACTTATTCTTACCTCTTAACCGGTCGTTTATCAGAGAGTAAATTATTATCACGTTGCTCGTTCTGAAGGTTCCTTAATAGGGCAGTCACTTTCGAAGAGGGACGATAATCATGTTTGATTGCCTCAACATCTCGCTCTATTGGTGTCAATGGCGGGCCGGGCCTGAGACTGGTTAGGTCTTCGTTTAATCCTTCCAGCTCAAAGTTAGTTGCGTCAAATTGAAAGTCCTTAGCTTGTAAGCTCTGGCTATGGTATAGATTCGTTGCTCCCTCGGGCAACAGATGCTCTCCGTGGTTGCAAACAAGTCTCAAAAAGCCGATCAGAGAGAGCATTGTGCCCCATCGCGTCTTATCCATTTGGGAGCGCTGCGTAAGTTTACCCACGACGAGAGAAGAAGCTCGGGCTTTAAGGAAATCGTAGATACCTCGCTCTCCCGGATTCAACTCAACAAGTTGTTCCGTTTCAACTCGTAATGGTAGTCGCAGTTGATCTTGCACGTGGCTTTTCGTTCGTCTGAGACAGGTCGCAGAAACGAGCCTTCTCAGGCGCTGAATTCCCAGCTCATTCTGCCCATAGGTATGTATGGGGTTACCCAACCATTGTGTGAACATGGCCTTTCCATGTGGACCGGTGAATGGATCTACTCCAACAAAGGAAATAAGTGCTGCATAGGCATCCAACCGGTTCTGAATCGGGGTCCCTGTAAGACACCATCGATACCGAGCGTGAATTTGACATGTAGCCTGGAAGATTTGCGACGAATGAGAGCGGATGTGATGTGCTGAATTTTTGAATAATTAGTTAAAGACTCACATCTCAACATCTTTAACATGGTCGCAGGCTCACCTTCATCAAGAACCACCCGAGCCCATCCCTCTGGGTTGGAAAAGAGTACACTATTTTGTGGCCCACTTGACCATTCACTACGTAAAGTATCGTATGTTGTTATGACGACATCATGATCGAATAGTCCCGATGTCAGCTTGTCTCGATGTGGGCCATGGAAGACCACTGTGCGGATCTGCCCCGACCAAAAGTGTCTACTTCACTCATCAGTAAGTGAAGAATAACAGGGTGAAAAACAGCCATAATACCGTGAAATTTGTTGTTGCCACCCGGAGATTGCTTCTCATAGTCAGTAGGAGATCTTTTGAATAATATCACGTAGAGACTTACTAGAGAGGGTCGTGATGATAAGTGTCGTGCTCGGTTCCGTTCTCTCCAAAGGCAAACCATCCAGGTACCACGAAATGAGTGCCAGTACACTCAGTGTTTTGCCTAACCCCATTTCCTGTTGCTTGTAAGATGAAAAGGCCTTGTCCAGGGTATAACGAGAATGTAACTAACATCAGCTAGTATGCCTCCATTAGGGGGCTGTGGGCGAGTGTTCTGTGTCATTCCAGTGACAGCATGTCGATACCTACCGAAATAAATATGGTAAGAATCTAATAGTCATTCATGAATACTCTAGAGATTTACTTAACGTTACCGTCAAAGTCCCGCAGAACTTCCCATAAAGATGGGAAATCTGCCTCTTCAATGACACCACGTTCTTTTTCGGTCATCATAGAGAGCGCCTTCATCTGATGCCTGTCAGGGAATTAGGAGAGTGATAAAAAATGATTCGAGCCACTTCACTTACTCCTTGAGCATTGTTTTCAACCGCGGGCTTGGTTCAACAGGGGCAAATTCAGCTGGACCATCCACACCTTCAAAAGCTTGGAATACTTCACTGGCCCATTTTTCATCGAAGGATTGATCCACTTTTGTGACGGCTGAAACAGAGCCATTGGCTAGATCTTCAATTTGCGGCATTTCAGTGCCCGGGGGCATCAAAAACTGAGGATTTCTGTAAGGCACAGATGCGTCACCTTCAGTTGGATGCTGGAGAAATAGACCACCCTCGGAGAGAGTCTCTTCAACTGCACTCATATCCTCACAAAATCCGTATAACACGATATGTACCGGCGTGTCTTTATAACCTAGCGATTGTCTCTTGCCTTTTTGTTCTTTGGTCGTCTCACACTTAGCAGAGAATGTGACAGTAAACTCGCGTGCAAGTTTCGCTAGTGCTGGTGAATGTAGCAAACCAAACTTTCGATTGGTCTTGTCGTCACCCATTTTCAAAACGTCACCAAATACTTGTATGCTCACTGGAATGAAATCTTGAGTATCGTTGGGCAAACTATGGCAAGACGCGTTCGTGATGATCTAGAAATTTCAGATTTGATGTAGATTTGAACGGGAATTCATCACTGACCATCCCGAAACACGTATCATAAAGCTTTGATGGAAAAGTTTGCGGCGGGAAAATTACGTCTTCTGGAAGCGTACTGGGGGCGGCAAACATTTTCGGTTGCAAATCAGGAAAATCGGAGTCGGAATTCGGTGTAGGAAGGGATTGGGTTGCATCTGACAGCTCTGGAGCTTGAAGATAAAACCCGGAGGATTCTTGGGTAAGATCGGAAAAAACTTCATTTTTGAGGTTGGAGAAATCCATGAGGTCAAAGTTGCTGGTGGGCACCTCATCTTCGAAGCCAGGCCAGATATACTCGGAGCTGAGGGATACTTCAGGGTCCTGAGTATTGGTAATCGGATCAAGATTTAAAAACAATGAGTATGGATCTAGAACGGATTCATGGGTTCTCCATGAATGCTCTATGCATTGTCTCTTGGGGTCGGGTTCGGATTGCTCATTGGGTGCGATAGCATCACACTGGTCCCAGCCGTGCCTTTCGATTTCACTTTTAGTGAATTCGAACTGGGGCATACTTCTTGCTTTCGCGGGGGGTGGTTATATTGATCGGAATCGCAAAATACAGATAAAGGACTTTCTTCCGAAGGAAATCTCTCTCGGCGTCTGACGAAGCCAGGATTTGCACAGCCGGGTGGCTTTGGGGCTCATGGGGAAATATGGCGCAGCCTCACAAAACAGCCACTTAGAATTGCAGGGATCTTGAAGATTTTGGTTGGCTGCTGACCTCCAAGCGGTAGCGGAAAACACGCAAGGACCAGGCAACCATGATTGGATGGATAGCATGGAAAAATTGAGAAAGCGATAAAGATGCTTTGGCCTCGCTGACTCAACCGTTGATGTCCAACGTTTCCGTATTTTTCACCTTCAAACTTTGATTGGATTTTCTCTAGAACCTAAGGTTGAGTGCGGCCTCCAAATACTCCGGCTGTTTATGTACTGACGCGTCCCGGGTGGTGGATTAGTCAGGCGATAACCCGGCTCGGCGCGGGCGCGCACCATCCATCCATCGTATCCAAGCATACGTTCCAACTCAACCTCTGCGCCGCTGTCGGGCAAGCAGGAAGCTCACATATAAGTCGGCTCACTCAGGCCGAAGGGGTTTCCAACCACCTCCTAGGTTTATGCGTATCTGTGTACGCTCAATAACATAACAGGAACTTAAACAGGGAGGGTGTAGGCTAAGCTCAAGACAAGGATTTGAACTTTCAAAACAAGATCTGCGATTATATAGAACCAGTGCCGGAAACTTCACACTGATCCAACCCTTCATTTTCAATCTTCAAATACCCTTGTTTATACCTCAGCAGCGGTTTCCTTTTCCTTGCCTTCCTTCTCATCCTTGATTCTATATTCCGTCTCCAATTCGGTCCGTAGTGTTATCTCCTTCTCAAAGAAGGTAATAATAAATCCCAGAGCAGCAAAAGCCAGCGAGACATACCAAACCAGCTTCAGGGTATCAACGTACACACTAACTACCTCCTGTTGAACTTGAGGAGCAAGCGACTCAATAAAAGTTGAAGAGATGTGAGAGTAAGCTTCTCCTCCCGTAAGTTGCGCCGAAACAGTGTGGTCTGAAATACGGCCTGATAAGCGCGCGAACTCGGTATTGAAAATAGTAGCTAGAATTGTAATTCCCTAGATAGTACCGTAGCTGCGAATAAACGCCTATATCGCCGTCGCGAGTCTAATATCCTTCTCTTCTAGGGGAGTCTATACTATAGCTAAAGTAGTTATAAGTAGAAGACCTAAGCTAATTATAGTAATAATTTAGAAAATGATCTACTCTGCTGGACTAGAGTTAGTATTAAAGAGAGTAAAGAGACCTAATCTTAAGAGAATCACAGCTATAGTGATAATATAGATAGGCTTATAGCGGCCCTATTTAGTAAGAAGGCTACCTGCGATAATAGTAGTCGGTACGATAAGAATCATACTAAGCAGAAACTGTATACCGGCGTAAATAGAGGTAGAAAGCTTTATAGCCTAGAAGTATACTGGTATAAAGTAGATCACTTAGAAAGTAAGTATATTATAGATAAAGGATATAACTAAGGTAATATATAAAGTACGGTATTAAAATATATATAGTAGTATTATAGGTTCCTAATACTATAGACTAGCCTTAAACGTATAGAATAGAATTATACTAATAAGACTGAGAACTAAATAGATAATAATCTGCTAGTTTAACTAGATATAGGTAGTACCGCCCTAAGTAAGAGCAAGGAGAATAGAGATAATAGAAGTCATAAGAAGTACATTACTAATATAGTTAATCTACTTAACTTTTTCTTAATATTATTCTTTTTAGTAGTTAATATAAAGAAAGAAAAATAGGTAGATAATTACCGTTCTGCTAATAGGAAAGTTAAGGTAGAACTTTAATTAAATTATATTAGCCTTTATATTTTCTTAAATATAAATAGGGCTTAGATACTTATAACCTATCTCTAGGAATTATACTATATAATAATACCCCTAATAAATGGACTAAGAGAGGTGCTGATAGCGAATATAGCGAATATTATACCTATAAAGTTTCCTCGCTTATATAATAGAAGTATATCACTAACGATTATATTAATTATTATATTAATACCTCTACCCCTAATTCCTTAGATTAATTGCCTAGTAATTATTATAGGAGAATTAATCACGCTGCCGCTAATACTGCTGCTAAGGACAAATAAGGCTACCGAACCGATTATTAGCTATTGTTAACTAAAGAAATTTGTAGTCTGTCCGAAAAGGGGCTGAAAGTAAGTACTTGCTATTAGATGTATTATTAATTTATTTTTTTTATTAACTTAGATTGAAAAGATAGTATATGACTTACCTTGTTAAGAAGAAGGAGTTAATAAACTAGACGTAGTTCTTACCTATATATAACTTATCCGCGATAAACGGTAACGCGGTCGACGTAACCGTTAACTTAACCGTAGCTAGTAGGATTGATATGTATAGTGATAAGTAAATTGCCTAGAAGCGCTATCCTCTAGCCTGCTTCTTCTTGATAGACTAGGTATTGGTGTCCGAAGGATTAGATATATTGACGGAGCCTAAAGTCAAAGTTAATTGAGAAGTATAGCAGCCAGAAATCTAACTTTTGATTGTAGGAACTGGCCATGGTCAGAAACTGATTTTAAAGAATAGGAGGTCTCTTTATCAATATCGCCGATGCTGAATGGATTTGGTCATTATATAAGTCAACCTCCCTATTGGGCGGTCTGGTCTGTAATTGGTCCTAGGTCGCCGAATATTTCCAAGGTTGGTAAGTTAGATCCAGAACGTAGGTGTGGTCATTTGTAGACCTGGCAGTGACCCTCTGAGGGTCCAATCTCTATGTGGACTACCTTCCTTCACCAAAAGGGCTGAAAGGCATAAGAGACATTTGTCTATCAATATGTTGATACCAGACTAAATCGAACAATCTTATTATTTTTAGTTCGGTTTCGCCTTCTCAAGTGAGCAACTAATAGAATGAGCTAGGCCTTTTAATGCAACTAATGTCAAAATAGGTTACTCTTATTATTAGTGTTATGTTAGCAGGGGATGACACAAAACCAAACGGCCTGGGGGTAGAGGACCCCCCAAAATGCCACGGCTAAGAGCTGAGGGAGGCGCCTTTGAATATTGTGATAAATGTGCAACTTCCCTTGGATCTACGTATCGAAGTTCTACTTACTCGTGTACTTGTGTACTTATATACTTATATACCTAATTCCTTCGCTTTTTGCCTAAGTTTTGGTCCGACCCAGATTAATCGCCTTAAACTCAAATATACCTCTACCCCCAGCCTAACTTAATATTTTTTGAGGTTAGCTCTCGAAATATACAAACAATCGCGAAAGGCTTACGATCGCTGTTATGACCTTAAACTATAGTGTTACTGCAACGAGTCGGGGTAATATAGCTACTATACAAGAGCGGGTGTAAATTGCTTGTTTAGTCCTTCGAACCGTAGGCGTTAGCCTAACTATTAGGATCGCCGTAACGGTTCCTATATATCTAAATAGATTAGTAACAGGCTGTTAGCTATAGGACTAATGTCTTAGATACCTTATTCACCGAATACGCATTTGGAAGATATTAACTTGCTGAATAGGTTAAGTACCCCTGACCCCCTAAAATATATAGAGTCTGACCTCTAATACCGGGGTCTGCTATAAAGGGAGTATATAGAAGATAATTGTTAAGCTGTTACTGTTAATAAAACCCCGATTTCTGGTATAGAGAGCCCTGAGCCGACGCTATCGAACCTATATATAGGTATTAACTAGGATATCTCCTTCCCGGAAAGCTTGATACTGTCTCTAGATCTTCCTAGAGTATCTTCGGGATCTAGTATTTTCTTACGCTTTCCTACCTATAATATAGCTCTTTACGCTTAAATTACTAATTATTAACTCTCTCTACTTAAGTCGTTTTTTAGGCTAACTATGCCTAAGTCTAGAAATAAAATCAGCCTAGTTATTCCGCTACTATTGTCTTAGAAATTAGAGCGATTATTAGGACCTACTTCCTATTATAAGATTGGTTTATAGACTTAGTTTCTATAAAAGTTTATAGAAGATCTTTTAGAGCTTGACATTAACTTAATTCGGCTTATGTCGATAGAACCCCTACTATATAACCTAGGCCTAACGACTACCGAACTAGATAGCTCTAATTCCCCTTTGTTATTAGAATATATAATCGATATTATTTTCCTTCTTACGTAACAATTAATTAAGCTTTTATAAGTAAATACAAATTCCTTAGTACAGTCGCCTGCTTTATAGAATATGTATTAGTAAATGCCGCCTTCCGTATCCTCTACCTTTTCCTTATAGTTCTAGCAGCTTATCGCCCCGACTTAAAGCACGCCTGGAACTTTAGATACGGAATCAGTACAGCTAGGAATAAGCCTCGATTAACTGTCGCTGTTGTATACCTTATCTACGTATATACGGCTGATCGAAGCTTATTATAACACTTTTTCGTAGACTGCTAAAAAGTTCGGTGCTGCGTTGGCTAAAGGTATGCCTATCCCACTGCCCTTGCTATAAATCGGGGCGTTTTCCGTGGATGATCCATCGAGTCACATTGGGTTAGTGATCCAGTCAGCCTTGCGACTACTAGACAGCCTGGGGGACTCGGTGAACAAACTTACCGCCCCTTTTGTATCTAGCGAGAACCCCGAAATCGATACCAGTCGAGCATCTAGTCTATCTAGCGAGAATAATACAATCAAAATGGTGATCAAGACGGTCCGGGAACATGAAAGCCGCTTAATGTAGGCTGCAGCACAATTGCAAAGCTATTGCGATAAAGGTCGACAATCGCGTTAATAACGCTGGTGATAGAGAATACAATCGAAGATGTCTATTTATGTATATATATATATATATATATAGAAGAGAACGTCATCCTCAAGATAGTCACGACTGGACTTCGACATTGCCTATGGACGGGTTCCCCTGGAAGAGGAAGGAAGGAAAAAAGAAAAATGTGGAGTATGTTCAAGGTGCCTAACAACGACGGAACCAAACAGGTGAAGCAACTTTCCACAACACGCCGGAGGACCAGGCCAAAATTGACAAGATTGAAAACTGGGCAGATGTGATATGTGATGTTGAAGAGGGATGGGGCTGGCTAGAATTGTGGAGTGAAGAACATTTTCATCGGCCTTTTATATCACTTGGCTATGCGGCCCGACGTATGCCCCGTCTGAAGAGCATCAAGTGTGAAGTGGACAGTTATCATAAGTTTACTCTCTATCTTTGGAACACTGTCGATGAGCTTACCCTTGGGTGGGAATGTTATCCCGCATATCGGCCGGATAGTCGGGTTGCAAAGGCGTGGGATTTTGACCTAGATGATGTGAAGACCGAGTCGATGTACTAGGAAAAATCTCGTGTCATACTTCGAAGCTGGCTGCTTGACGTTCCTTTCTAACGTCGGCTGTGTGACATCTTCCAAAACGGATTGGGGGCAAAGGGGAAGGTGGGTTGTTCAAGAGCCACAAAAAAAAGAATAGTTTTATGGAAGTCAGGACTACAAGAAGAGCCCCTTATTGACCTATTCCTGCTATGGGCCAAGACCGGTGTGTCCTTTATATCAGTCAGCATTGTCACATGCCCAGACCAGCGCTACAGAAAGCCAAAATGTAGGTTCAAGTACAACAGCATCTAGATATCATGCAAAAGTGCCCACGTTCTTCCCCGCCTATGTGTAGAATAGGTATGTTGCTAGCTATTATTTTTAGGTAAGCGAAGACATGCACCTGGGCAACGGCATCCAGCAACTTTGGAAACAGGATTAAGTGGGTAATCAGCCGTCCATTATTTTCACCTTTTCTATCACCCGGCGTAGCCTTACTTAAATTCCATAGATGTAGATAGTAAAACGTATTCGGTCTCAAGGTTTCCTAGGTTATTACTAAATTCGAAGAAAGGACTGAGAAAGTACGTACTTGCTTCCGTGGAAATGTAAAATGACAAGTGATATTTATTTTTTATGCAATTCTGGGATAACGTTAATATAAATCAGTCATTTGCTGTGCCTAATGCCTAATTGTTTACAGCTTTCCATAGATTTAAATTTCTCCAATTCAGAGAGTCATGTCAGTACGTGTTTTGGCTTACCTGCAATGTTGGTTTCCATTTTTTGTCACCACTAGTAGATAGTACCCTCAATTCTACAAGAAAACTGGGATCATAAACTGGGATTATTCGGAGGCAACATCTTCCGGATGCATATTTTACCAGCAGTTTACCCCTCCCCCCGGTTTGTTGACAGCTACTACAAAGTAGGGCATGCATTTGATAGAAATTTTCACATACTTTCTGCTCCACATCCTTTCAGCTCCACATTCGTTCAAGTAGTCCAAATTAAGATCATGTGGCTGCAGCTAAGATCTAGATTGTATCACAAAACAAGGTTTTCCAACAACCCGCGGCCCGAGATGTAGTGTGACATATGTAACTGGTAGAGATTTCAGCGCATTTTGTCTTGTATTAATTAATGGAATCAGAGAAATCATATCCTAGACAGATTAATCAGGGGGGTTCTTGATCACGGCGGTCAGCAGGGATTGCCCCAGGTATTCCGTAGGGGCCTACATATGCAGGCCAGTGCAGGGGTATGCAGGCCTAGTTATTTATGGGCAGTTTCATCGGAACTCGTTAGCATATTTGATAATGCATGACTCGTAATGTGAAGTGTTGTGCGTTGACGCCGACTGCAATGACATCACCAATCACATATTTTGGTCGACATTGCAGCTTTTGGTGAACTAAAGGGATAGCTAAGCAAATCAATGCACATTACCTGCAGTTTAATCTGCAAGTCCTCAGCGCCGCCACCAATTCCACATTTTGTGATAGGTATATTTTGATCCGGCCGAGCCACAAGGCCGATAGTGGCGATACTTCTACCCCACAGTAAGTGTGCAAGTTAGAGTTCATACCGCACGGAACGGTCCGGCTCGAGCGGGAAATTTAAAACATTGTTCACTCTAACATGACTGTACACGACCCGCTGTATGATATATCACACTTTGATTTGTTTACGGACAGGCCGCTCTTTATCTCGGTGGAAATGAGATCACCGGTGTGGTCACCACTTCATCAGAAGGCCGATCGATACCTAATCCGTAGCGTCTACAAGAAAGGCAACTTGCATGTACACTATGGATTGTTGCTGGCCAAAGCCATTGGGTAGAGATTAGGGGAAGCGGTCAGCTGGAATAACTATCAATGAGAGGGGTAGAGCCGGGGTTACCAGGTACAAAATGGAATGTGGTATAGGTATCTCGTTGTTCCCGATGAATACATTCAACTGACAAGCATCTTTACAAGAAAACAAAGACACAAACAAACCATCATCATGAACGAACCTCGCAAAAGAATCAGTCCACACAATGTCATCAGCTCGTACTTTATCGGACCCAAGTCCGAGAACATGGGTAACTTCCGAGCCAATATCACTGCGATTCTAGATCAAATCGAGAAGACACGTTCTGATTACCAACCCAATGATGATGTGGGTTCGACCTTTCTCCAGATAGTTGCACAATGGAGATGAAAGACGTGTATATGAACTGACAAAAACAGGTCTTTATCACCGAGGACGTTCGAACCTCTCCGGAGTTTCAGCAAATCACCCAGAAATTTCACGAAGCAGTCAAGAAAGCTGTGACACTGCTTGGAAAGCACTCTATTCCATTCTGGCATCCTCGCTATGAGGGTCACATGTGCACCGACATGACCATGCCGGGGCTACTTGGCTATTTCATGACCATGATCTACAACCCCAACAATGTCACTGTGGAGGCTAGCCCCTTTACGACGGTCATCGAGCTCCGGGCTGGAAAGCAGCTGTGCGATATGTTCGGATACAACACTAATCCTGAGGAATCGAACTTGCCACTCTCCTGGGGCCATATCACTTGTGATGGAACTGTAGCTAATTTGGAATCGATCTGGGTTGGTAAGGATACCTATTGATTGTGATTCCAAAGATTCGAGTACTGATCAATGTGCAGCTCGCAATTTGAAGTTTTACCCTCTCACCCTCTACCAGGCGATGAAGGAAGGAAGCCTTGGTTTCATTGCCGATAGCTTCTACGTCACCACCTGTGTGGGAGAAGAGAAGCTTTTCAAGAACCTTGGGAATTGGGAACTTCTCAACCTTCGACCAGACGTCATATTGGGGATGGGAGATGCTCTGTACGAGCAATACGGTATCACATCCAAGTTCCTAGAGAGCGCTTTGACGCCATTCAGCATTCAAACCACAGGGAAGGATGTTTTGGAGCGCGAATTTAATCTTACAAAGCCCACAAAGTACTTCCTGGCTCAGACACGACACTACTCTTGGCCCAAGGGTGGAGGTAAATACCACCCTTTTTCCCGTCATAGACATCATTTACTGACAAACATTTAGCTATTGCGGGAATTGGTTCAGCCAATATGGAGGGAGTGGAACTAGACATGGACGGACACATTTCCATCGAAGCGCTGGAGCGAGAGCTTAATCGATGCCTGGCCGAGCGTCAAGCCGTATATGCCGTAGTGGCTATCATCGGATCCACGGAGGAAGGTGAGGTGGATCCATTGTATGACATTTTGGCAATGCGACGTCGATTCCAAGACAAGGGACTGTCGTTCCTAGTGCACGCCGACGCAGCTTGGGGCGGATACTTTGCCAGCATGATTCCGCGAACCTTTATGGCCCCAGGAAGACCCACAAGGGAAGGAGATGGAGAGGACGCCGTCATCAGCGTTCCGTCGCTGAGTCTGAAATGTGATACTATCCAGCATATGATTGCGCTCAAGGAGGCAGACACGATCACGGTTGACCCACACAAGGCGGGTTATATCCCCTACCCGGCGGGAAGTCTCTGCTATCGGGATGGTCGCATGCGATTCTTAGTTACCTGGACTAGCCCGTATCTCACTCAGGGATCACTGGAGAATATTGGAGTATATGGTGTTGAGGGAAGTAAGCCTGGTGCTGCCGCGATGGCCGCATGGTTATCGAATCAAACTATCGGCTTGGATCCATATGGATACGGAATGCTGTTAGGTGAAGCAGCCTTTACTAGCGCACGGGTAAGATTCCTCCTATTGGTATTGCGATCCCCATTCTAACCCTCATAGTTATCGGCCTACTACGCAGCCATGCAATTGAAGCAACCCAGGGAGAAGGAAATACCCTACTATATCATCGTTCCCTTCAACAGACTCCCAATTGAGAGAGATGGGTTCGACATCTTGTCAAAGGAAGCTGACGAACGACGTGAACTCATCTGGAATAAAGTCCTGACTAAAGACAACAAGGAAGTCAGCAACAACCCCGCAGCGATGAGTTGGCTGCGAGAAATTGGATCTGATCTGAACATCAATGCATTCGCGCTAAACTGGTACGACGCAAAGGGAAACATCAACACCGACCTCGAGGAAGCGAATTACTTGACGAGAAGAGTAGTCAACAAACTCTCGATCACAAGGAGCACCGCTGATCCTAGTAAAATCCCGCTCTTCCTGACCTCCACGCAATTTGAGCCTGCGTTATACGGCAAATGTGCACAGAACTTCATGAAGCGATTGCAACTAGAGCCCTGCGCACAGGATCTTTGGGTTCTGCGCAATGTGGTGATGAGCCCGTTCCCGACAGAGCGAGGCTTCATTGATCAGTTGATGCAGACACTGGAGGAAACCATCATCCACGAAGTGCAAACATGCCGAAAGCGGAATAGTCCTACAGAAGATCAAATTGAATTCCTTCTGCGAGGAACAGATGAGGTTTTCTTGGACTTCCAAACGGGATTCCATCGCGCAACCAAACGTCAACAGATCATCTTGGCTGTGGAACTAGACGACAATGTCAAAAAGCAGTACATCGCCCTGCGAGAGAAATTCCCCTCAAAAGACATCGGATTTGAGTCGAAGGATCCTGTTCACCTTGAAAATTTGATGTGTCAAATTCACAATACCCACGACCCCCGTCCGATCATCGATGGTAGGATCGGCATTGTGGAGGGAGAAGACTACTTGTCGTCGATAGAATGCAAAGTTACCATGAACAAGGTGGTGAAGAGTCGCGGATTGAACTCCAAATTCCGAGACGATCATTACCCCCGCAACTTCATGCCGTTCTATCTCTTCGGCTCGGAAGAACAACACCATATCTCACACATGCTTCTTCAAGCACCGAACATCAATCTTTCATCTAGCAACATTCAGCTGAATGAAGAACTGCATGACGAAGTTGCGCTTCGCCTAGGGGAGGGAGACGGTCTCATCCTCGCGTTGAGTGATTACCGAGAGGAAACGATGCACCCCTTCCCGCTGAAGAACGATGATCCCATAATCACTAGCAAGGGCTTCTTCTTCCGAAAGGGTCAAACCTTCGATGTAAAGGTGTATCTTGACCCCAAGCCGGGTACTGCTTATGGACCTGGGCTACTGGATGAATTGTCCACGCTGGTCGGACGTGGTAAAATGACACTCGGGGATGATGTGCATGTGGACGTACAGGTGTTGAATGCTGATCCCTTTGAGGATGCGGAGGTGCCTGATATTCCGTGGGAATCGGAATTGGACGAGATCACCAACGTGTTGAATAGTGGGCAGTAGACCGACAGGTTTTGAGATGCAATTGATGTTCAATAGCACAGAAGGGAAATTGAAATCATTCCACCGCGGCAAGTGCGGTGGAAGAACACACCAATTATATATCTGCCTTCTACAAAGACTTACAGGACTCAGGGTTCAAATCCCCTTTTGCAGGTGGTTTAGTGCCTGAATGCCTGGCTTTATAACGGCAGACACAAATTAAGATACCTGAATTACTATTACACATATCTTCATGATCAAAGTACACTGATTCTGTTCGCGTTTAAGTCCAAAAATGAAGCTTTTGATATCTCAGACAATTATCCTAAAAAGACATGTAAAAAGACCATCTAAAAAGACATCATAAGGCCGCAAATACGGCCGACTTTTCTTGTATGAAGATAGATTCATTTTTGACAGTTGTAGTATTCATAAATTTACCCTACAGTAGTTATATAGAGCGGTGTAAAAGGCGGTGCTAAACAAGGCATTTAGGCATTCAATTCCCACCTACAAACGGAGTTTTGAACCCTGAGTCCTATAAGTCTTCGTAGCCTTCTACTTTGTGCGTATTTCGCTCGTATTACTTCAACGTCAGATTACACATTGAACCAATTAAATATTCAAGTAAATTCATCTACCCTCTATCTGAACCGGTATATGCCACATGCAAGTCTATACCTATAATCTTAAGACAACAACCTTGGAACCTATCTATATACAAAAGTCGATGACCTAAGCCTTGAGAGTATACACCACACGACCACGCGAGTCTACACCCTTAAGAATAATTTCATCACCAGTACTTGAGATAACACGGCGCTGATCCCCGTTATGCAAAATAATGTCCAAGTCTTTCCAAGCGGGAGTAAAGCCAGCTTCATCACGCTCAAACTTAACAAGTACTTTCTCCTCAGTAGAGCTGTAAATAATAGTGTATGCTGCAGTACTAGGTTGAACTGAGATACCATCATCTTCGTACCAAGTCGTAGCGAAGACCGTACCGTGCGAAGTTCCCTTGGGCGGGAAGACTTCTACACCACGGTAATTGTCGATCTCCTGGACAGCCACTGATGCAGCAGTCTCATCTCCAGGAACACGGGTGTGCACGCTCTTACCGACGGGAATGGCACCACCGATACGGGCGATTAGCGCAATGCTCTTCTTCCATTCCGACGAGATCTCGGCCCACTGCCCGGATGCGAGGTACTGGTACGGAGCGTTCATGTTGACGTAGCCATAGTCGAAGACGCCGGTCTTGCGGGGCAGGTAAATGTTCGCGATGTCGATACCGGTTTTGTAGACGCCTCCGACGAGCACGGTCTCACCGAACCAGAACTGGTCCTCGCCTGCCTTGAGAGTTTTAGTCCACACCTCGGGATCAGATTCATAGCCCCAGCCGGTCCAGCGCTGCGGAGGTGTTGCGAATTTGTGGCTCTCCAGACCGAGGGAGTAGATGTAGGGCAGCATTTCATAGCGACGCTTAATGGCGGCGCGGACCTGGGGCGTGATCTCGGGGTACATGAAGGGCTCAATGACGTCACCGACATCAGAATCCTTGGGAGAAGTCTTGAAGCAGTTGATCGCGAAGCGGGGAGCGTGGCAGCCGAGTTGAATCCAGCGCAGGAGAAGCTCCGGGGAGGGCTGGGGGCCCTCGAATCCGCCGATGTCATGGCCTTCGCATTGGAGAAGGGACATGCCGGCGTTAAGAGATAGGGCGTTAGCGCCCTTCATGTTTTCCCAGCTGGTGACATTATCGCCGCTCCAGGAAGATGCGGCATAGCGGAGAGTTCCAGCAGTGGCGCTGCGGGTCAGAACGAAGGGACGCAGCTTGGGTTCCATATCTTGCAGGGCATCGTGAGAAGACTTGCCCATCAACTCGGTGTGGAGGGCACGACCCCAGAGACCAACGGAGTTCTTTACTTTCTTTGCTGCGGCGTCGGCGACGGTAGGCTCATTGAGAGACATGGTCCAGTCATCATCGGGTAGGGTGTATTCGTTGTTGTCGTTCCACATGCCGTCAATGCCAACCTTTTTGAGACTCTGGACGCCATCGTACCACCACTTGAAGGCCTCCGCTGAGGTGAAGTCAATGTGCGCACCGTCGCCGCCAGTGGCACCGCCAGCACTCCACAGACGCATGTACCCGGGCTCCTTTTCAGCATCCTTGAAGAACCCACCGGCATCAACGAGCTTCTGGAAGTCGGGGTGAGAAGATAGCAGGAAAGGCTTGATGTTGGTGAGAAGCCTGATACCGTGCTGGTGCATCTTGGCAATCCAGTCCTGGGGATCCGGGAAGCGCTCCCGGTTCCATGTAAAAACGTTGCGAACCTTGGGCTCCGTCTCAGCAATTGAATAGCCCGAACTCATTTGATGTGCCGAGCAGGGAATACCGTGCTCCTTGAGCTTCTCGGCAAACTCCAGAAGGGCCAAATGCGCCTTTTGCGGCTCTTCCAGCATGGTGTACTTGTAGCCACCAGAGATATAGCCGTAAGCCCAGCGGGGCACCAGAATGGGGAATCCGACCAGCTCAGCATACGAGCGGACAACGTCCTTGATGGTCTTGCCAACAATGTAGTATTGCTCAAGACCACCATAGTCCTGGCGATACACCTTGAAGTGTCCCCAGAGGCCATCAATCTCGGCTCCTACAGACCATAGACCGCGGCCATGGGTGGTCGAGAAGATGGCCACACATCCCTCTGCTGAAGCCTTGATCAAGAGGGGGATGTGCTTGTAGAGGGGGTCGGTGTTGTATACGTCATATCCGAAAGAGTCGGTGGCTGAGAGTTGGAATTGACGACCAGTCAAATCCATCGGAGCCGCCTTTTCGCCCAGCCCGACATGGAGGCACTCGCGGTCATGCACAGAGTAGTTGGCGACACCCTCGCCGTCTGCGACATAAGACCGCAGCGGCACATCCTCGTGTAGAGGTTTCTCAGAGCCGGCCCATGACAGTTTCACCACAGGGGTGTATTCCCAATCTACGGAAGCAGTGACACCGGCGACATCGATTGTTTTGGAGGAGGCACTCTCCTTGGTAGAGACATTGGCACCCCGAAGGTTTGTCTCGGGCTTGGTGACGCTGGGATAGGGAGGGATAGGGTGCTCTGTGGAGGAGAAAGTGGCTCGGAATAGGTTGGGACGCACAGCCTCAAAGGTGAAATCAAAGGCATTCTTGCTCTTTGTGCTGCTTCTAATGTGGACGAAAGCTTCTTGATTGGTGTCCTGGGGCACTTGCGAGTAGCCCTTGGGGCAGCTTTCTTTTTGAGGCATGATGAATGTTAAAAAGGCAATGCAATTGATTCAGAGGAACTGGAGAGAATACGAGGATATCCCCTGACATTGGGGGATATTTGAATGCTTGTCAAGCTCCCCTCGGCCCACTATATTCGTGTACCCCGCGCTGATTCCAGTGATGCATTGTAGCTGTATAGAATCGGATATCGGGGATAATCACCGAAAAGACGCGACTTCACACGCGACCAGTCCCAACTTGATTCTGCCCCAAACTTCCGACTTGCTGTGTTTTTCCCCACAACAGACATCCTGGGGCCCCAGATGGTCGATCCTACGCTAATTTTTCCCTCGGTTTTTCTCTCCGAAATCCGATACTAATGACTCTGGGCACTTCTCATAACTCCTTTTCTTCCCATCGCCCCTCTCACAGTAGTCGTTTTGGTGAAGTGATTGGACGAAACGTCCGACGTCGGCCGCGTGTAGCAGCCGTTTGTTTCCAGATCAACTGACCCCGTGGACTGTACAAACTTTCATTGGCAACCATGCTAAGGGCTAAAAAGGATAAATCTCTACCGTTTGTGGTCTGATACTCCGGGTTTGATTGTCTTGTCCGGGGAATGTAATACTCTTCCTTCCCCACGGGGTTCTGCATATATGCTACACTCTATATATCCATGGATTAAAGCTTTATTTTTTCCTTCTCCCTTTTTGCTTGATTGATTGTCTTACTATATTAACTTGGTCTTTTATTGTTGCTCATTGTTCCTCTGCGAGAGGTTAGCCATGTCACAGCCAAAGGGTCAGCAGGAGGAGTTCGTGGAGAGTATTGAGCCCGAGCTGTCAGTGGTTGTGCCTCATCATGATAATGGCACAGGAATTCAGCCCAAAGGAGACCAGGCCTTGCAGCTCATCGAAGAGGCAGGGCACTTGAGCATTCTGACCCCCGAGAACAACGCCAAAGTTCTTCGAAAGATCGATTTGCGTCTGCTTCCCATTCTCCTCGGAATCTACTTCCTCCAGCAACTCGACAAGTCGACAATCTCATATGCCTCGGTCTTTGGAATTGTCGAGAAAGCCCATCTCCATGGCCAACAATACTCCTGGCTAGGGGGTTCGATCTATCTGGCTCAGTTGGTGTTCCAGCCCCTGGTCGCTTACCTTCTGGTTAAAGTGCCCCTAGGAAAGTTTCTGGCTGCGTCCTGCCTCTTATGGGGTATTGCTTTAACTTGCATGACTGCAGCTACAAACTTCGGAGAGCTGCTTGCTTGTCGAATCTTCCTTGGTATCTTTGAGGCTGGAATTGGTTCGTTTTCTCCTGATCACACCTTACCGTCCCTACTAACGATAGGTTTCACCAGCACCGGCCTTCATTGCAGTCACTCAAATGTGGTACCGGCGTCGTGAGCAACCTGTGAGATTGAGTTCTTGGTATGCGATGAACGGAGTCGTGAATATGGTGGGTTTTCTCCCATCTCATTTTCTTACCACCTGAGTTGACACCGAAGCAAAGTTTGGAAGCTTGATTGCATTTGGACTGGGTCACATCAGTTCCTCTACATTTGCACCCTACCAGGTGAGTTATAATATATGATTGTCTGTTGAGGTATTATCACCTAATAATGACCAGATAATCTTCCTCTTTTTCGGTCTAGTTACTGTTGGGTTCTCTGCCGTCATTCCGTAAGATTTAACTCCGTCCCCCTTTGCCCCCATTATACTAAGATAGCCTTGCAAAGTTTTTTCATGCCTGATTCCCCCGTGTCTGCCAAGTTCCTCGGAGAGGAGGACAAACTGCTATCCATTGAAAGACAGCGAATGAATCAGCAGGGCGTCGAGAGCCAAGAGTGGAAATGGGACCACGCAAAAGAAGCATTCCTTGACCCCAAATCATGGTTCTGGTTTGCGTTAATGTTCTCAATTTCGTGAGTTGACCTAGATAAAACGAGTGTACTAGACTCGAACTGCTAATCAATCTCTAGTGTCCCAAGTGGCGGCATCACTACATTCGGGCCTTTGATTATCAAGTCCTTCGGCCTCAGTCAATATGATACCATGCTTTTCAACATTCCCTTCGGTGCAGTCCAGCTTGTCGCCACAATGGGAGGCGCTTGGCTAGCGACCGTTTGGAAAATGAAGGGTCCAGTCTTAGCATTGCTCTGTCTCCCGCCTATCGCGGGTTGCGTGATGCTGTTGCAGATTACACATGACAATGCCCACAAGGGTCCTCTTCTTGCCGGATACTATATTGTGAGCATTAAATTGAGAGAGAATACCACTGTGGGAAGAATAATAACCCTTTTTATCTAGATCTCTGTGTACCCAGCCATCAGTAAGCTTTATTGAGGTTCAGAAGTTGAGCCCAACTAACCATCTCTAGCCCCATTGATATATTCGTGGTCTGCAGGAAATACTGCTGGAGAGACAAAAAAGAAGGTTACTACCGCGATCCTGTATGTAGGGCAGTGCGCTGGTAATGTATGTAGCATTCTAAGCCCCCATACCAGGGTTCCTGCTAACATTCCCCCGATCCAGGTCCTTGGGCCGAATCTTTATACTACAAATGAAGCACCGCTCTACCGTCGTGGTTTGCTTTCAAAGTAAGTTCTTAAGCACAAAGAAGCTCTTGAACTTGAAATATCTAACGCGCGACCAGCCTTGCGATGTTCTGTGTGTTGATAGGTCTGACTGGGTAGGTCTTGCCCAATTTTAACTGATTTAAATTTTGCTAATTATGACTGCTTAGGGCAAACACCGCATATCTGTACCTCCTGAACAAGAAGCATGAGAAGAGGCGCGTGGCTCTCGGAAAGGACGCTAAGATTGTAGACCAGTCGATGCAAATCATCCAAGCTGTCTCCGATGACACCAAGGAAGACCTCCCTCAACAAACAGGAGATGACAATGCCTGGAAAGATCTGACTGATTTGCAAAATGAGGATTTTGTCTATGTCTTTTAGAAGCTGAGGAGTTTGAGAGGTGTTATAGTATGTAGGACTTGTGTTGCTGTTTTGTATTAGTCGAATGTAGCCTGGAATATAATTTATTGACAATTGAATTTGTACAAAAAGAAAACCAACAAAGCGCCCTAAATGCCCCAAAGACGTAGCTTTTCCTCTCCCAAACTAGTTCGGCGTGGGACCTGGCTGATTGTATAGCCGGTCGGAGAAAAAGCCGAACCCCGCGTTTCTCCAGGTTTTCCCCTTCCCGTCAACCCCGAAATCAGTACAGACAGAAAACAGCTGGCTCTAAATGGCCGACCGACCTGACTTTAGTCCATACAGCACAGTGATAGAGGATGAATCCGTGCACCTTATTCCAGCGCCAGCAGGGAAAAAGCGCATTCCGGTACGCCACTATTGAACCTGTGACCCTACAACAGCGGACAACCCCTAACTATGTATGTTTTAATGCATAGAAAGCATGCAGTGCTTGTCGACAGTCGAAGGTCTGTGCTAAATTACCCCAAACCCGAATGTTGTGGGGGTTTTAATTAATCGTTTGAAGGTAAAATGTGATGGAGAGAAGCCATGTACAAGGTGAGTTATATCTTCCGACTGCACCCTTACATCAAATCAAGCCTGGGAGCTAATGCTTAAATAAGATGTCAAAAATTGGAAAAGCAATGCGTGTTCTTCGAAACACCGAAAGATCCCGTCTCAGAGTATGAGCCTATCTTATGCAGGTATCAACCAAGGCTAACAACCCCAGACGGATCGACGGCGTCGAGTCTGAGGTTCAGTATCTCCGCAAGCAGCTAGATGAAATGCGCGAGCTTCTTCAACAGAGCCGTTCGCAGCCCACACCAAAATCCCGACCAACACACTCCCCAAGCTATCTCCGTGATCGGCAACAGCAAGTATACCACGAGAGCGCTTGTGGTTCCTCAGACTCTCATTATCCTCGATCACAGGATCACCCCCAAGACGTATTTCCAAGTATACCTCTAACAAACTCGGTTGGCTATGCAAATGGTCAGCAAAGGTCTATGCCGGGGTCCATACCAGCTCTCTCTCCAAATGAGACTTCGGCTCGGCCTCTCTGCGCATCTAGCCAGATAATTGCAAGACCACCCAAGAGAAAGCGATCCGGGTTTGAGATTCGAGATGAGCCGATAGCCGACTTTATTGATAAACAACTCATCTCTCTTGAATGTGCTGTGTCATACTTCAATACGTATGTGTGATTAGATAATTGTTGGGCGATTAGTGATTTTCGCTAACCGCAGCAATTCCAGCTTCTTTGCAGGATGTGTACGTATCATATTTCACTGGCATTCTTGCAATACTCATCCTTTGCGAATTATACAGGACAGGTACATCCCGATCTTCGACCCTCAGTATGATACTTTCGATTCCATTCGATCTCGAAGCAGTATTCTCCTCAACGCAATATGTACGATTGGTTGCATGGTCGAGACTAGTAAATCTACTCGGCGTTTCTGTCTAATGGTATTGTCCTGACCATTTCTCTTTAGGATCCGGTGGTTCAATGTCTGATCTTCTCCACGCTGAACTCAAAAAATGGATCAACGTTATAATCCAGAACAAGGAATTGAACTGTCTGGAATCAGTCCAAGCAATGCTCGTAGTTGCCTGTTATTCTTCAGAACGTTCATTGATCTTATCGTTTGCCACCCGCATGGCCATTGACCTAGAATTGCATGAGGCCTTTGATGAATTGATCCAGCGGCTTGCCCTTCAAAATGAAGATATGGCCTATGCCTTGCCACATCAGATGTTCGAAGAGGAGAGGGCTCTTATGTGGAACGCTCGGACTTGGTTCGGGCTTTTGGTTCTCGAGCATATGTAAGATGCCCTTAACATTATTTTAAAGGGATCACCAGGCTGATGAACAATGAAACATCATGTAGATTTCGCGTTGATGGAGGGAAGCCACCTGGCATCCGGCTAAAAGGAAACGCACGCCGTTGTCGGGTTTTACTTGGCCATTCATCGTCGACAATTTTGGATTTACGATTGTTTTCACAGGTCGAGGTACGTCGAATACCCAAAATACACTGGAACAAATACTAATGTTGCTGTTAGTTAAACATCCTCAGAGGTATGACGCGTTCTATGAATCCATATGAGATGCCTAATTTGATTTCTATAGCCAATGTCGGCGATGCTCTAGGAGGAAACACATCGCTTGATGGGCAAAGCATCGCAGATTATGTTCATGACATGAAAATCGAGCTTGACTTGTGGTTCGAGTAAGGCTTTCAGTTCTATCGTTTGTCAATAAAATTGCTAACCCTGAGTAGTGACTGGCTACGTATCATCGGTGCGATACTAATTACCGTAATCTGCTAAAACTTGCTAATCATTCAAAGACGGTTGCGCTGCCGCCGCCGAAGAGAAGCCATCTCTACTAGTCGCCCTTCGAGTACAGAAATGCTGGGCAGAAATGATGCTTAACTGTAAAGCACTACGATCCATGGGCGTTCAAAACGTGGCGTATGTATCTACTTCATTTAATGTGCTTGTACCTGTGTTAACCCAGACGAAGTGCCATGTCCACAACGGAAAGAATGATACTACTCACAGCCAAAGCAAGTGCCCGCCGACATCTCCGCCTCATAATTGTCGATCCAGACTTCTACCTCGCCAAGTTGAAATATGCAATGGATTTTGTCTGGGCGAAGTGCGCATTCTCTTTCTTACTGCTTCTCAAATTATCCCGTCTCATTCCTGAGCGTGATGGGGAGAATCAAGAGCTGTTGGAACAAGGTAATCGACTTGTTGATGAGTTGAGTAAAGCTGGTGCTAGTGGAACTCAGTCAGGAGCCGGCAACATTTATCTCCAGATATTGAAGGTCAGTATTGAGAAGTATGGACGTGCATTGATGGAAACACAGCAACCCAGCTCGGAGGGCCCTACAGCTACCTCACCCTTCTGGGAGCTGTTTGATGCTCAAGCAGATCTCCAGTGGTTTGTCCCCGAGCAGTTCGTCTCCGAGTGGGACTTTCCAGGGCTCAATTTGTTCTATTTTCCTACCGCTTGGCAGGATTTCTTTGGAGACTTTTCGTTGGCTATGTAATTCTACGGACAACACATCCACTCTAATTTCTCAATGCCAGAGATGGATGAATAGTTTTCACTAATATCGAACTCCCGTTCACGTTTATAATATCGCCTGGTACTATACCGCGGATCATGCGGTATGAAGACGGTATATTTCATCTAAACAAAGGAAAATATTTATGGATGCACAGAAACAGAATACTCCACATCCTTCCGAATGATCATTTTCGTACTCCCATCGCTCCCACTGCGCATGCTACCCCTATCCCCTTCGGACCTCGTTTCCCTCGAATGCGCCGGCCCCGCAGCCTCACAAACAACAGTCCCATTCTCCGCCCCATCACACACATCTGGCCTCTCCTTGAACATACCACTCGTCCGTCTCCCAGGGCGTCCCTTGACAGCCGCCATCTCGTAATCCCGCGACCGCCCCGATGTGTAAGGGTCTGTATTCCCCCGTCCTCTGGACCCATACCCGTAGCTGTAGCCGCTGCTACTGCCGAGGTTAGAGTCGCCGGCTGTGCCGTAGTGAGTTGTGAGGGCGTTCATGAAGGGGCGCAGGCAGAAGGCTGTGCATGCTATCAGGGCGTAGTTGAGGTGGACCTGGGTAAAGACCGTGTGGCGGACTGCGCTGAAGGTGGGGTTTTCTGTAGTTACGTATTCTTTGAGGGCGGAGAGGTGGAGCGCGGAAAATATAATTAATCTATTATTGAAATTTGTGTTAGTGTCATGTAATGGGGGCTGGGATGAGCATTTGAGAAGGAAGTGCAACAACTTACGGTAGTCTCGCCGCGAAGCATACCAAGATCACGATTTTATGTGACATGTGCATCTGCAGACCCCAAACTAGGGCAATACAAAAGGTGAATAGTAAAATTTCAGTCGAGATGTCAAGAGCGGTGGTTGCTTGCCAGCGGGAAAACTTGTCACCGTTAGTATATCCCTTTCCACCTCTGTATATTCGGGTTGCGGTGGCCCTTCCGCAATTATAGACATACCAGGTTATAGCACTGCTCGCCAGGTACAACCCACGGTTTGTTTCCCTCACAGTTCACTGCAATCACTAGCACAGACATGATAAGCCACACTGTGATGAGCCCAAAGGCCGCCCAGAGGATGTTCTTGTCACGTCTGCGGGGCGTCAGGCGCAAGTAGATGGCGACCACGCAGCATTTCGAGAGATATAGAGTTAAGAGATACAGTATATCGGCGGCGAGGAGGGACTAAGTTCTCAGTTATTCTCTTGCATTGAATTTGGTAGAGGCTTTGGGTAATGAATACATTTTGTATGCGATCAACGCCCTTCTGGGCCAGTAGAGATATGTCTGTCCCGAAGCCGATGCTCGCGGCATGAAATATGATGATCGACTCCGCAATGCCGCATATCTATCCCGTCAGCCTCGTGGACAGGGGAGGTCAATTTCTTCTCCTTGCGTACCGTCGCACCCATCAGGATGATATCATCGGAGCCCCATGGTGGATTGAGGAATATCCGCACATACACCCGTATGAGCAGACAGACCAGCGAGATCATCAGGCATATAGCAGCGGTGACAATAATGATACCGCCATGATGCTTGTTGTCTATAGTCTCGAAAGGCGGCGACTGGCCAGGGGGCACTTTGATGGCCATTACCGCACGGAGACCGAATCGTGGTCTGTGGGTTTGAAGTATCGCACAGATAATTCTTTAAAAGGAAGTGGAAAATCACATCAACCAACGATCATGATGCCAACTGCATGGATCGTGGCCAGGTAGCTCCGGTAATTCAAGTTTCAAGTGGAGGGATCTAGCAAGGATGGCATCCTTAGGACTAGTACAAAGTAGGTCGGGTAGACTCGAAAGAAAATTTCAATTCACAGAGACCCAAAATTCCAACATCGTTTGATAAAAACTAGAAAGCTAAACTCTCTGAGTCCCTTATGTATTCTAATAGTGCCCTAATAACAGAGGATATACCGCTGTAGAGGTGATATAAAACAGGTTCACAGGTGCTTGTTCCCAATCGAGTAAGATCGAGCTAGTCAATTTTTCTAGTATTCCAGGCTGGAACCTGATTCAACGCAACATGATAGATTAAGTTTTGATTGGGCTATTTTATTAGCGGATTTCGATCCTCCTGATAGCCAACATGCCGAGGTGTGTGGGTATATAGGGCCGTGTTGGGGCCAAAAGCTTTCCGTTTAGAGTATCTCCACCGAGCTGCCCCTCCGCCCCCTTTATATTTAATAAATTGAATGATTTATCATCAAAATGCGGCCCCAACCGGATCACTAGTGGCCAATCAGGGGGGATGGCAAGGCCAACCGGACGAGCTCGGGAATTTTCTACATGTGCCTAGATATACATCCATGATCAGCCTGATAGAGTTTGCTATGTGGGGCCGCATGGGGGCCGAAACCTTGGAACACTTCCGCTCAAAGTATCGCCACTACCACACCACGAGCTTGATATCTAATAAAATAAATAAACCAGGCTTATGAAAACCACCTTTTGAACACCACCTTATGAACACAATGTATATTGTGTAATATGTCGAGAGTACGGAGTAGGGTATCCCTAACTCGGTGATGCCATGCCGGAAAGACCCGGCGTACAAGGTCATATCTATGCAATGCACACTACCTCGTTTCAGATCCACAAGGCACATACATACTAATGCCAAGACCTTTCTTCTCTTTAGCTTTGCTTGTTAGGTAATATGTAGCCTTTAGAAGAGTGTTGACCCCTTAATTAACTTTTTCTTCTGAATATATCCAGTTGAAGAGAATTTCAACAAACTTCTGACGAGACGAAGGTTCACCGATATGTCGGGATGCTGTGTTGACCAACTACCGCTGTGGTTCTTTCTTCCCAAGCGCTCCACTATACCCTCAACTTTACGATGTTACACCCAACACTATGGGTTATTATCGTCCGAGTATGTGATTTGTTCTAAATATAATTATACCAAATTACTTCCCCCTCTCTCTATGACATAACAATTATAGAAGTGGGTAGATGTTACATCTCTCGCCTCACCAGCGCCACGGGCGGGATGTAATGGTGGCGTCCCCGAAACACATAATACACCACCGCAATGATCAGAATCCCCCCATACATCACTGCGCACCAGTTCATAGTCTCCGCATCCACCCTCGATGTTAACGGGAAGAAGGCAAACACGAATACAGGACATAGGAAGCACAGGGCCCCAATGTTGATTGCCATGCCATACTGGCCGAGCGTCCATTTGTGTGGTGGGAGGGGTTCACCTCTGATACGCTTGAGGAGCACACATCCAATCGTGATGATGTACGAGGACATCATTGCGCCGATGGTCAGGGTGACGATGGCAAGAAGCGCGGTTGTGGAGCCGATGTTGATGAGCGACAACAAGATTGTCACTACCAGCGAGACCATCACAGCATTCAAGGGGATGTTCCAGTTGGGGTTTACCTAATGCTGTTAGTGTTGTTAAACAGGGAGAAAAGGGGGATGACGTACATATCCGAAGAATTCGGAGAAAGGAAGGCCGCGATCACGCGCAAAGGACCATAATTGGCGGGACGCCGTTGCTACTTCTGTGATTGTGCTCGCCGTTAGCGTCAACACCAGAATGGCAGTCATGGTGTTCGTTCCCGGCAGACTCTCCGTCGCGTTGTAGAACACCTGCATAAACGGGTACCCTGTTGGAGTGGCCAGGATGTCATCAATATCGCCTAGCGTGAAGCAGACCGTTACCAACATGAGGAAACCGAAGGCGGCATTGAGGCAGACAGAGGTAATCATCGCCTTTGGCAGGGTCTCAGACGCATCCTTGATCTCCTCCGCTACATGCTATTAGCCAAGTTCGTCAATGTTAGAGGGAGACCTACACATATGAACCGCGCAATCATATCCAATCAGGGCCGTGATGGTGGTTGAGAACCCGACCAGCGTGGCAGTCCCGTCGCTGTTCCATTCGCCACCGTTATTGAATTCGGTAAACACCTGCTTCGCGCTGCGGCGGGGGCCAAGGACCCATAGAGGGATTATGATGGCGAACAGACCGCACACATGCAGAATCAGAATCAACACCTCCACGAAGGGTAGCCGCTTGGCTAGGAAAGTGTTGAATATGATCGAAAATAAGGTAATGGCGATCACCAGTAGGGTGCCGTGCCACCGCTTGGAGTCATAGTCCGGGTTGTTCAGCACCATTAGGCCTTGGATGATAGTTCCAGCAAGGTAAGCGATAGACACAATAGCACATTGCCAGCCCATCGCGCACAGCCAGCCTACAAAGTTAGCTTAATTAGATAGAAAGATGGGGCAGGAGAACTCACCGGTGATGTAGCTGAGGAATTTCTGGCAACTGGGAGGGGCAAACTCCGAAACCCAATGGTATTGTCCGCCCGAGGTGGGAGCCCTGAGGAGTCAGAATGGATACAAGGTCTCGATGGTGTAGACTCACATAGATGCCATCTCAGCCAAGCTCAAGAACACTAGAAGGAACCCAAAAGCGACGATGACAAACCCCCAGATCAGCCCGGCCGTTCCTCCATCAGTCAAGCCTTGTGCGAGCAGACTAGACAGTCAGTCATCGAATCAAGAAGTGGGGATGGATGGCATACGTTAAAACAACCTCCCACGTGGCGATCAGCGTGCAGCCAAATCCTACAATGGAGATGAACCGGAAGTTACGCTGCATGGTCAGCACACATGTGTCAGCCACATAATCCTCTGTGACGTACACGCAAGACCTGCTCTCTCCCCAGAGCGCTCATATCGGCCTGGTCGGCCTGGGTGCCACGCCATTTGGCGGCGACGCGGCCTCTAGATGGGGCTTCGTCGGCTAGGCTCATGGTTACTGTTGGAGGATCTTTATCCCAGGACATATTGACATATAGAAAGCAAAGAGTACCAAGAGGATAAAGAATTAGTGTAAGAGACAGGGGTAACGGTAGGTCGCATCTGTACTTTGTATAAAGGCAGGATGTCAATCGTTAGAATATTCTCCGGCCCTCGTGGAATCCACCCAGCGCATCTGGCCGACAGTGGAGCAGGTCGCCTCTAGTAGAATTCGTGTTCTTGGCAACTGAAACAGTAAAACTCCGTAGCGAGACTAAAGCATGGTTGCAGCATCCTGCAGGTTAGTGTGAACTAGGGATGCTTCGTGTTGACTGTGGCTCCACTGTGGTTGATATTGCCACGCCAGGAGTGGGTATTGAAAATTGTGTCGACGGCCAGGGTGCTACGGAGTACAAGATACGAAGTGCACTCAACCTCGGGCAATTTGGAACCCCTTAATGTGGAAATTACTTTGGTTTGGGCTATTTCACTGCAATTCATTGTTTGTTGGTCTGTCTCAAACAACATATGTCATATAGTTAAGGGCGCCAACCCCCACCAGGTTAGGGTTAGTCTGTAAGAATCCAAGCTGAAATTATGGGGCTTAACCTCCCACATCTAATACAAATTTCCAAAACTAAAAAATATCTCCAAGTCTTAATTTACTAACTGGCAATTAGAAATCCACCGGATTTAGCTGTATGGAGTATACAACATATTCCAAGCTTGGAAGGTGACTGCCGGTGGAGCGTTGATATGCTGATTAAGCGGATCCACTGCGGGCACCTGGGCCCATGGGACCCCTGCCCCGGCCCCTTGTCGTCCACGCACACACGGACACACGGACACACATTGCGTCCGGTAAATCGGGAGGGTTGTATTCGGAACATCAGGTTAATGAACATGCCAAGACTCAAGAATTTCTTTCAACGGAGCTCTCCATACAGTGTATGGGTTATTCCATAGCTTCTTTCCGGCTCAAGATGATTGGCTCTCTCGATCCTAGCCCATACGAATATCATGCAACACATTGCTTTGGCGGGGGACTCCTTGCATGAGAACAAAGAATGATTATGACTGACTATGAATTGAAACACCCGTTCTCTAATTGGCATGTTATTTGTTCTTCTTTACCCTCACGCAATATCATGACCCCCCTCGTTCCCATCGCCCTTCTCATCCTCACCTCCTACCTCATATATCACCATGTCATAAACCCCTACCTCCTCTCTCCGCTATCTTCCATCCCCAATGGCCATCTCACATCTCCACTCTCCAGCCGCTGGATCGACCGCAAGCGCAGCACAGGCACGGAAGTCCTCACCATCTACGCCCTGCACCAAAAACACGGCCCCATCGTTCGTCTCGGTCCCAAGGAGTTGAGTGTCAACTCCCTCCATGGCCTGAGAATAATATATACGGGCGCATTTGAGAAACATGCATTCTACAACGAGGTCTTCGTCAATTTCAACACCGAAAACCTGGTCGGCATGACCCACAATGCCCCACACGCACATCAGAAGCGCATGCTGAGCAAGACCTACTCGAAGTCATTCCTCCAAGAATCTAGTGATATGCGTGGTATCTCGAAGGTTATGCTCTGGGATAGGCTTATGCCAATTCTCAAGAAGGCCGGGGAGGGTGGAGAGGTGTTGAATGTGCTCCCGCTGTTTCAGGCTGTTGGGATGGACTTTACTTCCTCTTTCTTGTTTGGATTAAGACAAGGGTCGAGATATTTGTTTAATATTCCCGAGTGGAAAATCTGGTTGGAGGAATATGAGCGGTTCAAGTATTTGAGTCGGGATGACCGGTATATGGGATTCATTGAGGCGTGGTGCTTGAGTTTCTGTGACCGGGTAGAGGCGTCTAAAAAGCAGGACATCTTCAGTTATGAGGAGGAGCTACCATCCACGAACCCAGTCGTCTATGACCAACTGTGCCAGAGCCTCCTCACCCAGAAAGAACACGATCCGCGTCCACTGAACCTAGCAATTGCGTCCGAGCTGTTGGATCATCTGGTTGCAGGTCACGAAACGTCAGGTATCACCTTCACGTACATGATGTGGGAACTGTCTCAGCATCCGGAGCTTCAGGTTGAGCTGCGGAAGGAACTACTCACCTTATCTCCGTCTCTCCAATACCCAGATACAGACGGAGATAAGCCCCTTCCGTCTCCCTCCGCGATCGACTACCTTCCACTGCTGGACGCTATCGTCCGCGAGACCCTCCGTGTTCACTCCCCAGCTCCAGCCCAACTCCCCCGTGTCACCCCCACCACAGAGAAAGGAACTTCCCTGCACGGGTACGACAACATTCCGGGCGGCGTGAGGGTCAGTTCAACCGCCTACTCCCTCCACCGCATTAGCGACGTCTACCCGCGCCCGCTGGAATGGCTGCCACGACGATGGCTTGAACCAGGTGATAAGATCCATGACATGAGGCGGCTGTTCTGGCCGTTCGGGAGCGGTGGACGCATGTGCCTGGGGAGTAATTTCGCATTGCAAGGTACGTCTCCCGTGTATGGCCTTTGAAGAAGAGACTAATGGTACAGAAATCAAACTGGTCATGGCAGCTGTGTATTCAAATTACACGACAGTTATTGTAGATGACGAGGGAATCGAGCAGGATTACGCGTTTATTTCGCTACCGCGTGGGCGGAAGCTGATGCTGAGGTTTGTCCCAATCGATGAATAATGCGATGCAGTCATGACAATAAATGAAACACTCTCTTTGTTCACAATATCATCTCTCTCCACGACTGCCGATTGATGGAGCAGTAACGATAGATGCTTGGCAGCAGAGGTTTGCCGGTCGAACCCATGTCACAGTAGTATTCCAAAAAAATAGTAAAACTAGCCTATACTCATTATATACGATTTAAATTTTAGGAATTTGTAATAGTAAGATATAGCTATATAAGTATATATTCCAATTTTAAACAAAATCTAATCGGTAGAGGTCGATAGCGCGAAAACGGTTAATATTGATGTTTTGACAAGATATATATTTTAGATTCATGTCGGTATATTACAACTTTCTAAGTAAACTTCTGTAATATATAAGTATCGCGTTTCTCGTGTTTATAAGCATGAAACATAAGCTTAACTACTTATCAATTACGGATCAAATAGAACATTAAAATTTTACCTCAAAACAAGGGCTAAAAACAGGGTCTAGACATAAGGCAACTGAAAAACGTCCCTTTTTTGGAATATTTGATTGTTTGGTGCTCATTGGGCCCTATTAGGCCCCGGCTTAAAGCACAGTGGGCCTTCACCCCGGGCCTATAGCCACCAGTGGGCCTAAGGACCGGACCCAAAACCCAGCCCATTAGTGGGTTGGGGCGGGTTGGGCTTTGCGGAGGCCTACTGAATTAGATTAGTTAACCCTGTAGATTATGTCAGCAAATTCACCATTACCGTGCATCGGCTCAATAATTGGGCCGACGCACAACACTACTGGTGGAGCTCTCTTCGCTCTTCGGAGACATGCTTCTTGCATTTGTCAAGAATCGAAAATGGGATTCTATATAAGCTCAGGCATGAGAGGTCTCATGCTTTTGAATCATGAGGCATTTGAGTTCCCCAAACAAGTCCTCGATTGATCCTCCGACTTTCGATATTCAATATGCGGCCAGAAGAGCAGCCTCGAACGATCGTCATCCTAGGATCTACGGGTAATCAAGGCAGAGGTGTGGTTGAATGCGTTCTTCGCGAGCCTGGCTTGGAAAAATATCTCGTCCGTGCCGTTACACGGGATATCAAATCTGCTCGTGCTAGACAATTGCTGGAAGATTATCAAACCCCAGATGAGCGTCTCAGTCTCGTCACAGGCGATGTTTATAATGCCGAGAGCCTTGAAAATGCCTTTTCGGGGGCATACGGCGTGTTTGGGGTTACTAGCGAACATGCTCCCAGGAGGATTGAAAAGGAAGAAGAGATGAACCACGAACTTCAAGCTGGTTTGAATATCATATCTGCTGCAAAGCTCTGTCAGGTGCAACACTTCGTTTTCAGCAGCTTGCCTGATATGAAGCAAGCTACAAACGGCCGCTTCCAGAAACTATTCCACATGGATAACAAGTATATAATTGAACAATGGGCAAAGCGTGACTTATCTGCTGTCACTTGTCTTCTTCCAGGTTGTCCCATCCCCAAGACACAGCAGCCTTTACAACGCAGCTAACATTTGAACCACCTAACAGCGTTCTTTCTCACGAACCTTAAACGGCGCCAGTATTCTCGTCGCGAAAACGGGGTCGTCCGTTTCTGTCCACCGATCCCCGGGGACAAGTTTGTCGAGTGGCTAGATCCGGCATATGACATGGGTGTCTTTGCAGCAAGTAGGTTATTCTTTTGTCTAAAATCAACCGCCTTTCTATTACCCTCGCCGTCGACTTGTGGGGCTCCAGGATTAGCATTTATATAGCTTGGCAAACGAAGCGTACGACCGAAAGCTAACAGCCCTCTAGGGGTTTTTGCCCTCGGAATTTCAAAAACGAAAAATAAAAACTATGTTGTTGCTGGTCCCAAGATTCGCATGCAAGATTTTGCAACTATTTTCACACGCGTCACTGGTCAACAGGCAATTTATTCGCCGACCACCTTGGATGAGTGGGCTGATATGGCATCGGAAGCGGTCGGGCCTGGATTCAGAGAAGACATTCGGCAAATGATGGAATGGGCTTCAATCATGCCCGATGACAAGATTTGCTATGGTGCCCTTGATCCGGCGGAAGATCCTTCTTGGGAAGATCTCGGTGTTCGTGCTAGCAGCTTTGAAGACTGGCTAAACCGTACAGCGTGGACTGGACCATAGAGTATATGCCATGATTCATCGGCAGCTCGAGCATATCTCCGTGAGCATCTTCATGGCCCGAGTCTTGATTGTCGTTTTACAAGACTTCTCAGCAAGCTGACATTAATGTTATCACAAATTGTAAAATTATTGTGTCTACATCTATTTTAGTGCAACCTGTGAAAGCCTTATACCCACTGCTTGTTTCCAAGATGCGAGACAAACGCACCACCAAATCCACCCTCGATGCTAGCCTTCTCCCAGGTTGACCTGACTTGTCGGACGGATTCTTCCGGAGTCACTGGGCCCTTGAAGTGAGGCGCATAAGTTACAATCTTGCCTACAAATCCCGCCAAGGCTTGGAGCTCTTCCGGAGTCCCTGTTGTTATACATTAATAAATTTTCTAGATGCTGCAATCTTGAGGGCAGAAGGAATACGTACAATCCACGTAGCGGCCCACCTCTAGCACACCCAGGCTAATACTCACCAAAAGCACACCATCCTTCTTGTATTGGGCGTTGAACTTAGCCACAATAACGTTCATGGCCGCCTTAGAGGCAGCGCATAAAGTACCAATCTCTACCTCGCCATCGTTGGTCAAGTCGAGGTCGGCCAGACCGGTGGAAATTTTAATGACCTTTTTAATCTTGCCCTTTAGGAGAAGAGGGAGGAAGAGGTGGAAGAGGTGGATATTGCCGACGACATTTGTTTGTGATAGCTACGATGAAACAACCTCGAGCTCCTCGGGCTTATCACTCCTGTTGACCACACAGCGTTAACCACAGACTAGCCCGGATTGTAGCCAGCAGGAAGTAGACCTAAAATGCGCCGATGGGTCCATAGGTGTCCAAGTAGGGGCACTAAAGCTCCGTTGGCGACCAGGTAGTCAATGCCGCGCTCGCCAATAATCTCGGTCGTGTCGTCAGCGGCTTGCTTCAGGGTGGTGTACTTGGTGATATCACCATGAAGGATGTGAACATTAGGACGGTTGCCTAGCTCTGTCGCTATCTTCTTCTCGGTTGCAGCTTTGTCGCGGACGAGACCAACAACCAGGTTCTCTTGGTCTTCTGAGATCTGTTTGAAGAACTCGAACTAGGCTAGGTTAGCTAAGCATGGTGTGCGAGGCCTTAAAAGGTAGGCCCACTCCAATTCCCCTGGACACTCCGGTGACAACGTGAACACCCATATTGAGTAAATGGCCCCTGTGTGTGAAAGACGCGATAACTAGTCGAGAATTTTATAGTTCCATTGGTTTGATATAAAAGGGGCAGCAAAGAGGGAGATCATATTATCGATATGCTAACGGCGTAATAATAGGATGGGATGAAAGGGCGGTGTTTGGACCATTGAAGTCTTTGTTCGTTGTCTATCAAGCTCGGCGTTTCCGTGCAGGGTTGTGCACCCATGCACGCTAGACCTTTTTACTGATAAGCCATATAACAATGAATAGGAAAATGCGCACTCAATGGGAGATCTCGGGCTTAGACTCTTCGTGGCGCAGCACCATGTTCATTCCCTCTATAGTCCCAAAGGAAAGTAAGCTGAATTTCAGCCAGATAGAAATTGATTCCTGTACCGCCCCGACTCTAAGTTTAGACCCACAAGCGACTGAATCCCTGGCCTGATCAGTCAGTATCCGTACTTCTTCGAAAAGAAGTCGACCACAAGCCCAGTGCATATTGCCGTGCCAACGTAACCACTTCCAGGACCAAACGCCCAAGCGCAACTGTTGCTATCTTCCAAATCGACGACCCAAATCATCCGTGCTAACAGAAGAGCAGTTACGCCACACGATATAGCATAGTACGGTGTGCCAAACCCTGCTAGTTGGCCTGCCAACACTAGAAAGAAGAGCTGCACGGCAGTCGCTGTGTAGCAGGCGGGTTTTGTTCCCTTTCTTCCCAAGCGTACAGCGAGTCCTTTGACGCCAGCTTTTAAGTCATCGAGGTAATCTTGATGAGCGTAAATTGTGTCAAAGATAACAGTCCAGATAATTCCAGCGACGTATAAACTAGCCGCTGACTGAGCCAATGGCGCTTTGATGACTTTGAGCACACGGGCGGAGAGATCCAACGACGAGTCCAACAGAGGGGTCAACGGATCTTTCCCGACCATTGCGCTTGCCAAAAATATAGCATAAGATAGCCCAAATCCCAGCTCGACTTGGGGGTAATTTGTGCAGCGCTTGAGGAAGGGGTAGATGAACAAGAGGACGAAGTTTACGGTGGCGTGAATCAACGTCAAATTTCCAAACGGGTACAAGATGGAGGCTCCAACGGCAATCTGTACGGCAGTGAAAAAATGCGCCTGAACCGTTGTGACAGCACCCCGTGGGATGGGTCTCAGTCGGCAGCGAGCGACCTGGCGATCAAAGTCCTGATCTATGTTGTCGTTCCATGTGCAGGTAATGCCGCGGAAGACGGTAGCCCATAGTCCCAAATGGGCTGCCAGGAGCACAAGGGCTTTCAGATCAATCTCGCTGGAGAGTGGTGGGATATTGATGGCAAAACCGAGTCCTATCAAGTAGTGCCAGTAAAAGGCCCAGAACCCTGACTGCCGGTCGAGACGCATGAGCTCGGCGTACGGAACCCATGCGTCTGGTATGAAGTAAAAAGTAAAAGACGCCATGAGTTGGCTTCTTGTAGCCTTTGACTTCATCCATGGCGGGGAGGTTGTGGTATCGTCCGGGCTATGATGGGTAATATGTGCAAATCTCGAGAGAGCGAGAAGCGACGGGGATACATACATGAACCATTATATAGCATAAGCGTAAAAGTCTGGTCTAGGATTCTCAGGTGCCTTACGAAACTTATTCCGTCTAACCTCCAACTCACATTCGATAGATCTGGGGATTGTACTTCTTGCTAGTGGAATCTTGGCCGCATTATCACACCGCATACGTGCATGCAGGTCAGAAAATTCAGTGACAACAGAAGCCCAACAAATGCAGACGCTAATAGGCAGAAATCAACACTCCCAACAGCCGTATAGCAATCGCCTGTCTCTGGGCGTCGGAAGTAAGTCTTGTAAGCGAAGGAATACGTTGATCCCACGATCTTACTTACTGGCCTATTTCTTGGTAACAAATAATTTTTTCTGATTTTTTCTGACATTTTATGATTGAAATTTGCCTATAGATGCATATCATGATATCGTTCCTCCAGGTGGCGACAAGGAAGTATTAGGTGGTAAGTGTTCCACGCAACCTCCTTCGGCCGGGGTATCTGTGAAAACAAATTTTCCCTTAAAACTGAATGCGACCCTCAAGAGAATCGGCGAGCACTGCTCGGGGTATAATCGTGCACATGAAATATATGTCAACCCACGTCTACTCCACTCTCAGTGTCTGACACCAACCGCCCAATGCCCTTACGCCACGCTTGCGTTGGTGCTCGTTCTTCTCTGGTCCCAGGACGAAAATGTCGGTAATCAAAAGCCACTAAAACATAGCTGCTACCCAATCGATTCTCTCATTATGCCAAGGCAAGCTTTGCTTCCAAAGACCTTGACAAACTCCGAGCCACCAAAAAAGCCATGTCGGACTTTCTTCCGAGGTATTGAAGCGCACGGATCAAGAACTCGCAGTTCTGCCTTAAGCACTCCGTATATATATTTTGATCTCCGGAAGTATCAAAACATTCAAGCAAAATATATCCTGCCTTGGCAAAGCAATGGACCAGTACGGCCGTCCACGGTTCAACTAGGAAGGCCACTTCACTGAGAGAATCATGGAAGTGAGGGTTCATGAACGAGTCCTGACCTTGAATTGAAGCTCGGGCAAGTCCGCCGACTGCCAACGCATTATTGGTTCGAAGTGTAGCAACCAAGTGTGTCGTTTTCCGAGCTTCACGTGCAACATCAGAGCCAAGCGCGCATTTGTCAATGCTTTCTAGCACATCCGCCAAAAGCATCACAGCGAGGTGCCAGTGGCCGTCGAGAATGACGTACCACGACTGTATGCGAGAAGGAAGCAGTTCATGATTGTTGACACAATCGACCATGAAACTCTGGTATGTGGAATCCCAGTGTTGGCAGACCGCGAGGGTTTTCTGGATAACGTTTTCAATATTATCAGGACTTGCACCTCGGTAAACCAAAGTTTGGAGCTGTGTCACTCGACGGTAGAGCAGGACTTTGACAGGAGTCGCTTCCGACAGTACAGATGCGGCTTCTTCGTAGGAGCACGGCCATCTCGGCTGGTCTTGGCTCGATCCCTGGCGTTCGATTGAAGAACGAAGGAATAAATCACCCCACACATCCTGTTTCCCACGTGTCTTGCTTCTTGTCATATTCCAGTGATCGAGATCAATTTGATCTTCGGACTCAGCTATTCGCGGGGAGGCCGATGCGATTTGGCTGTCCTCATCCGACACTACTAAAGGACGCTGATACATTGCAGAACTTAGGGTATCAAACATAACGCCTAGCCAAAACATGAGATCTAGCGTAGTGCGGTGTTCATGGCTAGTCAGAAGTGGATCAAGTTGCGGAGCCTCTGAAAGCTGTGGCATTTCCCGAACGTTCGTTATTGTTGGGTCTATAGACCTCCTCCCAAGCTCTCTCACTTTGGGAGCAGCCTCTCGCTGCAATCTTGTGAACTTGTGCCGGAATGTGAAAATTTGGCGGTTGGCGGTCTCTAGAAATATTGGCGCACGATCATTCTCCAAAAGCTCACCCAAGCTGACTTCCTGCGTTTTATCTAGCGGACTTTGCGTCAAAGAGAAAATGATGTTCGCGAATGCGATACGAAAAGACGGAATGTGGCTCGAATGCTCCAAAGCCTGCCTTGCCTCGTTCCAAACTTTCTCTCGGATCGATCTCTCGTCATGGTCGATTGCCGAGGGAACTGTCGCGCCTGTGCCCTTCTGTGCATGCTGAGTCCACTGCGATGCAAACGACATAATCGCTAGATGAAGCGCTCGAGCCGCCTTCGTATCTTCTTCCGCACTTAATGCTCTGCCGCGTATTGAGGATGATACACGATCCAACTGACAGACCCTGATACACATTCTGTTTGACCAATTTGGACCCCACGCCTTCATCTCTCGATTAGGAACCACTTGACTGATTGTGTCACTGTACGGGCAGTTGTGCTCAGTCAACCAACATGACAAAGCATTCTCCATGCTGTCATGGTATATGCGAACCAGATTCCGTGACATCGTCGCACGAGCACTTTGCTTGGCTGTATTTTCAGAAGCGATGCAGAAGCTCCATTGTTGTTCTGGATTTAAGCTTCCGTCAGAGGCAGCCTCTGATAAATGTTTGTATCGAGTCTGTTTCCACGCCGGAACCGTTGATATCATCTGAGTGGTGGATGCATATCCATGCTGTGGTAATGATCCATATGTGCTCTCGATAGAGTTTGGTGCCAAATCAAAAAACTCAGTCGGGGCGTCGGATTCCACGGAGGAGTCTGGAGATGCAAGTTGATTTGAGCTGTTGACTTGCAAATCGTATGGTATGTCCATCGTCCAAGGAAATGATTGGGATTGGTCGGTGGTTGAGTTGAGATTTTGGAATGACTCGATAAAGTGATTTTGTGGGTGCGATGAGGATGAGGAGAAGGTGTAATCTAAGGTTTCAGGGGGGCTAAGCAATTCTCCGGCATTGGTAGGATGTGTTTGTGCAGCGCGTAGTATCTCGTCGGGAGCTTCGTCATTAGACCCTATGATCGCTACGCTCGCGGTGCCGGTCTTGATTCGTTTTCGACTCCCTCTCGAGTCCACGCGCTTTGAGGAGATCCAGTTGAATGTGCACTCCTTTTTCCATCGTGTGCAGTTGGAGCAAGAACTAAATGCGCTCTTTTGTCGTTCTTTCTAGGTATGAAAATTAGCATCCGGTGTTTCCGGCGTTGGTAACACAGAGATATGTTAACGAACAGGCGCGTCGCAGCCTCTTTTGCCCTTGCGACATGGATCACAGCTATGAAGCTGACGTCGGCGAGAGTCTTCCATGCTAAGCTATGTCATAGATTATTGGGGGTCGGTTGTACCTGGTGGGAGGGAGGTTGTTGTGTCACCCCAATATGCAGAAGAAGCACGGAACGTTCTTCATACCAGGATATTTCATAATTTTCTGGGGGAACACGTGAACCTTGCGGAGTGCGGAGTGAGTTTGAGTGGGGTAAAAGTGGAGAAGCTAGCGCATTCATCCGTCCACAGGTCGACACGAGTCATCTTCGGTCCAGTGGAACTATAAATGGACTCTGCCTCAGCCATTGAGCTTGATGACATACTAGCTTAGAAAAAATACTGCCCGGTATGCTATTTTACGAAATAATGGCAACGAACGAAAAAAATTCCAGAGCATGTATATCCAGGGGTAGTGTTACATGACACAATTCGGCGCATTTTTAGGATGACGCGCCCCGAATCCCGAAGCGGACCGGAGGATGGTCCATCGGAACCCGAGCCAATCATAAAAAGCCTCCCGCTGCAAGTGGTCACGGGGTAACCGCCACAATCTCACCTCAGATTGATCTTCAATATGATCGACAAATGGAATGTGGTAGGGAAGGGAGGGATCTTGATTCTCCAGTAAGGGGTAGGATATCCCCCCACGGACTTGATGATTTGATTTCCCCTCAACCCAACGTAATGAATAAGCTATCCAAGCAATTGATTCATGTGCTTGGCTAACTCTAGTGCCGTCCACTAGAACGTCTAAACCAGCTATTTTTTAGTAAAATCCGTCAGAAATTGAAATTTCCACATTTAGTGCACTGAATATATCGAGGTAATTCCCTATGGTATGTACAAATGGAAAGCATAAAACAGAAGTGCAAATCATCTCTTCCAGCGATCTGAAGCTTACGACTGAAGGTGCACGCGGACTGTCTTCACCTCGGTGTAGTTCTCGAGGGCGTATGATCCAAGCTCTCGGCCAATTCCAGATTCCTTGAAACCACCAAAAGGCATCTGGTAGTGAAGTGTGTTGTAGTTGTTGACCCACACGGTTCTGTTGCAAAAAATACGTCAGCATATTCCGGAGACCCGCTTTGCTTTTCAATTAACTCACCCAGCTTTGACGGCGTTGGAAACTCTGATGGCAGTGTTGATGTTCGTGGTGTGGACAGCTGCGGCTAAGCCTATTTTTCATCGATTGTCAGACTATGGGAAGCAGATGAAATGTGAAATCGCGCGAGACTTACCGTAGTTTGTGTTATTGGCCACTCTAATAGCCTCCTCCTCACTGTGGACCTTTTGCACTGTGCATACAGGTCCAAAGATCTCCTCTTTCACAATTGTCATGTGCTCAGTGACATCAGCAAAAATCGTGGGTTGGATGTAGTATCCTTCGCTGCCATGACGATCGCCACCAGTGACCACCGTAGCACCCGCACCCTTTCCATCCTGAATGTAACCCATGACCCGGTCATATTGGATCTGTGATACCTGAGGTCCCTGGAAGGTTTCGGTGCTGAACGGGTCTCCGACCTTGTTTTGCTCTGCTCGCTTCTTGAAAAGCTCTAGGAATTTATCATAGACAGCTTCATGAACAAGAATGCGAGAACCTGCACAGCAGCACTGCCCGTGATTGAAGAAGATGCCCAGATTCACCCATTCAATTGCGTCCTCTAGGTTTGCATCGGGGAGAATGATGTTCGGCGACTTGCCACCCAGTTCGAGAGTGACTTTCTTCAAGTTACTGTCGGCGGCGGCTTTCATGATGTGCCGTCCGACCAGAGTTGACCCAGTGAAAGCAACCTTGTCAATATCCATGTGAGAGGCGATCGCCGCGCCGGCAGTTCTTCCAAATCCTGAAATAACATTGACCACTCCAGCGGGGAATCCCGCTTCTTTGATAAGTTTAGCCACATAGAGCGCTGAAAGGGGCGTTTGTTCGGCGGTTTTCATAACAATTGTATTTCCTGTGGCAAGAGCAGGGCCAATCTTCCAAGCAAACATCAAGAGCGGGAAGTTCCACGGAATAATTTGGCCACAGACGCCCACCGGTTCGTGGCGCGTGTAGGTCAAGCTATTGGTATCAGTGTCAATTGTTTGTCCGTAAATCTTGTCGGCCCAGCCACCATAGTAGCGCAGGCATCCGGCAGAGGCGTTAACGTCGCCTTTGGCCATTGTAACTCCCTTGCCATTGTCAAGGGCTTCAATAGCGGCCAGCGTTTCAATGTCACGTTCTAGGAAGTCTGCCAGACGAGTAAGGAGACGACCACGTTCGGACGGCGTGATTTGTTTCCACTCCCCGTTCAGTGCAGTGCGAGCAGCTTTCACGGCAATGTCGACATCCTCCGCTGTGCCTTCGTGAACGGCTACAATAGGCTTCTCGTTGTGGGGATTGATTGTCTCAAAGGTCCTCCCTGCCACACCCTTGACAAATTCATTGTTGATGAACCTTATCAGTTTTGTCAGATCATTGCCGTTAAGAATTAAAGTTTTTTGTTGTTCGGGCCAACTTACAGTCCCAAAGGCTGCTCATATGTGAGTGCGGGGGTCTCGACAGTTTGGAAAAATGCCATGGTTGAAATAAAAGAGACACTTGGTGAGAGAGATGTAACTGAATGTGAGAAATAGTAGAATGAGAGATCGTACAGGCACTCTTATATAGCTATTGGGAAGGACCCGGGTGGCCACATTTCTCGGGGGTGCAGAGCGCGGGGAAAGCATGCACAAATCGAGAAAGGCCGGCCCGATGTTTCTCGCTTTCTGGGGTTGCGGCTCCGCTCCCGCACCCCGGCTTTTGCTTTGATTTACACTTCCCTTCGTCCGGACCATCAGCACCATCAGCACTACTCAGGAACAAAAAGCGGGGAATGAATGAACCCCGTCTTTGACAAGTGTAGCTACAGAGGAATTAAGGTGTCCTACACAATTCCCTTTATTTCAAATCGCCATTTTGCTACAATGATTCCCTCTAAATTATTCCACCTAGGCAAAGACAACGAAGTTTGAAATTTTATTGAGTAGACGGTGCATGTATATTTAGGACTAGTCTCTTGCTTCACTAATTTAACTCTAGCGCACTCGTAAAAAGTGCATTGCTGGACACCCCGTCTCTTATTGGTAATCCTTAATCCAAAGCATTGCTCGGAGTCTATTTTTTTATTTTAGATGCTAGGCCCATAACTGTGGCGTCAAATTTCGGTGATTGCCACAACCACGAGCTCGTAGGTCTCGATATTGTGTGGAGACTAGCGAAATGCGGCAAGAAGCTTTAAAAACCCAAATTCAACGTCGGCTTTGTCTTGAATGTCAGAGCAAGCAGACACGGTATCAAAGGGTTTCAGTCGTTGAAAATCAGTTAAATTCGGTATCTCAATTTATATATCACACAAATTGGCATGCAACTCCCCACACCTATGTACATCACACTCCTAGTTCATAATGTGCCCATAGCACAGTTCACTCATGGTCAAATTTCATTTACTCGGGCAGCTCAAGCACATAGCGGCCAGCAATCTTCCCTTGTTCTATGTAAAGTTAGTCTTAAGTCCAGTATACAAGTGAGGGAGAGTGACATACCCATGAGCTCAAAGATCTTGGGAAGATCCTTCAGAGGTGCCAGCTTGAATGGAGCTTTGATCAAGCCTCGGGCGAAGAAGTCGAGAGCTTCAACACCATCCTGTTGATTTCCAACATAGCTTCCCTTGATAGTGATCATACGAACAACAGTATTGATGACAGGGGCTTTGAGGAATGCATCGGGGGGCAATCCGATCGCAACAATTGTGCCGCGGGAGCGGACGTATTCTGAGGCTTGCTGGAAGGGCTTCTCTGAGACAGCCAACAAGATAACGGCATGAGCACCAAGACCACCAGGGGTTGCCGCCTTCACGTCGGCAACAAGGTCTTTCGACTTGGTGAAGTCAACGTATGTCTGTTTTGTTGTTTTGGTTAGCTTCCATGTTCGATTTACAGGAACAGCAGAGTATAGAGATTAGGACCATACCTCAGTGCCAAGCTGCTCGCACATCTCTCTCTTCTCGTCACCTCCATCAATAGCGACCACTCTGAGACCCATAGCCTTTGCGTACTGCTGTGCAAGAGAGCCAAGGCCACCACCTGCTCCGACAATAGCAACTGTCTGGCCAGGACGAACGCCAGATTCCTTCAATCCCTTATAAACAGTAATACCGGCGCAGAGCACTGGAGCCGCTGCATCAAGGGGAACACCCTTGGGGATCTTAGAAGCATGGGTGGCCTTTCCGACAGCGTATTGCTGGAAAGTACCGTCGACAGTGTACCCAGAAAGTTGCGCATCGGCGCAGAGAGGGGTATCGGATTGTCTGCAGAATTCACACTCAGAGCACGAGCCATTGAGCCACTTAATTCCAGCGTGGTCACCGATCTCAAAGGTGTTCACAAGATCGCCCTTCGCCACGACCACTCCAGCTCCCTCGTGTCCACCGACAAGAGGCATCTTGACTGGGATGGGCCAGTGGCCCATCATCGCATGATAGTCGGTGTGGCAAACGCCTGAGTAGCGGATTTTGACCAGAATCTGGTCAGGGCCTGGCTTGGGAACGGGGATTTGTTTGAGGACAAGTGGTCCTCCGATCTTCTCCGCCACCTGCGCCCATTGAGTCTCGGGGATGGACATGTTGATGAGAGATGAAAATGAAGCTTGAGATAAGTTATAGGGTTGCAAGGAATAAAGAATTGTTCTTTGGTAAGTTTATGATTGTTTGCGGGGCATCAATTGGAGCTTTATAGCTAAATGTGTCGGGTGGGGGCAAAGAGAGGCGAGGTGGGGCCTACCGCCTCAATTCTCATATTTCCAGTCATCTAGGGAAATTAAATCGGGTCACCGGACTTCAACAAAGGTAATACGCAGTAGGAGTTGATTCAATTGATTGGGAACCAGTGTGTTTGATCCTAGAACTTGTCTTGCAACTCGACTTGGAACCCAGAGAAGTTAATGCGGGGAAGGTTTGCGGGGATCGCGCACGGTCCCCCATGCGGAGCCGCACGGGTAACGATTGTGATTGGAGAAACCCTTGGAAGTTTTGGCCGAAATGCTCTCTTGTCCGGTTTCGGAATAATCTCAGGCTCAATAATACCGTTGGGGCTATGTAGTAGCCTAAGCAGACATGGAGATTGTTGGTGAGAAAAAAAATCTCCAAGATGTGTTGAAATTACTACTGCAGGTGGGGATTGGCGCTTGCCCCCTAAGACTACAACATATACATCGAAAACATCTCCACCGAACTCAGTGCCTTGCACCATTGGTTACTATAGTTTTTCACAAGCAATAGATTGGTATAATTATATCTTGGTTCAACTTGCTAGTTGTACAAAAAAAGAGGACGGCGAGACGTAAAATCCCCGAAAATCCAACACATAAGACTTATCTCTCTCTACCACCTGATCGTGTTTGCACTCATAAAAGTATCAAATGCCGCGCTTTGCGCTGGTTTTGGCTGAATTATTCAGCAACTGTGAAATTATTGTTCGGTTTCGTGAGGAAAGAATGTGCTCGACCAGCCACTGCTGATAGCAAATCCGGAACATGGTTCTTCTCTTGCATAACTTTGTAGCTTCGCCAAGTTGGCTCCGAAGCTATCTTCTAGAGCTTGGTATGGCGTTCCTACTTCACTGTCTTCAGATACGCTGGAAGATCTCTCTGACCATGTCGCAAATTCAGCATCCGAGACGAACGTCGTGAAATTGTCATTTTCTTTAACAATATTTCCCTCAGAAGCTTCCCTTCCGAGTCTGAAACTCGATCTTTCGGTATAGAAAAAGTTTGAATCAATGACATCATCAAAAACTTCCTCGAATGGATCGCTTCTGTAGTCTTTTATGTATCGCTCACTGACAGCTTGTTGTTCAGTGATCTCCTTGCTACACCTGATATTAACACAAGGATGCAATAGCTCTGAAGTGGAACTGAACTGACTCGTAACTTTTAATATTTGAAATATTCTCATGTTGATGTGGGGTTTGTTGTAGAGAGGTAACACTGCGACGCAAGCCAACCTTGGCTGCTTTCTTCTTTCCTGCATTCAGGTATTTAGGCGGCTTTCGATGTCCATCAACACATTGGGATGGCATGTTGCGCTTCACGCATTGCCCACAAGGGCGTTCATTCCCTATAGTCTTTTGTCAGTTTATTATTCTCGAACTACACTTGCTCGATACAACAAGCAGATGGGGGTGTCCCTAAGCTTACCGCATGTTTTGTGGGCCTTTTGACAATACAAGCAGGATCTTCTAGCCTTTTTGCGAGGGTGCGGGATCTGAAATTCACCGCAAGACGCCATGTTCAAACTGGTCATCCTGAATTTGTGTAGTGTGGGTCTTGAAAGAAGGGGAATGAGATTGTGTCACGCTTGCTTTTGCGACAAACTTGGCACCTAGTTTTATAGATACGTAGATGAAGGGTTCGTTATGAAGCTCCAGACGCCAGGGGTCCTCATAAGACATGGCTACCAAGGTGTTTATCATAGAGAATGCGGCATCGAATACTATGTAAAATTTGGGACGTCAATCTAAGCGGCTCCGCATGCAATAGCCTTTATGGTTCATACCATGGTTAGCACCCTTCCCCAGACCAAGATATCTGAGCTATCCGTCACCTAGGTAGGCATCTGGGCACTTCCACACAATGCGGGGTAAATTGTCAACCTTGGAAATTGGGCAGATCAGCATTATTTTGGGCGTGCGGCTCCGCATGAAATTTCGGATCCGCATGGCCCGAACCAGACGTGTCCGCTCTTGGCAAGCGGTGATCCTTCGACTCCTTCAAGCATCCCATGATCTGCGTTACCCACACAAAAAAATGAACTATCAAACTCTCGCATCCCTAGGCATCCGAAGCCCCGGTGCGAGAGGTTTATGTTGTAGTGGCAATTTGACGAGCGGGGAGAAAAGAAATTTAGCCAAGGTAGCGATAATCAAAGGTAGAATTCTGGTTTATACGGGACACGACACATCCGTATGTTCCATTGGTCAATCTATGATCAGCCAGTCAGTGGATCCACTGTCTATTCTCACCCTTTGTTATGTTCCCTTGGTGTTCTGGACTCATTAGACCTTGCTGCAAATCAATATATCCCACACAAACCGCCTGATTGGACGCGGTGTAAAGGAGTATGATTATACTTTCCCCCTTTCTATGGTAGAATGAGCGAAGATCAATTACCCCATAGTTCAAGCCAGCCACCAAGTCTGGGGAAGGTTAAAAGTCCCACAGTCCCCGCATGTTGAAGACGTATAAGGCTCGTTTCTCAGAGCTTCCATTCTCATTACCTTCTATACTGTATTCCTCTGCTCTTTGATACCAGAGATATCCATCTCATCGAAACTAAAATGGACAGCGACATTAGTCAAAATGGCGAGTCAAAGACGAATTTTCAAAATAAGGAGCACACACACAATGGTCTCACCACAGTGCCAACATCGGTGACACTGTCATCTGAGCAATTTGAAAGGCTTTATTTGACTCCCATGACGGTTCGGCAATCACCACTAGCCAAGAAGGTTGGAAATCCGACACCATTGTGAGTCTTTACATGTTATATCCTACGCATGCAATATCGATCTAACTTCATCGTTCAATATTTAGAGCGTTAGGAGGCTTTGTCATCACCACCACCCCCCTTTCATGCTGCTTGATGGCCTGGAGAGGAGCCAGTGGAAATGGAGTTGCTTTCATGTGAGAGCTCGAGAATATTGACAGGAAATCCTCATCTAACGAATCAAATAGTGGACCTATTGTCTTCCTCGGTGGTCTCTTGTTGCTTATCACAAGTATTCTTGAATTCATCATCGGAAACACCTTTCCCTGTGTTGTGTTTGGCACTATTGGTGAGTCTTCCTATACCATGAGAGAAGCCTCAATCACTCGTTCATGTTGCTGATTATTTTCAAAGGTGGGTTTTGGTTTGCGTTTGCAGCTACCATGATTCCTGCCTTCAATGCAGCTGGTGAGTCCGCCCAATCAAATATATTACTCCATCCAAGGGAAGCTATCAGTTTGCTCACGTTTTGTAGCTCCCTATTCCTCGTCAACCACCGATACAGCTGCCGGGCTCGCTAGCGAAGGCTTTCTGAATACATATGGTAATTGAAACTAATGTTTCTCATCTTCATGAATGGCTCTAACTAAATCAGCGTTTCTATTCATAACTATGGCTGTTCTGATGTTAATTTTCATGATATGTGCAACACGCATCAATGTGGTATACACCCTCATTTTCCTCTGCCTGCTCTTGGTTTTCCTTCTTCTATCTTCGGCCTATTGGGTACTAGGCCAAGGCAATGCAGCTACTGGTAATCGATGTGTGAAAGTGAGTACCAATCCGCGTCGTTGTGATTTCCCTTCTATCTTGACTGGATTCTGACTCGATCAATTGTTTTTTTAGGGCGCTGGAGCTTCGCTCTTTGTTGCTAGTTTACTCGGCTTCTACCTGTTAATTGTGCAACTATTTGAGTCCATAGGATTCCCTTGCTTTTTGCCGGTTGGAGACTTGGCGACATTTTGGACTCGCAATCAACACAAGTGAGTCTCCTAACAGCTATCCACGAGTTCGTTCTAACATAATAAAAGAGGAGAGCGAGACGATGTTGAACAGCCAGCTGCCCTTCAGTAAAATTGCGTCTTCTACTATGTATCTAGTGTCGCTTATTGGCACCAGAAGCTGGTTGTGTCGAATATGCACGATATTATCGGCTGTTCCGCTCTCTATTTGTTTCCATGTTGTTTTACTAGTTATTTTAATGTGGAGCGTAAATCCTAAGGGGTATATTTACTACGGGTCCCAGGTCAACTTCACGAACATGCGACCGTCAAATTAATTAACCTGTGTTGAACATTTGATCAGTGAATTTCTGTAAGCATTCTAAAGGCCAAATTACTCAAAATAAATGTCTGATCTACGAAATCAAAATAGAGAAAGATAGCTATACAACATAGGCAGAACCAAAGTTCTTGCTGTGTGTAAAAATACTTGGGACCCACAGACCAACATTCAGCCCCACCAAACCCAAAAGTTGCCTAATCCGGTCGCGTGAATAACCTAAGGACCCCCACTTATTGTTGCCGTTGAAAATGCCAAAGGGCCTGCACAGAGTATTTAGCCCTGCTGTCAATGTGAGAGAGCTGCCCGAAAAATTCGCGTTTGCCACCTATTTTTGGTGTGTACCACTACACCTCCCAAACAGAGCTTTTCGTCCTTCAACAACCTACTTCATCTCTGCAAATCTATTGTCTTCTATCTACCCGACTCATTTATCCATGTTATAATTGAGTTCATTATCGTCTCCATCATCTAGAGATAGCTTCACCATGTGTCTTTTTCATTTAGTATTTTAGGGGTGATTGATGGACACCTATTGCCACGGCTAGACTCTTCTGAAACTGGTCCCTTTTTGCCTTGGAAATGTGGCAGATACGAGCCAGTGACCTGTCGGTCTACCCAAACTCTCCAACCATCAACACACAATTTACGCTGCATCGGAACGGTTTCCATTTTTTAAATATGCAAATATTAGATTTACCAAACGAACTTCTGTTATTGATTGGTGAATTTCTTGATGATGAATATTGCCTCAACACATTCCTCCAAACATGCAGACGACTTTACTCGATACTGCATCATTCCCTCTACGAATTTAACGTGCGCCACTCGCACGCCTGCGCTCTCGAATGGGCCGCGAAAAATGGCTCCGAAGCAACTGCGCGATATACACTAGAAGCTGGAGCTTCTCCGCATGCCGCGTACTACGAAGAGTGGCTCCCGATGGCGCTCGCTTGCATTCATGGACATGAAGCTATTGTGCGACTGCTGCTTGATCATGGAGTCGATCCAAATTGGTCTTGGAGCTGGCTTCGAGAACCTTCGATTGATGCTTACAGGGATGATGAAGGCTGTCCGTTAATACTAGCGGCTGGTCGTGGCCACGAAAGTGTCGTTCGGCTCTTGCTTTCTCACGGTGTCCCTCCGGATGTTCGATTTGAACGCCTTGATGGCCTTGATATTTCACCCCTTTCGGTGGCAGCGAGGGGAGGCTATTTATCGCTTGTCAAGCTCTTCGTCTCCCTTGGCTGCGATGTTCAGGTCGGGGCCTGGTGGGGGGCGAGTATTCTCGTTAACGCGGCTGATAAAGGCCATTGCGAAGTTGTTCGGTTTTTACTAGACACAAATCCAGATCTACAGCCTCCCCAAGAAGCTAGTCATGCGCTATTGAGGGCAGCTGGGCGCGGTCACTTGGATATAGTCGAGCTTCTCATAGAGCGTGGAATGGCTCCGACACCAACGATGAGAGCCTGGCCTTTAGGTCCATTGATCGAGGCTGCACAACGTGAATACCATGCAATAGTTGATCAACTTCGGAGGTCTATGGATGTTTTGGGGTTCATCGCGCATGGTGAGCCTGATGATGATACCCATAGACAGTTGCTCTTGGTCAGCGCTGCATGTGGCTGGGAAGACTTGATTAAAGAGTTGCTTGAGCGAGGCTGCTCATCCGATTTTCCTACTTCCGAGGGTCGGGAATGGGGCATGGAAGGAAAACTCCGGGGATCGAGATATCTTTCCATTCGGGGATACCCATTGCCTCTAGCGTTGGCAGCCCATCGAGGTCATCACGGCGCTTTTGAGCTTCTGCTCAACCACGCAATCGAGTCGGACAAATCATTGCTAAATGGAGGAGAACCAACCCCACTCCTAGCAGCGATTGACAGCTCCCAGAAGTGGATGGTCAATATGCTCTTAGACCACGGGGCAAATCCGAATCATCGTGTCCCCCCAAACAATGTGCCGGTCTTTTTTGAAGCCGTTCAAACGCCAGAAATACTCGAAGTACTACTCGATCGTGGAGCGGACACTGGACTGAAGGCAAATTATGGGGTCGGTGAGGTTTACTACGACTCAGTTTTCGTGAGGGCGTTGAGAACTGGAAGTATAGCCGCAGCGCAGATTCTCCAACAGAGGGCTTCGTTCATAGAGTCCACGTTGGGTACGGACGCGTACCCTAAGTCATTCATTGAGGCGGCAGCTCATGGTGGAGCATCGATGATAGAATATCTTCTAGACAGCGGCTATGAAGTCGGGCCCGGGAGTCCCCAAATTGGGAAGGCCCTACGGACTATACTTTCTCGGTCAGATACATCGTCATTGACTCTTCTGTTCGAGAGAGGACTAATCGGCAACTTGATCACAATCGACAACAAACCCCTGATGGGGGTGGTAGATTCACCAAGCGAAGACTGGGATGCTGTTGCTGCTACTATGGACATACTTTTGGCACATGGAATTCATGTGGAAGGGGGCCCCTACTCCCCTCTACACGATATTGTTGACAGGAAAATGTCGAATTCAGCCCAACTATTATTGGATCGAGGGGCTGACCCTCTTCAAACTCATGAAAAGCTTGGTACCACCCCTCTGGGAGAGGCGGCGCAGAGGGGGTCCAAAATTTTAGTGCGAATTATGCTGAAAGATTTAGATCAGCGGAGCATTCTACTTGAGGAATTGCAAGCGAAGCTAATTAAGGCAGAGTTGCAGGCAGAGCTAGGCCAGAAAGAAGGTTTAGCAGAAGACGATGTGCGACCACTTCTACGCCGTTTCTACTGGCGAAAGAAGTACCAAGAGATGCCAACATTCCGGGGTGAGAGCATTGGAAACCTGGAAACCACTCCGTAATTGTTCTGAGATAACTATAGTGTGAAGCAAATATCGTACTCGAGCAAAGGATCTTCAATTCAAGCATGCATTTTTCCTGAACTCCATGGTCAGTCAATATATAGGTATATTTATAGTTCATATTAAGAGGCTATAAAAGGTATGGATAATTGGGTGAGATCATAATGAATCATGTCGGCATCATCACGCCTATTATTCTTGTCTATTTTGCAGAGGAGTTTTCTATGTAACGATACATAATTGTATTATAATATCAGGAACTTGGCCTAGTCAACCTTTGAACTGCCTAAGGAAGAAACTCCCAAAAAGGCAACTGCACGACCTAGCACCTTCCCCCAACGTAGCACCCGACAATATCTTTTCTCTTTTCCTCTACTCTGTCGACCATCATCATCTATACATATCAAATTTGGTAATATTTCCGTTTGTTTCTTAATATGCCTTTTTGTATAGAGCACGCCATTTGGCGGTCATATGGTTTTCTGGGTAAAACATCCCATGTTGTATATTCAACTACATATTCCACCATGATATTCGAAATTTATTACGGTTGTGCCCCACCAGGGTACAATGGTGATCTGGTCCCTAATAGTTTCTCTAATGTACATTTATCAAATGTTATACATAGTAAAGTCTAGGACCTACGATTTATGCCAAAAGATTTAGCCGGCTCTGGCTCATTTTCGTATTTTTCCTCGCTATTTATATTATGGAAGTCATTGTTTAGATCCGCTTGGGCTTCGCTTTTTACTTCCATTCCTTGTGGCTGCGTAGAGAAGCGGCCTAGTTGAAAGCACTGCTGCTCATATTTGTTTCCAATTCTAGCAGCAAGTAGATCCGCTCTTGACGCAACAAGGTTTGCAACGTCAACATCAACTGCATTGTGGGATTCTTCTTTCAGCCGTACTGCGAATCGCTTGAGTAGTCTGAAATCTTGGATGAAGCGTGATGGGGAGATACAGCTTTCGAGAATCCCCTCTCGGTACAGCGGTGCGAGTTGTTTGTCGTCCATAAAGATGCTAACAAGTAGATCGATTGCTGGAAATGCATGAGGGTCCATGCTAGGAACAGTCGACTAGATGCCCTGAAAAGAAGAAATAGAGGGCGGATTCGATATTTAGCTCTGAAAGCTCTCTAGATCCTTTTGGAATTTGGCCCCTTCTAGTTGAGTATATGATAAGTCTAAAGTGATGTGAAATGTCCGCTGTCCATATTCTTGGAGCAGAGGGGGTGGTGGGGTTGGGTAAGCGCTTCAATCAATCAAAGTTCAATTAACCTGTTGCAGTCTAACTAGTCGCGTATGACTATGCAGGCGCTTCTTCCAACTGAAGCAAGAACTCGAGTCCTAACGCCGAGTCCCAGAGGAGTGTACAGATGGTGATCAAAAAGAGCGTGCAGTCAGCCCATTCCTGTAACCCGTAAATCCCGTAAATCCAAACCCATACCCAATCCCATACATAAGAAATTATTTAATGATTGCCGTGGAGTGCACTTGGGTAAGCGCTTGTGGCGCCTCCTAATGTATCAGTTTTCCACTTTGGGCCTTAGCTCGTTCAGCCGCAAACCCAACCGAGGGATTTTCGTTTGATACAAATTGCCTGTCCTCGCAGTTGTAATTCTCATGTTCTCTTCCGCTCTTCAGATTTGATACATCCTGGTTTAGGTGGATCCTATTGTGGATTACGGATCACAGTTAAACCCTATGCGGTGGCTTCCAGGTAATTATGCGGAAATAACATACAGTGAAGTATTTTACTAAGAGTCTTCCTAGTTCTCTTGAGTGTCATAGCCCTCTTCTTCCACGGAAGTAACGCTAAACAATTTGAACATTGGTATCCCTTCTACCAATGGACCCTAACACAAGAGGGAGAGGCCCTAACCTGCCTCGAAGATTACACGGCCGCCGTCAAAGAATGGGGTGCACAAGACTCAACCACGTGCAAAAACTTGGTTAGCTGCATTTACAACAACACCAAAGAAATCGACAAGGCGGATATGTCATCTGCCCTGGTTCTGCTCGGCCTAGCGCCGACGGTTCTAGCACAGATGGGTCCAACTCTGAACCACAAGGCGCGACTGTGTTATCAGAGCCCAATTCTTGGGTTTCTCTGTGTCCTAGGCGCTCCCTCGATTGCTTTCGGAATGCCGTGGGCCAAGACGGATCCCATTAAGTCTAATGAAGCGAGCCCCTTCGCTTCTGGGGAGATGTGGTTTTTTACCTGGATTAATTGGCTTTTTCATCGGATCTTCTGCCATCGTGTGGAAGAGCCCGAGGAGCAAGAAACACTGCCGACACATTCAATATGGAAACTTTTGCTAAAATATTTGCTAAAATATTTGATCGCGGTTGGAGCGGCGGTTAATGTGTTTCTTAACGTTTGGACTCTAAGCCGACAAACGATTGTCAGCTGGAAATGCACGTCCTCATATCTCGAGTTTTTGTGGGTGGTTATCACATTAATTCCGGTCTGCTTTGCGGTAGTAGCTGCATCGTTCGAGTGGTATAACTATACCCAGAGCGGGCTTCAATGGACTTTGGGGCCCAGATTCTTTTACTCTCTGTCAAATATTGCTGGTGCTGTACATGTTCTTTTCGGGACAGTGATGCTTTCATCTGTCCTGTTTATTGGAACATTAGATGCATTGGGGGTAGTCGGACGGTTGACAGCTTCAACTGTTGTCTGTCAATTTATCACAGCGCTGGAGTTGGAGCGTCTGGAGGATCATATCACAGAACAAGAGAAAAAGAAGCCTCATGGGCAACCCGGGCCTGGGATGCGAGCTGAGGAGTTGCAAAAGGAGCGAGAGAGAAAAGGAGAGTTTATCTCATTGTTGCAAATGGAACGCTGTGCTATAGCTATTGAAGGTTCGAGCACTCGATCGTGAGAGGTTTGTGAGCCCGATTGAACTGAGGGCCTGTGTAGCAGCGAAAGAAACACAATGTTTCTCAGTCACTTCATAATGAAGAGCTCTTCTCTTTCTCCATGGCTTCGCCTTTCCCGTTGAGTGACTCCCTGGCCCGCGGCAAGTTTCAGTAAACGCTGTGTGATAGAAAAAAGACAAATAATACCAGCATGTTTGCAATGCTCGACGCTGTCAGGTATTGATCCTTGATTGCCATGTAATCTTCAATCTCATTGACAATGAAAAGGATCACAGAACTCCCGATAGCGCTTTCGGCGACTTTCCTATAAATACTCGCACAGCCAGGCGGGGACATGACAGTGTAAGCTAGCCAGGTTGGTCGAGTGAAATGAATCCGTAGATATTCAACCGAAAAACACGACGGAGAAGAAAATCTGCAACGGAAAGAAGATTCCAAGGTTATAGGACAGAAAGTTCAAACTTGAGCCACACACCGGGGGGCTTCTTATAGCTTACACTAGGACTGCTGGGACGGGGCCGAGAATGCAAATTCACCACTAACTCGTTAGTGCCACTGATCATTGGTGCGACATGGGACCCTTCCCCCTGAAAATGGGAGTTTGGGGCGCCCAGCTGTAGGGCGACGGGCGATCCGCTTTGGCTGTTCAACTCGCAACATATACGTATTTTGTACGTCGCATGTTGTACATACTCCGATGATGCACATATGGATATCTGAACGACAGAAATGGCTGTGCTGAGACATAAAAAGTTGTGTCCAAGCCTTGACCGGCCCTGTGACTGGACGCTATCCACATGAGATTGGCCTTCCTGGGCGAACTAGGTCGCACCGAGATCGAACTCAACTCAAACCGAACCTCGACCATGAGATCCACACCGTACCATGGTTTTGCTGTGGTTCTCTTGTGGTTTGAACCTCGTATTGTGACATATAAGGAAGGCGGTGTACATGCCTCTATATCCTGCTTACCACCATCTTGTGAACATCCTTCCTCCTGGCCTTGGTCCAATCTATATTTTTTTTATAGTCCTGGAGCACAGTGGCAGTGACATAATTTTATCATAATTTTCTACAATTTTTCTAACGTACTAAACAAAATATTTGACTCGCCATGTATGCATGATGTACATCGTGTTGCATATCCACATGGGAACCACGATCCCCACATCGTGCATGAGTCGTCATGACTCAGACCAGCCCCACCCCGGGGCCTCCCCACCAATTGGTATATATGTAGAACTACTCTTCTAGAGATCAATTAACCTCAAAAACAAAACAAAACCGGATTCGCAGTGTGTCTCACACTCAAACAACTCCTCCAACTCCAATTCTTCAAAATTCCGAGCACGTTGACACCCACAACCACACCCTCAACCATGTCACCCACTACAGCCCCAATGACCTTCTACGACATCGCCCTAGCACCCCCCGTCACAAAATCCGCCGCCTCCCCAAATCCCTGGAAAAGCCGCTTCGCCCTGAACTTCAAAAACATCTCCTACAAAACAACCTGGGTGCCCCTACTCGACATCAGCTCCGTTCGCGGCCCTCTCGACATCCCCGCCTCCCGCAAATTCGCCGACGGATCCCCCTACCATACCCTCCCCATCCTCTCAGACCCAGCCACCGGGCGGATAGTGGGTGACTCCTTTGAAATCGCGACATACCTCCAAGAACAATACCCGTGCTCGGGAGCGGGGGACTTGTTCCCGGCGCAGGAGCTTGAATTTGTCTTTGTGCACGACATGGGGCCTTACCCGCCCATTGCGGAGGCGCAGGTTTCGGATGGCCCTGCTGTCGCGTACGCGAAGTTCAATACGAATGTCGATGCTTTGTTTAGTGCGAATGCGCGCGTGATAGCGCAAGGTTTCCCTTTTGATCCTGCTGTTGCGGAGGAGTGTAAGGCGATGTTCTCGAAGAGAGTGGGAGTACCGTGGGAGGCTATGGCTGTTGGTGCAGAGGAGAGGATCGAGTTGTTCAAGGCGTTTGAGGAGGCCCTGGGTGAACTTGCGAAGCTGTATACGACTGATGTGACTGGGCCATTTATTTTGGGAACTAGGGCAAGTTATGCAGACTTCATTGTGGGCGGGTGGTTGCGTATGAGTCGGGCCATGTTGCCGGGGGAGGAATGGGAAGCGTTGAAGGGATGGCATGGCGGTGTATTTGGACGGTTGGATGAGGCGCTGGAGGTATATTCGCAGATGGACTAGATCTGGATAAATGGGATGGGTAATGCACGCTATATAATTATGGTAGAGATCAACATAGAACAAAAAAAGTGTTCTAATGCCCTTGGGCCCATCACAACTATTTATTCAGTGAGACGCACAATTCTACGCCCTTGAGGGCCCAGTATACACATACATTATTCTGTACTACATACTACTAAAACTAATAGTATCTATTGAGGAGATATTTGGAATAGTAGAGTATCGGTTAATATTATAACCCGGATATCCCTCCTTCTTAGTAGTATACGTGAAATACTTAGTAAATACAATGTGGTAGTGGTCGGTCGTATCACACCTGCTTCAATATGTTGAAGATATACATATTGGGCAGATTGCTCAAGTGGGTACCGCATATGTAGCAGCATGTATGTAATAGCGAGCTAAATCCGGTCAATGAATTCATCATCATCATCATCATCATACCGCTCGGGTCTATAAATAGTATCAAATACCAGTATCATGTGACCTTGGAGGGGTTCAGCGCCAAAAAAACAAACACCAAATTGTTGCTTGACGCGATCTCTAGCATCCTATTTATCTCGCCACAAACCCTCCCTTTTGTTTCTACCATGGATCGCAGAATACCACCATCAGAATTGACCGACGCAAACCGCCTCGTTGCGGATAACATGATCAATGTCTTTCGTGTGGATGATAAAACGGTAGTCAAATTATGCGACCCAAACCGTCTCTCTGAAGCAGAAGCTTTGAAGTTCATCCGCTCTAAAACTTCCATTCCAGTTCCTGAGGTGTACAACGCTTATGTTGATGAAACAATCGACCGTGGTGTCATTGTTATGGAGTACATTGAAGGGGAGGTCCTTCGTGATGTTATTCAAGACATGGATGACACGCGGCGCCAAAAGATCATCTCGGAATTGCAACAATTCATGTCCGAGTTACGATCTATTGAAGGCAATTTTATCGGCTCCATTGATGGTTCGGCTTGTGAGGATCCTGTCTTTTGTGCCGAGCAGGGTGGGTTCGGCCCGTATAAGACGGAGAACGAATTCAATGAGGGGTTGATTCGCGCAATGACTATCAACGAAACAAACTCATGGGTTAATCATGTTTCCAAGCTCATTCGAGCCATGCCATCCCATACAACAGTGCTCACCCATGCGGACTTTTCTCCGCGAAACATCATTATCAGAGGCGAACAGGTTGTTGGAATACTCGACTGGGAGATGGCTGGATTTTATCCTGAGTACTGGGAATATATTAAGGCTATGTATCACCCGGACTGGCAAAGCCGTTGGGTCGGGGATGGCATTGTGGATACTGTACTTAAACCATTTTACCTCGAGCATGCTGTCATGTTACATATGCAAGAGGTCGTCTGGTGACGACTTCTCGAATCCCGCTTCGAGGTTCTACTTTATCTATCCAACAGAAGAGATTGGGAAATGTTTTAGTTGAGGGGAAACCCCAGATGCAAGTAAATACGTATCTCATTCAAAAACAGTACGCTTCGGGGAGTCCAAGTAGAAACAGAACCTCACTAAAAGCAAAAAGGATAGGCGACATATGGATGGAAATACTCAACCAACTTCAAAAGAAAAAGCAAAAACCGACATCTAGTAACCAAGAAAATAGCGCAGACATTTCGAGAAAGATCGGTCAAAGAGTTGAAGACGAAAAGAGTGACAAGCATGAGACAGGTATAAGAGCTCAGTTCAAACATGAGCAACATCACAATTGCAACGGCATTGGCGATAAGATGATAGGGGGCATCGAATAGACAGTAGACCTTCGGTTTTCCAATGTATCAGGATATTTCAACATCGTGTTGCCGGCTACCAGTCTTTGTGATTCCTTTCCAACCTGATATCAACGTGATATAAAGAGACAATAACGCAAGCAGATCACTGTGAAGTCACACTAGCTATGCGTTCAGTATGCCCGTCACATCGAACTGCTCGCAAATGATCCAGCAATGATCTAACAGAGGACACAGCTGAGAGACTAGTAACTCGACACCAACAGGAGGCCGGAGTTTGATGTTGAGGATCACGTTGCCAAATGGTGGGTTAATTGCGACAAGATCCCGCGCTTCCACAATGCTCAAACCGAGAGGGTTCGATTTGGGTGCGGTGATACGCACTGGTACCACCAGGGACCAGGTTTTTGCGTTCAAGCACAGCCAGCACTTCCGTAGTCCAGCACTGGCATCTTTGTAGAGGTACTGCCTGTGTGGCTGCTTTCACTTTGTTGATTTCGCTTGCTGGAATTCGTGAAACCCATACTTTTGACGCTATGCCAAAACTGTTCACTCTCTTGTTGGCTTCAATCTTCGGCTGGTATGGTCGTCCTTGGGTGGGACCTCCAATAACATGGTACCACGTACAGCGGTCTGATCCGGGATTGGCAAGTAGAAGGATCCAATGTAATGTATCATCACCCCTTCGATTGCCGTATGCAACGTAGATGTCCAACAAAGAGGTGTCGATGCGTTGCATTTTCCAAGTTTGAATGATAGTCTTTAAACAAGTTGGGGGTTTCAGTTGCTGAAATTGTTTGATGAATTAAATGCCAGACGGGAGGATGATATATTGAGGGAAGGCTAAATGATCGTGATATTGTACAGGGTCTTGGGTCATAACTGTAGCTTTATATGTCTCTTCATCTGCTCAAATTCTGTTTCACAAGCGTGCTTTTTTAAGGATTGAATAAATATAGTGAAAATTTAAAGGTAGCGTATCGCCACAGAACCAGAAACGATTATCATGCAGGGGTGTATTCATCTCTCCAGGGATTAAGAGAGATTGGATATAGTTATACTCTATCATTTAGCGCCGAATGCAATCTAAATGTGATGAGATTGTGCATATGGCCTGATGTTCTGGGTTAATCAAGTATCTTTTTATAAGTACTGATTGAATGATTTGCAGAGAGCGACCGAATGCCATGCCCTGCGCTTGCTGAAACTTCTTGATCCTATTTTAGCTCGACGGTGCGTAGGGAACGACTTTTCCTGCATGGAATGCGAAACGTTCGGTGTTTCTAACCTTCCAATTTTGTGATGACTTAGTAAAGCGAATCGCCCCGGACCGCCTACGTGGGTCTTCCAGTTGGCGCTTCAGAGGGCTTGGACCCCCTCTTGTCAATCGGAAAATAATAGCACAGAAATAAGTATTGAGTCCCATGTGGTCTTCCATATTTCTTTCCCTTTGTCAATATGCCTCTTAGTCTCTCCTCGAATCTTCTCCCACTTTCTCTTTCCGCCTGGTTCTGTTTGCTCTCTTGTCCTGCTCGAACCCTGCTTGATGTCTCGAAAGCCATACCCGAACCCATTGGTCATCCGGCCACTGAGTGAAGAGCACACACATACTATCATTTCGCTTCATGGAAGAGGTAGTAATGCCGAGCGCTTCGGTCATGAGCTCCTTGTGTCGACAAACCTACAAAAAAGACTTCCTACAGTGAAATTTGTCTTTCCTACTGCGCGTAAGCGGCGGTCAACTGTACTCAAAAAGATCCCAATTCATCAGTGGTATGACAACTACTCCCTTGAAGATCCTGGACAAAGAACAGACCTTCAAGTGGAAGGGCTCTATGAGACGGCTGAATTTATTCGCGGCCTAGTCACCGCAGAAGCTCGGATCTTGGGCGATGAAAATCATTCAAAGATCATCCTGTGGGGGCTGAGCCAAGGATGTGCCGCAGGCATCTTCACCCTTTTAGGTGGTTGGGCCGACACCAGTGAAGCAAATCCACTCGGGGCATTTATTGGGATGAGTGGATGGCTGCCATTTGAACAGCAATTACGCGAGATTCTCCCATCCGACGAAAGCCTAGTTTCGGCTGGAGACAATTCTCAAAACATACAATCGGACGATGACTCATGCGAAGAAAGTGAAAGTGAAGAAGAGTCAGAAAGAGATGCATATTCCGAACAAGGCTTCAACGATAATCTATTAGAGGAAAGCAGCTCGTCACGTGATGATTTTGATCCCTTCAAAGAGGAGATTGAGGAAGACAGTGCACCACGTGATGACTTCAATCCATTTGAAGATGACGAGGAGGAAGCTCCGTTGGTCATCCAAGCTATCAACCATATTCGTGATATCCTTGCTCTTCCTATGATTTCAGGCAATACGCCGCCATCGGAAGACAGCCATCCATCGAGTTTAAGTCACCTCCAGACTCCTGTTTTTCTTGGCCATGGCGCAGAAGATCCCAAGGTCTCTGCGGGTCTTGGTGAAAAGATGACTCGTATTCTGTCAAATGGTCTAGGAATGGATGTAACATGGAAGGAATATCAGGGATTGGGGCATTGGTACCGTGCTGAAGATGAGGTTGAAGATATTTTGAGCTTTCTTCGGGATCGTGTCGGCCTACCAGTGATATCAGGGTCATCCCTAGCAAAAGGGACGGAACAAGAGAAATAATCATCATTGCTTCTTTGAATTATCACTCAGATGACTCAATTTCATTAGACTTAAAATCCAGAAGCCCAGTTTTCTCTATGCCTGCCTCCACGCTAAGAGACAATGCATATTATGTAGGATTTTATCACACGGATCTGAACGCATGATTAGGTATTCCTAAAAGGAAATTGGGAGTCACATAAGCTTTTTGCTTCTCATACCTTTCATACTCTCTCGCGCATTCTATAATCCCATTTTGATTTGTTACAAGAGTATCCACTTTATTTTGAGCCTCATGAACTATAAGTTTGTGACTCATCTTTTCACTTGGGCCCCCGAAAGTCACAGTATTTTACGACTACCTATGTGACTATACGGTATGAAGCAAAAGATATGTATAGTGTACAGACTTCATGGGGCGGATCTTGTCGCAGTATTAGTTTCTAGTAGAATGGCGAGGAAGAAAGGTAGTGAATTCCATACGTATACCGGTAAACTGCTATTCATTTATCTGGCACTCAAGTGTCCATTAGTACACTGGATCATGTTGCTTTGATTTTCATGTCGTACTTTTGACGCGGTGACTCACGAGGATTTAGAAAAAGAAAAAACGTATATATTCCTTGAGTGTTTTATTTATCCACAGATGTAGCCATATTTGTTAAGGTAACTCGTTACTAAGTCACGCTGGTTAGGCTTAGACCTGCATATAAAGGCCCAGTTGATGCACCAAGGATCAGCTCTTCTTCCCTCTCTTCCTTCTCCTCACCTTGAATTCCCCCCGAAACAATCAACCTCATAATTCGTGACTAGACTTCGTACTAGCAATGGAGCAAGTAAGAAAAACCTTCTTCGACCCGCTCGCATCATCGAAGGCTCGGATTCGAGAGATCCTAGAGGAACTTCCAGTCGGCTCAGCACACCCTTTCAGTCCCGAGCGACTTCTTCTTTGTCGGACAGAGACCGGCATTAACGAAATTGACATCTCCTCCTATCCAGATGACTTTTTCTTCAATGCTGTGGACATGGGCGAGATGGGTGAGGTCCTTCTGAGGCGCATGGCTGGCTTCCAGTCTGATCTCGGTACGTCTTATCTCGCTCTCCTTTGAGAAAACTTCGAACACTAACCGTTAGCAGGGATATTCGAGCACTTCCAAATCCTACAAGCGCCAGCTTCTACGTTCAAGGTCCCGATAGTGTCTGGTGAAATTATGATCCTGGCAGTCTCTCAAAGAACGCCCACTTACTACGATTTCTGCTTCGCGGATGCATCATGCAACACGTGTTGCTGGAATTCAACAGCTACCTTTCCAGGAATTGCCCATAGTGGTGATATCAACTGCGGAAAAGATCTCCTGCAGTATGTCAAGATCAAAAAGGACACTCTCACAGAGAAAGAATTATGCGTGTTCATATCTGGCTACAACATGCACCCCATTACAAGATTCCTGGGAACCCACCCTGCTTTGCTCGTTGCTGATCATGCAGATAAGGTATCTTTCCAAATTAGCTTTCCTCAGGCACGGATTTAATCTTTATTGGCAGACCCTTTATATCGTCCCGGTCCCTTTGGATGCAGCGACAATTGGAGACGCAACCATATGTTGCCCACTGGTGATCAAGCGTGAAGGGGACTCTCTGGTCTGTTCAATTTTGTCAACAGCAACGACTGATCTAAATAAAAGCTGCTCCGGTAAAAAATTGGAAAGTGCTTCCTTCCTGGAAGCCATCACCCGTGCCGATTTCACCACATCTGATACTTCTCCAACTGTTACACGAAGTAAGCCTTGTCATTATGAAGCCGTCAGACCTACAAAAGCTAATACTTATACAGATCTTACACCAATAGGCGATTCAACTGAAGAGAAAACTAGCTCGAGTTTGGAGAGTCTGCACGAGATCACCAAAGAAAACGCCGTATTTACCACCGATTTAGCCACTCTCCCTTCCTTCCTTGATTTAGAAAAAGCACAAATCATACGTTTTGGGGCTGGGATTGAATTCAGGCTACCAGGAGAAGAGCTCCCTACGGAGACTAAGCCATCCGCCGTTGTTTTGCCATGCATATTTGGTTCCCAGCTTGAAGGCCCATTTCTGTTGGCAACGGGGACGGCCCCTTCAAACGTTCCCTTCATCGGTGAAATTGCGATCCGGGACTACTACAAGCAACTCAAGAATGCCGTCGTGGTTGTTGACGATCGAATGACAGATAACGCCCGCAACCTCGCAAGTATTTACAGAATCAATGCACTTTTCATTGTGCAACTGAGTTCAAACCCTGGGCCAAAGAATACCGACGATATTATGTCGTTGTTGAACTCAGCAAACATCAACGCAGTTACAGCACTCGCAGGACCACAATCCTTGGTTCTAATTCAAATCTCCGATAGATATTACTTCTACCGAGGTATTGCTAATCGGGCACACATCAACACCTCCACACTCGAATTTGGCTCTGATGTGACGTCTATACTCGAGTCTATCGATATTGAATTCATTCTAGAATCAAGAATTGAGCGTGTTGTTACCCTCGGCCATGCAACTCCTATCATCCTACCCACTTCAGGCCAGTTGGTCCAGCCTCGAAATCTTCAGAGGCTGTTCGAAGAACTTTCGATCGACCAAATCAAAGAGCTGGAAGAGGACATATTAGCAGCGGTTCCCCAGCTCCAAATTCTTTTGAGCGAGAAAGAACTACAGGAACTCTCCAAAAGCTTGGTATCTGTACTCTCAAGCAGGATCGACAACGCAACAGCTACATTGAGAAAGAACTACACCAACTACCTGACCCAGGAATACAAACCCACAGATCCAGAATCTGCGAAGAAGAAGAATTCTATGCTTGGAAAATTGAGAAAGCTCACAAAGGAGATGCAAATTGCCCTTGGGCCGCTCATTTCAAGCTTGGTCAACATAATCTCTTGTCAAACGACTTCAAAGCGGACACACGATCTGAAGAGACTTGTTCGCCAAACTCAGATTCTGGCCAATGTCGAGGCCGTTAAGTCCATGACTTTTGACACTCTGGCAGGATTCCTTGAAACACATGCGGGAGATATGGGTGTCATGCTATTGAATATTGACACATTGTCCTACTCCCAGCTCTTGGGGAATCTGAAAGACACCGCAATCAATGCCAGGTATGTTACCAGATTTCTTCCTCCACTAAAACACTCTCTATTGTTGCAACCCCCAGAAAATTCTACATCGTATAGTGCTGACCTCTGTTTTATAGTTCATGCTGCGACCTTGACTCAAGGGTTCTATATCTCGAGGGATTCGATGCCGGAATTATCATCGAGCAGTCGCAGTCCAACCACAATGGTCCACTTCAAAGTCAGGACGGTCCCTCCCATCCAATTCTGGCATTGCCATACCTGAGCCAAGAATCAGGAACCGGATCGATGTTAGCCTGGGTCTGTTGGGATGAATTCGTCAACCTCGAAAGTCCCTACACCGTGAGATGGATGGAGAAGTGCAATGAACCCCACATTGCCGCACTACGAATCCTCATGAGGTCTACTCTTAGTCAAGCAGTGTCGGCTAGAGAGCATCAGATTGAACCTAACAGCAAAGAAACTACCCATCTTATGAGCGCTTTGTTAATGGGAGCTATGTCGAAGCTCGCGGCGATGAGGACAACCGCGCCGATTGTGTCACAGGAGGCTGGAGACACTGTCACAAGATTGATGCGAGGACTCTTCGGTAATCTGTTGACAATAGCAGGCTCAGGCGTGCGTCCTCAAAGTATGGTCTGGCAGTTGTTCGGTCTGAACCCTCAATACAACGTCCCCAAATCCGATGTCGATTGGATTTGGTACGAAACTGTCGTCGCTCTGTATCCTTACACCGGGTGGCCTCTTGAGCAGTTCAACGAAAACTTGGAGAAGCTCTTGGACAAGGCAATTGTCCGTGTGGTGACCAAGAGCGAAGAGGTGGATTCGGTAAAATTAAACCGGACAGATCGGATCATCAGGGCTTCCAAGCTTCGAAACATTGAGCTTCACCATTCCCGCACAATTATTACCGTCCTCATGCGAACTTTTACAGCGGAGGAGTCTGACATCGCTACCATCGCAACTCGTCTGCTAGACCAGCTTCCAAAGCAGTTAGAGCGACAGAGTAAGGGCTATACCAGGATCATCCAGTATCTTCATCATCTCGCCAATGGAGGTCAACGACGTGCTCACGATGACCTCATTCTCGCTTGCACCTACACCGCGCGCTCAGCTGCCTTTGGCTCAATCAAGATCAAAGTTTCAGAAGCTTGTAAGAACAAAGAATGGGCAAAGATGAAGGATTCTTGTCAAGCGATTTTGGACAAACATGCCGAACTTGCTTCTCTCTGGCAAGTTAAGCCTGATGATTTGAAGGTTCAAAATATGCAGGCATACAAACACCTTCTAGGCGCAGACTTCGGGGATGATATTGACGAAGCTACCAAAAAGAGTCTCGAATTTAGCAGAAAGGTCAACGGCGATGCAGAGAAATATCGTATTCCTTGGCAAATCGGGAAAAAAGGCCAATTCGGCGATAACATTGAGCCTCTAGATGAGGTCTCCCTTCACGAAATTCTCACGGGAGAAGAGCCGCAATCCCTTCCTACCATTGAGTCAGCTGAGCAATCAGTAAAAAACACAAGTACCATGATCGAAAGAGAAGCAGAAGGCGGATTCGCAAAATTCGAATCGTCGATGCAGTCTACCTTCATCACTACGTTGCAAGGGGACCTTTCGGCTGAAATTGTCTGCGGTATCCTGAATGTTCCTACTACTGCGATGCGCGTCTTTATTAAGGCTCTTGATCCGAAGTTTGTGTGGGAGGACCTGGGAAAAAACTACAAGAGCACAATCCTGGGGTTGCTGAATGAGCGTTCAAATCGGTTAGAGAGCCGTCCTACCAAGAAGCTGCTGGAGCTAGCGGGTGACAAAACAAAGCTTCAAATTGACGGGTGTGGTAGGAGAGTTGTTTCAGATAGGAAAGGGGTGTTATGGTCAGAGGTGTATGCTTAGCTAACTTACAATTGAAGGGATTACAGTAATTATGATTTAAGATAACTGCCATAAGTCTTCAACCCAGCAAAATAATACCTATCTATCTCCCCAAAAAGGCTTCTTTAATTAGAAACTCCAGTAGGGCGTTCAGGGTCGGCCACATCATAAATGTAAGCGGCCAAGGGATTCCCAATCTCTTTTTGATCTAGTAGGTTAGTAAGTCTATGATGTCCTCGTTCTTCACAATCTCTCTGAGCTTGAACTTCACCTTCTTCAGCTGGAGGATTAGGCCCTTCCCAAATTGGCTGCTTGGACGCTTCAGGAGCTTGGTTGGGCCTTCGTTTGGGGGGGGGGCTATTTCTCATGAATGGGTCAATGGTGTTGGACTTGTTCCTACTGACAAGGCTTCAATTTTCCCGGATGCTCGATCGCCTTCCTAGAACGGACGGGTGTTTTCTCGGGTCTGTGGAGGTTGGTGCAGTCGAGGGTCGCTCCTAGGGTCGTGGTTGGCGGGTTTTTGCTCCTCTACCCTTCTCTGAGAGAGGCCTGGGGCGGGGATGTGGTACCACCAAAATGTACATTGTCAAAGAATTTGTTCGGGCAAATGACCATCGGCACTGTACATCTGGTATATTCATCGCCAGCGCCTAGAAGGTGCAGCAAAGCCTCACTGACGATTTGTTCGTCTTGAGCTCTCCTATTTTGCATGCTTCTATCTCCCTAAACAAAACAGATATTACTCCAGACGTTTCACGAGAGACTGACGTATCTCCGCAATTCTGCAAAATTGTTCGAGACTTTGTCGACTTTCGCTTCGAACCCAACCTCTTCGGTCGGGAAAGAGAATTTCCTAATTAGTAGTCTCGAGGGCCAAAAGGCCTGTGTAATGCACTCAACTTTCATGGAGTCTTAGAGAAACACACATGTAAATGAATTTGGGGGGGTGAGAGGGATAGAGAGGAAGAGGAAGAAGGAACACAATAATATTCTAAAACCCAAACTCCAATTTATGCTGAGACATTATGAGATACTATGTACATGCCTAGGTACTATGGACATTATAACTAAATGTACATACCTAGGTACTATGGACATTCTAACTAAGCGGAAAGTTCTGCCAAATTCTCAACTATCTGCTCAACATCAAGATCACTTGGACTTGCTTCAACGGCATGAACTTCAACCTTGTTGTCCTCTGTCTTGGGGTGATCTTTCTTACCTTTCTCCTTTTGTTCCTCGGCTTTCTTTTCTTGTTCCGCAGCATGAGTCTTTGCAATATCTATATGGCACAGGGTATACTCATCCGGATCCCAAACCAGAACTCTGCTTTCCATCTCTTTAACCTTTTTTGCCACAAGTAGCTTCATCTCCTCTTTCTCCTTATCACTTAAGAGGTCAAGTCTCTGCCTCCATGCATCCTCAACATTGTCCGTCGGTCCGAAGAAGCGCTGATCAATCTTGTGCCAATATATCGCATCAATGGCAACGCTTCTCCTCCCGGCATATGCAATCCAAAATTCACCAATTTCCCAACTTTCTCGCATTGGACCAGAGAGTCTTTCTTCTTCTTTTGTGCCAGCAGCATTTTCATATTCAATCATCGTCTGCAAAAATTTCTGGAGACGGCGATCAAACACGTTTATCCAGTCCTCGAGGCCTTGAGGCCAGTACTCGGGTCTTTCGATCAGAAGCCACCAAGGCGGCGCGTAGGAAAACTCGATTGGGGCAGTGTACGTGAACTCCCAATCCAGGACGCCCGCAATCTTGAGGTCGTTGTTGATGAGGACATTGCCTGGTCGGAGATCATCACACCATAATTTGAACGGTCCTTTATCAAATTCTACCCATCGCTTGGTGAGCTTACGCTCGCGGGCGAGTTTGCGGAAGAGATGTCGACCGACGAACTTCCGTCTACAATCATCCGCGGACTCGATTGCGTCGTTTATTTGGTGTATGAGATGGGCAATATGAATCTCTGCGAGGGCTTCGAAGTACGACGATGCTGAGGTGTACGTTGTCTCATGGCTTGGTAGTTCTGACTGAGGTAGGCATCCTAGTCGAATCAGGTCGTTTGAATTTAATGGTAGAGGACGACTCGCCACTTCCCGTGTGAAGTCATCGACCTGATTCAATGATCCTATTCGTGAGAAGGATGGGTTGGAAAGTTGCAAAAGAACCCCAGCTAGCTCTCCATATAGAGTTCTGAGAGTATTCTCCTCGATTTTGGGGTAAGCCATCCCCTTTCGTGCTTTGGACACTCTGGGGAATTGAGAAAATGGTACATGTTCGCATCATGTTTGATATGTTCCATGATGATGAAAGGACCCAGCTCTAAGGGAGGGTCTTTCTTGGAACCCCAGTGAAGAGTTGATGGCACTGAGATTGAAGTCTTCTCGTGAATGTATCGCATAATGGCGACCTCGTTTCGAAGCTTTTCTTCGGGAAACATAGCCGCACCGGGTATGGGAAAGCGGATGGCGGCAGCGGCACCTGTTTTCTACGTCATCCAGAGGGAGACATTGAATGTACCGCTGCCTAAGATGGTAATCTATCTGGGTCATTTGCCTGATAGTGGTTGAGTACAAAATTTCCAACCGCTGTTGCGATAGTAGGGTCAAAAAACTTGAGAACCCAAGTATCGGTTATTTCCTAGCTTTTTTCCCCGGCAACATCATCTAAAACCATGTGTCGTTGCATGGCTAACTTCTTGAAAGATGAATGAGAGATATAGGAAGATGAAATTCAGAGGAGAAAAGGGGAATGGAGTCTAAATAGGGGCAGGTAGTTGACATGGATTATAATCACATGACCCTTGATGATATTATGGGATACATCAACCCCTTTGTCAAGTAGACTGTGATTATGAATAGACGATTGTTGGGAGTTTCAGGCGAGGGGTAATATGATATATGTGCATACGTATTTGGGGGGTGTTTTGGCGAAGCCTGAATACTAGGTCTTCGGGGCGTTGAAAGGATTTGTTGTGGCGCTTAGAATATGCCAGGGGTCTCTTGAATCTGAAGTTCAGTTAAGCTCGAAGATTCGACTTGAAATTCCAGACCTTTCGACATTAGGCAGGGTTGTGATTGGATTCAGGCCAACAACTCCTCCTTGCACCGTTGCCTAAACAAGCACCACATTCATGATGATGATCAGTACAATGAGTCCATACATCCTTCTGTCAGAAATATCCTACCTAATACCTAGAATCCTGTTTTACTAGTACAGAAGTTTATACCGTTCCAGGATTAGGCCAGCCACAACTAAGCTATTGTAGACAAGAACTTGCCCGTAGTACTAGTTATATAGAGGGAACCGACGTCTCTCTCAGTCTCCTTTTAATAACTGGTCTTTATTAAAATACCTCTGTATCGTTTAAATTATCATCTCCAAATCTCACCTCTCGATATGGCTTCATCAGAGCCGCACTAAGTTTTCTTGATAAACGAAATCCTGGAGCTGATCCTGCTCGAAACTGGCACGCGCACTTTGCTCACATCCGCTCGAAGGGTCTGCTGCAAATGGCACTTCTTAATACAGGACTCGAGCGACTTACAGGTTGGCTTTTTTTCAAGCCCGTTGGTTATACTCTGCCACGCGGGACGCCGGGCATTCGTAACCCGCTACTACAGGATTGTATTTGGCCATGGTTTGCGCAAGACAAGCGTGCAGATGGAGCACACCGCCAGTAGAAGGAGAGGCGAGGATTCTTCAGATCCATCCTCATAGCAATCATGTCTTTCTCCAAAAAGACTTGAAAATATGTATCTGTGAAAAATGGTAAATTCGGTAGTAAAGTGCAACAATTGAAAACTACAGCTAAGAAAACAATGGATTATCTAACTTTGAAAAAAAAAAAAACGAGAGAAACAAAAAAGATGTAGAAAAACAAAGGAAAAAGGGCAAAATGGCAATGGCTGGATCTCTTCCCCATCCTCCCTACCATATTCATACAGTAGTTCTCCAAGCTTCTTTCCATCCTCATCAACATGACCTCGGGAGATCTGTTCGATGACATAGCATATATAGAGAATAGTTTTCCAGTTAAGCTCTGGTCCCCCATCTAATGTTACATGTTAGAGCCAAAAGACAGAGGTTGCTATCTCTGCTTTTGGGCCTCTCTAGCCCACTTGTCATAGTTTGCGCTCAGGGTAGTGTGCTCTGTTCGTTTCTTCTCCGCCGCTCTCCTCCTGTTTCCAACCTCACGGTCGTGTCTTTCAAGAGCCATTTCAGTTTTGTACGCCTGAGGATACTTCTGAACAAACCCCTCACGGCCTTGCACGACACTATACATGCGAGGTTAGCCTTTTGATGAACATTTTTGCTGTGTATGCCTGTGGGTTTATTACAGGTTCTCCCTCGTCACCATGGCTTGAGCAGCCGCAATTCCAGTCTTGAGCATTGGGCCGTGGGCTGGTATGAACGGATGCTTGGGCCCAACTCGCAGGTGATGTGCCTCGTGGGTGTCAACGTGGTTTTGAAGTGCCTGGGGATCCTTAATGTCGCCTGCAAAGTGATATTTTTTGTGCTTGGCATCCATCTGATTTGACCACACCCCTGGTCTAGTCTCAAAGGGGTCAGAGTATGCATGATGCTGCCTGGGTTGGTGGAACGAATGGGCACGGTCATGGAGATCCGGGTGGCCCGGGGGAATTCTCTCGCCGTTTGCCCTTCGCTTGTATATCTCCTCTTGCTGAGGTCCCTTCTGAAAGTGTGGGCCATATTTGTTTGGTTCATGCTGATTCTTTGAGGGTATCACAGGCTGTTGACCATACGCTGGTGTTTCGTATGTAGGCTCGGAGAGCTTCCTTTGGGGTTTAGAGCGAAGCTTTCCACTGAGAAAGCCCATGATTGTAGAAAAGAAGCTAACAGGGGGTTTCTGTGGCAAATGAATGATATTGAACGAGCATGAGCATAATACATTTCTTCTGAGGTATAATACGGGATTATATAGAGAGCCTGCCGGACGCTCGAGTCATACTCCTTGCCAGGAGTCCGGCCAACTTGAAATAGCCCAAAAAGTTAGAAGTTTCACATCATAATTTACGCGCACACGCTTAGGTATTTGATGGTAGCAATTGAGGCATTTTTGGTTGACCTGCGAGATTGTTGTTGTTTCGCTCCTCTATTAGCCCTACAACGTGATGGGCATCTATGCAATATGACAGGGATGATACTCAGAAACAGCCTCAAGATAGGCGCTAGGGTGATACAGCTGAAGCCCCTTCGGTTAGAAATGAGCACTGTAAATAGATAAGTTTGAGCATAATATCCATGGCTGGCGGCAAGATGGTAGTTGCATACCTAGCACTTTCAACCATGACACATGGCGCCGCCGAAATTAAATTGATTGGCCTAGAGTAAAAATTCTTATATTGCAATAAATTATTGGGTGAAACAAATTTGATCTTTAGTCGCGCGGCTTAGTTAGTTCAGCGGTTGGCTAAAAATACATCGTGAAGCCGCTTTCCAACCTGGGAAGCCGCGGGAAACAGTCTTATGTAAGACCCCGCCACCACCTGGGCAGGGCTACACCTTGTAGATATCAGGTTCACCAGTCTCCCTGTTATCCTTCTTCATAACTTCGGAATTTTATCATATCCTGATAAACATGGTAAGGTAATAAAAAATGCAATTTGAAAACCTCCTGCTCACATCTTCTCAAGGCCAAACCGACTTTAGAAGGACTCCCAACGGAGCTGCTCATTCTCATCTTGCTTGAAATACCTGATCTGGTTTCTCTCAAGTCCATCGTGCTCTCATCGCCGATATTTCACCAAGCCTACCTCACAGTTCGACAGAAAGCTCTCTGTCGCATCGTCAAAAATCAATGGGGGCTGCTTCTAGGAGACGCGATGGCTGCTACACGATCTCGTGGTCTCCAGTTCAATGCCCACAAACAGGAAGCAATTGCAATGTTAGATACATGGCGTCGCAAAGAAGAGATTAACGACCTTGCATTGAGTTCATCCATTCCGATAGATGAGCCCAGCAACCTAGAAGAGATCCTCAACCTAGTTTATCTTCACAAGATATTCCATTTCTTTTTGAAAGAGTACGAGACAAAAGTAACGCGGCCCCCGTGGATATCAAAGGATCAATGGGAGAACTCAATTATCCCCATTGAATTATCTCACACCGAAAAGCACCGATTTCTCAGAGCTTTGTGTCGACTACAAATTTACACCAATATCTTTGATGAGTATGAACATACGACTGTCCATGAAATCAAATACAATAACTGGAGGCATAGTCCCAAAGGCGATCTTTGTTTTGACGAAGGGGCATATCGCGTGTTCTTTGGGACGATGCCTCCTTGGGAATTCCAAGAAATAGGCTGTCTATGGGCATACTTCACAACATTGTTCGATCATATTTACACGGAAATTTCTGCCGGTCTGCATGACCTTGTGGAGAAGCACATGATCAAAGATGATTGGCAGCGTCCATATTTCGAATTTCTCCCTGAGGATGTGCAGCCCCCTTGGTGGGGGGGAGTAGACAACCTCGGACATGTCGAGAATATATGGAGGTTTTCGCATTCGTTAGCTTCAATGGGACCAGAGTTTGTCTACCGCCTTCTTCATGGGACACCCTTGATTCAGCGCGATATGGTGATGCTCAATGGAAACGATGATCTATTGAGTTTCCCTAACATGTATGTGACAGAAGATTACATGATTCCTCTTATGTATCCCGCAGATCGGCATGCGGTTCAAGATTATGAGCAGCTTTGGTCAACATTGCCATATATCGAGCAACCTAATCTTGGGTGGAAACAGGTGCACGTGCTTCCTGATACACCTGGACAGACGTTTGAAGAAGCGATTGATTTCCAATGTGCACGTAAATCGGTATGGCTCTGGGGTTATGCCATATTTGATGATGAAAGATTGACGGCATGGAAAGCGCCTTTAGTGCAATTTCGTTTGGGCGAAGAGCCTGAATATACAGTTTAATTTATTCAGCGGCCTGTATCTTATGCTTCTTAGCTATCCGTGTTCTTTTTTCTATTATATCAACTGCTTATTCACAATTTGTTCCACTATGTACTTATTGAGAAGGACTAGATACTATTGGCTGGAGGCGCTTGGTGTCGAAATCCACATGTTCATAGTCAGTTCACAGTTTCGCCTGGAACGGCGTCAAAGGTGGCAGGTCCTGGCATTCAAAACACCGTCCCATTGTTCCAAAGGCTATATTTTATTATATTTTTAGTATAGATCCCTTAGCTTCACGGCAGCTAAGGGATTTTGACCATTATCATCCTCTAATGAAGGAAATGCACTGATACAAAGTTGAGGTAAGGTCCTAGCTTCTCTTTTATTTTAGAGCCCAGTTTCATGTCTTATATCTCATACTCTAAATCATGATAGCGTCTACCGGTTTTATTGTTTTGCTGCGACTAGATTTTCTTTGTTCACGCCTGCTTATCCACTCCTACCTGCTAGTGCTTCCCGATTTCTTGAGAGATTGATAGATGGGTCATCATAACGTGTTTTCGAAAATTTTCCTAAATTTCTTGAATCCTTTTGACAGCACAAGCGTCATGGGATGGAAGAGATTGAATGCGCCTCCCATGACGAATCCTCTCGAGGCCTCCACTCTTTCCGCTCCTTGGGTGTATATCCACCTAGAATTTAAATACAAAGAATCATTGAAGACCAATACGAGATGAAGAAAATGCCTCGCTAATCAAAATAAGTTCTATTCCTAAGTGGTAGGCTTTGACGACTGTTCTTCTTCTTGTCATCGAAGTAATCCCCAATCTATTCTTGGAACACATTCATTGTAGATATAACAACGACCAATTTCTTTCACCAAAACACTTAGAATCCAACTTTTACTTCTACGTTAATGGCATGTAGCATGGGACCAAGGGAATATTTAGAGAAATAAGTCCCTATATCATGCCTGACTTCGCTCGAAATTTTCCACATCAATTGACTTCGACTTGGAAAGCATCCTACGAATTCGAATATATTTACACTCTTATTTGTTGAAATCCCATCTACTCAGAATTCTCCTGGCAGTGTCCAACAGTGGTGATTATGGGACATCTTTTGCAGTCTTTTTCCGAACATCTTCAGGGCATCGGTCAAGCAATCGCTTCAATCTCATCCTCAATCGTGGATCATGTCACCCTAAAACGACTACGTGGAAATGAGGATTCTGACGAGGAGGATGATGACGATGACCTTGATTCCCTCGACATAGATCCATTCGATGCAGTATTGGAAAGGGTGAAAGTGAAGCATATCGGGAAACATGTGGCAGCGATTCGCGCGAAGACTCAACCAGGCAACAAGAAGAACATTCCTGTTGTTGAAGTTGGGGCTCATAAACTCCATGGAGAGAACATTTACTATGTGGTGAAGTTTGCCGATGGAATCAAATGGATGCTCAAAGTCCCAGCTGGCGAAACCCCTGATCAATTCGGCGAAGACGATGCCGAAGCCCTTCGCTCAGAAGCATTGACAATGATCATGTTGCGCCGTGAGACAACTATCCCGATCCCCAAGGTCTTTGCATACGACAATACATGGACGAACAAGCTCAAGGTTCCCTTCATTCTCATGGAGTTCATCGACGCTCGGCCTTTGAGTGATGTTTGGCATGATCAGGAATCTCCGGAAGAAGTTGTACAGGCTCGACGCACGCGCTGTCTGCAGGATATCGCTGCCGCGTATCTCCAGCTTGGAAAATACACATTTAATGAAAATACACCCTTGAGATTTGATGACCAAGACCGCCTTATCGGCGTTGCACCAGTGAAGGAAGACCCATTCTCGGGTCTCAAAGAGGCCTACGTTTCTCACCTGGACCGGCGAGAGGGGGGGGAAGAAAACGATGGGCTTGGCAGGGGACTCCTAAAGCTTCTTCGGATGTTTGCCGACTGGACTCCAGAGCCAAGTGATGGAAAATCATTCGTCCTACACCATGCAAACCCCAATATCTTCAACTTTCTTGTTTCAGAGGATGGTTCTGTGCGGGCTATCCTCGATTGGCACGGCGCGGGACCCAAGTTGCCGAGTATAGGCAATGAGGCGTATCCACTATGGCTGATGCGCGACTGGGATCCGAGCGTATACCGTTGGAGTGAAGAGATGGAACAGGGAATTAATGATGAAGATTGTTATTGGGAAGACTCACCGGACAAGCTGGAGTTCTATCGAAATGTCTATGCGCAATGTATCGCAAATCTACGACCTGAAAGCGAGAACGCCAAAATAACCCGCAATTCCCCTCTCTTCGTACATTTGATGATGGCAACAAGAGGCTCGATGTTTAGTTTGGCCACTTCCGTAAAGATTGTCGAGGAGGTTATAAAGCGAGTGGAGAAGGATGCGGATGATAACAGCTGGCCTCCTTCATTCAGCCCGTCCAACGACAATAACAAGGACGATGATGACAGCAAAAACCTCAGTTCTACCAAAGATCAGGATGCGGCAGGCGACCACGATGCACCGAACGAGACCAAAGCCAACGCGGAAGATGATGATATCGGGGCGGACATTGATGGAGAAGACGAAGACGAACCTGTGATTATGTATGATTTGCTTGAGGGGGTGGATAGAGATGGTCTGAGTGAGCATCAACAGAAGGTTCTAAGGACGGGATTTGATGCTTTATTCATTAGTTGACTTCGAGGTTGTGGTTTTCGATATATATAGTGATGCACGATGGCTTCAAGGAGCGAAGTTGTCAAGCATAATCGTTGATGTTGGAGAAGAAGCGAGGATAGTTATTTGAAAATCATGGAAAATCAGAGATTTGGTTCTTTCCTCTGATTCCAGATACTCTCATCTATTCTCTTGTAGCACCCCAAAATGATATACGGTTCGTCGTAAATATAAGAGACACCTCAGGCAGGAACAACCCAGTGATGATGTCAGCCATATTATGTAATCTAAAACATCAGCCAATGACAACATCCAGACTAACCGATCAAGGGCTTAGGGCTCACCTCAGTCACGCCCCACTTCCTTTTCGCACTTGAGCGGCTTCTGGACGTCGCCCTCTTCCTTTGAACATCCACCTCATCCGACAAAATGGTGAGTTCCCCAGCGTACCAATATACAACCGAAAGACAGCAATACTAATCGAAATGTGATGAACAGGCGCCCGCAGCAACCGGAGGCAAGAAGCAAAAGAAGAAGTGGTCCAAGGGCAAGGGTACGCAATCACCACCAACCATGCGATCGTGACGATTTCCGCCGAGTTTCCCACAACACGAACGAAATCGTTGGACGAGCTGGGGATCCGAAATAAAACACCGAGATGCAACATTTACTAACATGTCTTTCGCCCTACAGTCAAGGACAAGGCCCAGCACGCCGTCGTTCTCGACAAGGCCACCAACGACAAGCTTCAGAAGGATGTCCAGTCCTACCGTCTGATCACTGTCGCCACCCTTGTCGATCGTCTCAAGATCAACGGCAGCCTTGCCCGCCAGGCTCTCAACGACCTTGAGGCTAACGGCCAGATCAAGAAGGTCGTTGGTCACTCCAGCATGAGCATCTACAGTGCGTTCCTCTTGAATATCCCATCCATCTTGAATCTGCAATACTGATAACTTTTCCAATAGCCCGTGCCGTCACCGCCGAGTAAACTTCTCGTCTCTCGTCTTTTCTCGCGGTTTTCTTTTCCTTGCTACGAATGATATCATTTACCATGGGAAGCCCGGCTGGGCATGATGCATAGTGGATTAACGTCGGACTCTTGAAGAGTGTGGAACATTCGCACTCTTGGCCTACGTCAGGTAGTGCGAACTGAATCAAAAAATCTACAAAACTTCATGAAAAGGACATGCGTCATATTCCGTAGACTTCTCTCGACATCTACCATCTGCACTTTCCGCACCAACACAACAAAAGATACACAAGTAGTCCTACGACTTTTCCTTTTCCACCATCGCACTCCTCTTCGGTCGCTGCTTCTGCGCACTCTCACAAAGCGGCCACGGCTCCCCCTCAACACCTCCATCCTCAACCACAACCCTCCCGGCCTCAAAATACTTCGCATGGTTCGCAAAGAATCCAGTCCACCTCTGCACAGTCGCCTCAACCCGCGCTCTAGCAGCCCGTAACTCTTTCTCGCGACGGATTTTCTTCTGTGCAGCGGTCACACCCTCTTCCTCAACATCCTCAACAGGCATGAACATAATCTCAACACCGCGCATGTCGTTCGTAAGATCCTCTTTAAAACATCCCGTGACAAAGGCCCGTGTTGCGTCCCGCCCCGCGAAAAAGTTGTAGCTCCCGCCCGGTCCGTAGATCATACGGTTCTCCGAGACGTCGAAGACGGTCCCGTTCACCGCAACATAGAGGGGGAGGCTGGTGTCTGTGCCGTTGTAGAGGGATAGTTGGCTTGGTGTCAGGTTAACAGGGCCTTGCTATATTTTCGAAACATAAAGTGTTAGCTTGAATCGGACGTCACTTTTTTTTTTTTTGGAATCTCGAGGTTGCATACCACCCACTGCTTCACCACTGGCCACCGTGTATACCATGGTCTGTAACCCCACAATACAGACTCGGAGGAAGTCATGTAATATGAGAGACCGCCACAAGCGACGAGTAGGGTCACAATCACGCGAATTATGTCCAACAGGCTTATGCCGTGGTCTTGGTTGGTTTCATCGCTGCTAGAATTCTGTTTGGAATTTGGTTCTTTGTCCGGCCCATTGCTGGACTTTGACGTAGCTGTTGGTCGCTGACGGAGTTCTGACATCTCGCTTGAATTTGAGTCGATTGAGGAGTTGTAAGATCAGACGATGACCATTTGGATTATTGTTATTGGAGTTGCACAGGTGGAGGACTTGGCTGACAAAACCTGAGACAGCCTGGCCCCGAGTGGACTGACTTATCCACAACTTCACATTTACAAAAGGATTTCCAACGTTGATGAATAATTTCTACTATTTCTCCAAGCTGCATTCCTCGCTAAAGATACAAGAGGCTTATATTCATGACGTAGCTGAGCTGAGAAATACACCCAGCGTTTTAGTTCTAACGTCAAATTCGCCTCGATTTCATTTCCATCATTTGCTTGCAGTAGCAGATTCCCCCTCTTGGGCCGCAGACCCTTCTTCCCAACTACGCGAGAAGACTTCGTTCAGAGCGTCTTGGAAAGTACGGCAGTTCATATCAATCAGGCCTCGCTTGTCCTTAGCTTCGGGGTTGCGAATCACCGACACTAAACAGAGGTACCTGTAGAATAAAGTCAGTACAAATAATAGAAGCACACTCGTTGGGAAACATACTTGTTCATTTCCATCAAATGGATCATGGTTTGATCATGCAACACCACATGACTTTCCGCTTCTTGAATCTGGTCGCCCAATCGCTTGCGAACTGGGTGATCCCAGGAGTACAACTCGGAGATATCGACAATCACATCGATATAATCAGAGCACATCTCGTAACAAGCCATGTCGACGGGTCGGGTGTCGGAGGCGATATAAATTTTACTCAGAACGTCGAACAAGTATGTCTTTTCAAACCCACAGTTGTTGGCGAGAGTGTTGATGAGGTTCTCAAGTGTAGATAAGTTGGGGATCAGCTTCTGAATAACTTTGCTGAAGGCTTCAAACACAGAGTAATCGTAAATGGAAGTCAGATAGTAGTGTACGGGCGCATTCTCATATCCAGCGTCACTGAGCTCGTCCGAGATGCGCTGCACAATGTCCTGGAACGTGTCGGTGCGGTACTCGTCTGACAGTCCATCGACCTTGTGAATGAAGACTTCGATGTTGATTCCGGGATAGAACTGCTGAACAGTCAATATGGTGCGGTTGAGCCGCGCCACCGAGTCCAGGTAGTCATCCTGTGCGTCGATCACCCAAACCAGGGCGCCCAGACTGCCGAAAATATCCTCAAGGTCGAAGGCGGACTCAAAGTACTCAAGTTGACCTGGGAAATCCCAAACTTGGAAGTCCATAAAAGAGCTACAGATTCCAGGTCAGCGGAAACTCATTAATCATGTCCTTTCTTTGGAACTTACTGGATTGAATCCTTCTGGATCCGGGTCGTGGACTCCAAAAAGAGTGTCTCATTTGGTGGCATCTTATGGAATACCACACTAGCAATGGATGACTTACCACTCCTAGTACACAGTTAATATCTCTGTTGTGCGAGAGCTGACAGAGGAAACTTGCCGGCGGAGTCCCATCAGAAGAAGACGAGGTCTAACATCAGGGCCTTAAGTGTTGGGCACAGATGCCGATTTGCCCCGAGTTGGCGCAGCAACTTGGCTGTTTCCCTGTAAATTATCCAGAAGGCTTAGCTCGGCTTCAGTCTTATGGAATGGAAGTTCACGCCGTCGCTTCCAAAAATTAAACTCACGTCCTAAAAAAGGACCATGAGGCCGGCTCACGCGGGCTACCGGTGAGTCGGACATTTAATCAAACAAAAGGGGCATGCATTTTTGGGAAGTTGGTGAAGCAAGAGACAGCTTATGGTTATCAGGATGGAAGGTTCATGAGCCAGGGGCAGGGTGGAATAAAAACGCATCACATGGTGGAAAAAAAAGAGGGCATTGGGCAGTCGGCGAACCCAATCAGGTTACCATCCCTTGAGGTAACAGGGAAAGGCCCGAGACTGAAGACAGAGACCCGTGGGTTCAAGATGGCACTATCTTACAACGGCCCATTGTGACAGCAACCGTGACAGACGCCCCAAAATTGGAAATCCATGTTCCTTGCCTATCTCGGGCCCATTTGGTTGTCTGGAAAGATCTCTGGTAATTCTTGTTCGTCGCCTGGGAGATAAAAGGGAGCGGAACCAAGCAGCTGTCTCACAACGGCCCGTGCATGGATGCACCGGGACGCGGTAACTAACCGAGCTTCACCGAATGACCCAGCCGTGGTTCGAGGCATTATAGGAGTATGGCTCGAGGGGATGTGTGTTGGGGGGGAAAGAGTTTCTTACCTCCATTGAACGGGCAGACATCTAGATATGGGATGTTAGAGTCCGGGCATGCATTAAGAATGGATTGGGTGTACTTACTACGCAATTTATTTTTGTGTTAGACAGGGATAATCAGGCCAATGCAAGGTCAAAATTCCTCCTTGATCACGAAGATGAGTGGTAAAAGGGACTGGTCGAGCTCAATTTAACAGCAAAGACCGACTGTTGACATCTGCATGTGCTAATCTCGCCTAGGACGGAAGCCGCAAGGTTCCCAGATTTTGTCTGGGATGGTGGTACAGAGTCGGATATCTGCAGTCAGACCTGTATCATTGTCTCAGGGTTGAGAAATTCAATTCACGGCGTAGTAGGGTTGGTTGGGGCGATCGTTGAGTAACCGTTGTGCTGTCCGAGTGCGGGGGTTGGAGTAGCTCGGAGCTAGGAATCGAGGCGAGGTGCGATCGGGCCGGATATGCAACGCGCACGATAGCGCGGCAAGTAATCTGAAAGAGTTCGTTCAAAAGATGTAAGGCTTTCTTTTGACTTGAAGGAGTATTTCTCATGGAATTGTGGTGAGGAAGAGAGAATGGGGGAAGAGGAAGAGCAGGACCAAGGCGGAGCCGTTATCTTTGAGCTTCTATCTTATCGGTCCTAATCTGTCATGTACCGCCTTTCTATTCTGCCACTATATTCCCGTCTCTTCCAGGGCTATCAACTTGCCTTGCACACCCCTAACCCCATTATAAAGCTTGGCCAAGCCCGGAAAAGATGGCTTGATGGATTATTCTACAATCAATGTTCTATCCTTGAGTATATTGATGAAATCGAAAAGAAATCGCTTTTTTTGATCTTCATTAACCTCGACAAGTTCATACGGCAACTGTCCGATGGCTGTGTCCATGAGCATGTTTACCCCCATGCTGATGACCCAAATAATCACTGATTCGGTGCTTCCCCTGCTTCTGTTCCTCTTCTTCCTCTTCCTCTTCCTCGGCCTCAAGTGAAGGCCACTCTTCCCAACCATCTTCCCACATCTTTGCCAACTTTTCCGTCTTCTCGTCTCTGCTCATTTTCTTGTTCTTCATCACCTTCTCCCACTTCTTCATATCCTTATCATCTAGAAGACACTCATCCAGCAAAGCACTGATCTCGACTGTGTCAATACCTTCACCGATAAACACTAGTTCCTGGCGACGATCACCCCAGGCACCTTGGAAATCATTCTGAATGGATTCCCGCACATCCTTGTCTTCTGGCCAATCCTCATCGGGGACTTCAGCAAACCAAGGTCCGCCGCATCCAAGAGTCATCATACCGCCTGCTTGACTCCATTCGCCAAATTGCCAAGGTCTAGTTGTGAGCCAGAAGAAGCCCTTGGAGCGGAGAACTGGACCAAAGGCTGGGTTGGTACGTTTGTTTTTCAAAATTACTGCTGGGTCAGGCTGTTCAAAGTCTTCCATTGACCCAGAGTCAGAGTCTGTATCCATCGCATCTTCGTTTTCTTCGTCTTCCTCTTCTTCCTCGTCGTCTTCTTCTTCTTCGACTTCATTGTTCTGGAGAATGATGAACTTATCATGAAGAAGAGCGAAGAGACGACGCGAGTGGAAGGGTCGACGAGCAGTGTAGACGAAGTTGTTGATACCATACCTATATCAGTGAGCAAATGATTCGTAAATAAAGAACTGGCAAACTTACTCCAAGGTCTCTGGTTTCGGTGCCAACCGGTCACCGTTGCCTGTCGACTGTATCGTCATTTCGTGCAGACTCTGCAGCCACCCAGGTCCAGAAGCAGCACGCACAAAATCAAATTTGTTTGTGTTGATGATCTCCCGAACATCTATTTGAGAGTAACTTGACTCGAGGATCTTTGCGACTGGGTTCAATAACTTCAGCAAATGCATGAGCTTATCGCGTGTTGCTTGGTCAACTGTCTCGACCTTGTTGAGAATCAACACATCAGCGAACTCAATCTGATCCACCATGAGATCAGATATTGTGCGCTCATCCTCAGGGATGATCTCTTCTTTCCCATAACGGTCAGAGAGGAACTCTGCTGTGTCGAAACTGGAAAGCAAGTTGAAGGCATCAATCACGGTGACAGTAGTATCTAACCGAGCCATTGTGTGCAAGCCACCCAGTTCCACACTACATCAAGACATGTCAGCAAGTCTACCATAAGGGGAGATGTAGTGGGGAGACAATACATTTCATTCAGGATCTTCTTTGCATCGACATCATCATTTGCAATCTGATCTTCAGCTTCCAACATGGCTGAGCTAAACTCAGCCGTGAAAGTCTCAGCCACCTGCATGGGCTCGCTTATGCCGGTCGATTCAATGATGACATAGTCGACCTCATTTCGTTTAGTCAGGGCTGCCAGTTCGGCCAGCAAGTCTCCACGAAGAGTGCAGCAGATGCATCCGTTTTGAAGTCGAATGAGCTTCTCAGTGGTTTGTGAGACTTTGTGGTTTTGGATAAGGGTAGCGTCGATGTTCAGCCTAAATGAACGAAGTGATTAGCATACAGTCTATGTCCTCCATTCAATGCACAACTGACTGGCTCATATCGTTTACAATGACAGCAATCCGTAACCCATGGTCAGGAGACTTGAGGATGTGTTTGAGCAGTGTTGTCTTGCCACTTCCCTATACATGGGTGTCAGTGTCCCTGTACATGACTCAATGTCGATAAAATTGCTCTCATTTCATACCAGGAAACCTGAGAGCAAGGTGACAGGCATCTGCCGTGTTTTGGGCTTGTCCTCGGCAGGGGCCGTAGGAGCCGGGACATTATAGGAGACCGAGTCTCGTCCGGAATCGATGACCATAGTGAAGGTAGGTAACTTTTGTGCTTAAATACAAAGCAAGAAAGAAGAAAGAGAAGAGAGAGAGAAGAAAGAGAAGAAAGATAGACTAAGCCCCAAGGAGCTCTAGGATGTCACATTATATAGCATCTTCTTTCCTAGAGCACCGTCTCCAAGTTCCTCACCTTCTAACGCTGCCGGTTGCATTTCTGATGTAGTACAGATGTCAATACAGGTCCTCCAAGGTTAATAGTATACCAGTGGGGCCATAGCTAAACCAATGAAATGTATGATTTCAAATTGCGATGATAATTGCCGTGTTATAAGTGGCCGGCGTGAAGCGTCCGCAAGGTACCTGGCTGGCGCTGTTGACCTTCACGGTCCTCATTTGACGACATTGGTTTTTAGAATTCCTATTAGGGCATTTTTGATTGGGCCTTGGTTGGTTTCCTGGTTTCTTGACTGCTCATTTCTGGAGGACTAGCGGTGGAGGTAGGGTTTGACTGGGATATGAGCTGGGGGACAAATTACCCGTTTAAGTCTCTAAATAACCACATGAAAGTACATTAATTGACAAGGTAAAACTTCGACTATTTCATCCCAGATGCCTTTCAATATTAATTCATTCACACAAATACATCATCCTCAGATCTAACATTCTAAGATTCAACCTTCTCCAATTGAAATCGGCGCTCGGCTCGATGCGCGGGCCGATGAGAGCCAAATCGCCGATCTGAGAATGATACAACATATTAACCTCTCACCTATAAAAGGGGGGTTACACTGATAACAATGCTACAGGAATAACCTCAATCTATCAATTACCACGCATCAAACATACCCAGATATCACAATCTGTCTAAATACACCCAATCCCCCCTCCGACCACAAAAAATGACCGACCTCCTGGGAACCTACACCAAACCCCTAGCCTTCCTCGGTCTCTTCACACTGGGAAAAACAGCCTTCTCCCTAACCCGCCAAGCAATAACCTACCTCCTCCCAAGTACTCTCCAACGCTACAACCCCACCAAAACAAACTGGGCCCTCGTCACCGGCGCAACAGACGGAATAGGTTTCGGCTTCGGTCAGGAGCTCTGCGCGCGTGGTTTCAATGTTATCCTACACGGCCGGAACGCCGAGAAACTCGAGCGTCGTCGGAGCGAATTACAGGCACTCTTCCCTGCAGTCTATGTTGCTGTGATTGTGCGCGATGCGCAGAATTTGACGGCTGATATTGATGATGTTGATGCGGAGGTCCGCGATATTATTCGTCGCAGTAATGAGACTGCTGGTTCCGATTCCCAGGGTCATCCCGGAAGATTAACTGTCCTTATTAATAATGTTGGTGGTGAGACGAGACCTTCTACACTCCTCAAAGAATACACCTTTGAGGATGTGCAGGCGACGATTTCACGGAATGCGACGTTCGCTATTCAAATTACCCGTGTGCTGGCGACACAGTTGGAAGAGAATGCGCCTGGTCTTGTGATGAATGTTTCCTCGCTTGCGTCGTTTGGAATGCCGTATATCAGTATTTATAGCTCTACGAAGGGGTTTGTGGATTCTTTTACAAAGTCGCTGCACGCGGAGTTTGCGGCTGAAGGGAAGAAGATCGAGGTTGTGGGGTTGCGAGTTGGCGAGGTCAGAACTGCTGGGTTTGATGTGAAAACTAACTTGTTCGTTCCTGAGGCGAGAGTGCTGGCTGCTGCTGCCTTAGATCGGGTTGGGTGTGGACAGGAGATTGTATGGGCTTATTTCTGGCATTGGTTGCAGGGCTTGTCGTTTGATTATCTACCGCGCTGGATGTTGATGAAGGTTGCTGTGATGAAGATGAAGGCAATCAGAGCAGATCTAGACGCTAAGGTGAAGAGCAGCTGAGATAGCTGCTGATAGGTTATGGCTCTAGCTCTCTATCTCGGAGGCTATTATAAACAAATTGTATAGTATATGAAGATACACGAAAAAATATATATTTGCAAGTAAAAATCACAGCATTACAGTCTATATAATGTCTAGAAGCCAGCCGGGGCCTTCTCACGATCGTCTGGGCCGTGGAGCCCTGTCCCAAGGTTCGCTGTGCACTCCAATTGCCAGTCCTTTGGCGTGAACTTATCAACAATCTCCTTGAAGGCATCCAAGGTGCAGAATGTCTCATCGCCGGGCAGGTGGTTCTCGGGCTTAGCAGCACAACCGGGGATAAGGACAGGCTGGTCATTGTAGCGAATGCGAACATAGTGCTTCTGGAGAGACTCGCGGGCACCTTCGGCCAAAGATTCGAGAGGCGCGCGTGCAGTATCGGAGGTGGTGGGTTGCTTCGGTGCGGACTTACCGAACAGCTGGGAGAAGACGCCAGGCTTCTTGGCTGCGATGGATGGGTTGGAAAACTCCTCAAGCATGACGCCAGCGTTAGAATCGGAGCTGGGCGCTTGGGAGAAGAGCTCAACTGCAACAGAGGAAGTAAATGGCGGCCATGACTGGTTCTGGAATCCACCAACACTGGACAGGATCGCTGCCAGAGTGGTGTCGTGGCAGCCGCTCATAGCAAATTTGATAGCCTTACCAGTCTCCGGGTTGCCTGAACCGGACGCAGCAGTCTCACTGCGCCAGCCACCCTCCACGGCAGTGCTGACCATGCGGTCAACCACATCACCCATGAGAGCACCAATTCCCAGCTTGCGGTACTCGCTGCTTTCACCGTAGCCAGCAAACCACTCCTCAACTGCAATTCGGTCTAAGACAGCACGACCCTTCTTGTCATAGAACTCAGATGGAAGCTTAGTGGCTGGCCCATGGGCATCGGTTGCGTTAATGGTGTCCATGATTCCAGAAAGACGAGGGTGGGCATCAACTGCAACCTTAGGCGATTCTTCGGGCATATGCTTTGACCAGAGGCTGTTCAAGTACTCCATTTGTTCAGAGTCATTCCCTACATTAAAATCATTAGCCGTGACCCTTATCTTCAAATCCCACTGATAAGCCCATACATCGTGAAGCGGCGCGGTCGGCAAAAAGCCGAGCCAGCTGTCGGAATCGTTTACAATTCCCCTCGTTAGGGAATAGTGTCTCCTCATTGATCTGGCGTGCCACAATCACCGGCGGTGGGAAGTCAAGCGTGCGCGCGCTCGCCGGGTACATGCCCCAAAAGGCCTCCTGGAGCGACTCCAGAGCTCGGGGGATCGGCGTGGCGCGCAGATACATATCCTCGGAATCGCTCTTGATCTGAGGCATGAACCCGAGCTGGTCGACGTATAGGTGGCGTAGTCGTTGTCCGAGCGCATATGTTGTCTCACGACCCTTGTCTGTGAGCTCGCCGTGCAAGCTTCAAATGGCATGATTTAGCTCTTCTTCCCGTGCCTATCAGAGCTCCGCGGCAACTTACCACATCGCTTCGACTGACCCTCCCGGTCCTGTTGTGATCACCGACTGGTCATTACTGCCGAATGACTCCATTTTCCGGCGCCATTGGAACCCGTTCCATTCCGAGAGGTCTTTGCTACTCGAGGCCATCTGCACCATGCGTCTTGCGACGCCGCAGTACGGCCAGTCTTGTCAAGAGGACATGTTAGCATATGCTCGACCGATATCGGTGTCAGGAGATTGGCATACATGGACTCAAGCCTGTCTTTGGGAAGTGTTAGCGGAAACCGTCGGAGAACGGATTTGGGGGATGGGGATTGTCAATTGCGGCATACGTTTGTGAATCGTGATGAGACGGGTGTGCGTTCACCTAGGATCAATTAGAAATGCTCCCATTCGCATCCTTGTAATTGGATCTCTCACCATGACGAAGGAACTGTAGTGGTTAGCTATGCGTCTTCATCAATGTGGGGACCAAAACACCTACCACTTGCACCAACTGTAGCTTCAGAGCTGCCGGGTACAGGCGAGCGAGCTCATCCTGAGTATAGGGCTCACGGGGAATGAGGGTGGTCATCTCGGGTCAATTGAGAGATATCCAGAGATATCTACAACATAGGAATCTATAAAATGGAATCGAGTCAGGAAATAAACGGCCCATGGGGGCGGTGAGGGGAGTGGATTTATTGGGGTAGAGCGGCTATACCGATAAGCCATTTGTGTCGATCTCCATTGAATTACATACTCTCTGTACTATGATTGAGTAGTTGAAGAGCATTAGAAGTGGAGAGTTATTCTCGTTATGTTCATCAACATCCAAAATACCATGGGGAAAGCTAGGGAAAGCTAAGAAACCCCCAAGAATAACGGCAGATATATGGTCTCCGCATCTCGGAAAATTCGCCGAAGCGTACTGAGCCTCGGCCAAGTATTCTCCGAGATGGAAAAGCTCTTCCAAGCGATGCATTGATATGGTATAATATATACAATTAGGAACACTCCTCGTAGTCACTCGTCTCCCATCCCTCCTCGCTTTCGCTAGCACTCCAGACAGATCGAGTGGGCGCAGTCTGTACCTCGCTAGTCTCAGTTGCTGCAGCTGCCAATGCGGCAGCGGTAGCAGTAGCCATTTGCTTGGCCCACTTCTTATTATTCTTCGCCTTGCGGGTATTTTCCTCTTCCTGACGCGTCTGTTTCACACGCTCAGATTCCTCGGTCGCCGCTCGCTCCAAGAGCTCGATGAGCTTCTCCAATGCTGGCGCATATGCCTGCGCAAGGGCAAAGTCCCCGACCTTGATACGCATGAAGTCCATCGCTCCGGCGACGGGGCCGGTATAACCACCGAACCTTTGGCTAGATTTCCCCGAGTTGATGTCGTCGGACAGTGGGGTGTCGTTGGAGCCAACTGCTTCATCTTGAGGGTCGTCGAATGGAATATCCGCATCTGCGGGCTCCTTCGCAGCTGCGTCCCGGCTGGACTGGAATTTGCCCGGGTTTCGCTTATCTACGAAAGCTATCTTTTGGTAGCGCTGGCTGAAATGAGTGAGCAGGACAGCGCGCGCTTGCATGCGGCGGCCGATCTCAATTGCCTCGGAGGAGGTCGAGTGCCGCTTGGCCCTAGCTGATCCGACCATGTCGTGTTGGAAAGTGGCCTCGTGGATGAGCACGGTTGAACCTTGTCCAATGACGGCAAATTTATCCGATGGCCTGCAGTCGCCAGAGTAGGAAACCTTGAATCCGTTGGAGAAGACAAAGGAGACAGCGAGCGCACCCTTGCAGTGTTTGACGCGGCAAGTGAGCAGGTCTGCAAGGCCGGTGGCAGACTTGAGAAGAGGAGTGAGGGGGGAAAATTTGTCCGTAAAGTTAACAGTATGACGATAACCACTAGGTAGTTGGTGCGAGAACGTGGTGACGGTTTGAGAACCATTGAATTCAGGACGCGCGGCAAGAGTAAGGAGCTTGTCAAATCCGAAGTCTTCGACCTGTGAATACTCTTCCAACCAGGAAATCATTGCATCATCAGACACAACAGCCAGTCGCTTCTCCTGGAGGATCTTGGCCATGTCGGTTTCACGGCTAACAGCCGAGCCAGATCCATTCTTGAAGTTCTCCGTGTGCCAGGCCTTGATTACAGAGACCGTTCCTAGGTGATGATCTGCGTGCAAATGACTGATCCAAATCATTCGCAGGTTCTGAAGCACTTCACGGAATTCTTCAGGCTCGAAAACTCGCTTCAGTTGACCAAGAGTATTCTCACCACAATCAAGCAGGTAGTAGCCATATCCAGGCACCTTCACCAGTGTGGCAGAGACATTTCGGTATTTGGATGGAACAGAGGAACCAGTACCTAGCGCAATGATCTCTGCATCCGCTCCAGGCCATTGTGTCCGTTGCGCGTGCAACTTCTTCTGGAATTCAGGCTTAGCCACGCGTTGGCGAATGACTTCCATCCGTTGCTCAACAGAACGCGGGATGGTATGCAATGCATTCGCTGGGTTGAAGCGGGACATCACTTCGTCACTGTTGAACCCGAAATTGGGCTCCATGTTGATGATGAATCCAGGTTCAAGAGGCTGCAGTGGAGAATTCTTGCGAGCAGCAATTGCAGATTCTGAATTAGCGTTGGGGGTGCCTGGTTGGGGAAGGGACACATTGTCGTGAACAGGAACCGCATAACTATCACTTTTCAGACGAGCTAGTCGGACAGTTGAGCTAGCGGAGCTGGTAAACGCCAGGTAGTTCGGGCAGTGGTCTGTGCTCGACACAGTGTGCTTGCAGTGGGACATGCTGGCAACGAATTCCTGGAATTTAGGGTGTTCAGCAACACCAGGTCCAAGAATCCAGATGAAGGCTTGCAACTCAGTCGTCACCGCTGGTGACTTCCATTCGGCCCGAGTGACCAGGTCCTCTACGTATTCGGGCGATGGCACTTCCATGATGGCAACGCCTTTTCCGGCTCGCGTCTGTCCCAAGACCATTTCTGAGGTGATGGTCTTTCCATCCAGAGATTGAACGCTCTCGCCCCTCGTCAATGCTGCGTACTTAGCACCCTTCTCGACCTTCAATTCTTGGGCCTTCTTCGGGTCGAACTTTCCGCGGATATCGTGGTTCCGCACGATATAGCAGACTGCCTCTTTCGAGGGAGAAGTAGTCGGGAGACTGTCGACAGTAGCACCGGGCCAGGGCTTTCGAACTAGCACCTTGATGTCTGGAAGCGCATCTGGGCCACCCGGCACCGGACCTTTGTACTGCTCAAGGTCCTTTGTCTCCGGGTTGCGAATGAATATAGCGGCCGGCATCTTGACCTCAGCCAATGGGGTTTCATGGAGAGCGTCCATCTTCCATGTTGAGTTGAACATATCCTGCACAATGGACTGCGTCACGATCAGGTTCTTAGTACGCTGGTCCAAATGATCTTCGGTCTGTTCGGATTCCTGGAACTCGTCCAAGCTCCGCTTTCGTGGAGACTGTGACCGCGGCTGCGTGACTCGAGGACGAGCCGATGCATGAGGCTTAATAGG